TTTTTGATTGGTCCAGCGGATGCTGAGCTAAACTAGAAAACAAATTCGGAAAAATTTTCGAAAAATTAAATTCGCGTGATAATCCTTCTGGAACCATTTCCAAAGTCTTAACCTGAAAGTTGTCTCAAAAAAATGTATGCTGCATTTTTTGATTTGACTAACGGATTTTGAGTTAGACTCAAATTCGGATTTTTTGAAAAGTTTGCGGTTTTGTAATTTTATGTTATTTTTGTTCTCTGATATAAAGTAAGATTTTTTTAAAATTATTGTATTGATTTTGAATAAAAGGCATATCAAATTTACAATTCGTTAAATTGAAATCAATTTACAGAAGTAGATAATAAGAGAATAAAGTTAGTGATAACCATATGTCATCCTTGTAATCATTTGATAATACAATATTGCTATAGAAACCAACAGGTAGCATATTTATCAGAGATGTAAAACTTTAATAAAACTCGATTCAGTTTTTATAAAAAAATACTGATATAAATGATAGTAACTCGAGAATGTGACAAATTATATTATAACGCGATAAATTGTTATCAGAAGCTGCATTGAACAAAAATATTCTAAATTTGAAAGTATAACCTAGACTGCTATTCAACAACACAGGAAAAAACTGAACTCAGAATGAGACGTGTAGGCGGCTCATTTTGATGTGCAACAAAAATGAAACTAGATTTTTTTAATACAATCGTCCAATATTTTTAAATTAAGAATATCGTTTTTTTAAGTTTGAACAATCTAAACTTATATTTATCTAAACAAATCAATTTTTCAAAAAAGAAAATTGCAATGTTACCTTCTGAGAATTTATTTTTCCTGGATGAAAGTCACATAAAACTTTCTTCATATAGATATATATATATAAAGTATGTGGAACATTTTTTGTCTATATATAGCATTAATGTTTTAAAATCCACTTTCTTTTTATAACCTTATAACTAAGCGTAAGATTTTATCTATCTTGTAATTTCATTTTAAGTAAGAAACATTTTTGGAAATAAATTAGCAATAGGAAAAAAACATATTATTTGCTTTCTAAAAGATATATGCACTGAAAGAATGATATTGTAAATTTAAGAATATAATAAATCGCTTTTATTCTTACATTCAGAATTTAATGTTTTTAAAAAGCGAATAATAGAAAGTGATATTCTTATTTTAAGAGTTTTTTAAATATAGAAAACAAAATGAAATTCTTAAATTAAGAATATCACTTTTTCGGTTTATATAATATTAGATAGATACGAATATAAATAAACAGCTAAATTTTCAATAGTGATTCTTGTTAACCCTTTTTTACGCTTTCAGAAATCGACCGTTTTAATAATAAAAGGCTTCCGTGAAATTGTATTCTCAATTGGTGAACAGAAAAATTATTGGAAATTACACGAAAGATTTGCTTCTGGACCGTGGTGAATTAAAAATCAAATAAAAAAGGGGTGTACGAATTGAAGTTGTATACTAAAATCGACAGAAGGTAAAACTATTGGGACCCGATACTAAAAAAAGGGGTTTGCTTTTTTTTATTTCACTCTGACAAAAGTCTTTCTCCTAAATTAGGTAATTTATTGGCAAGACGTAAACTACTCTCCTCGCATATATATCATAAATTATTTGCTCTTTTCGTATATTATACGGGCGTATAGGAAACTGCGATTTTAAAAAATTTATTCTCAATATGAGAGGATTTATCTCATTTTTCCATTTCTTTCATTTTGAGATAACTTTTTATTATTAAAGTATTAATTATTTCAATCGCAGAAAGGAAAAGTGTACTTTAATTAATTTTGTTCCTCGATTTAAAAATAAAAATATCCTGTTTGTAGTAGAAAAATATATTCTTATTTTAAGAATAAAATTCAAGAGGTATTAAGAAAAGGAAAATGTTCCTATCAATTTGAGAATATTTTTCCAATGAATCGTGATGTAATATTTCTTTATATTTTATGTTTTTTATTACATAATTAATTAATGTGGTTTTAATTTTCCTTCGATTAAAAAACAATACAGTAGAAACTTTTAATATTTAATATGAATATTATATACTTTTATGTAACATATTTTTTATACATATATGGTGAGAACCACAGCATAACCATTTCAGAAAATTGAGACAAAAAAATTATATATAATACAATTATTCTCAAAGTGAAAAAATCTCACGATGTTATATTCTTCCTCATATATGCAACTTTATATCAAATCCTACAAATCTATTGTATACTTTCTAGTGCACAGATGAAACGGCATACGTTTGCCGTATAATTACCCTCTGTATGTGCTTCAAAAAAATTTTTATTATTATATTAATTTAAGATTACTATATTAGTTAATATTTAAAAATATAATTCATGCATTTTATTCTTTTAGTAAGAATAAATAAATAATATTATATATAATTTTATTCATTCACTCTTGTCCACTTGAAGAAATGATTTTAAAGACTAAATATTCAGCAGCCCCTGTGCCTTGACAACCTGTCGTTAATTTTTCAAATTGTTCGATGGCTGAATGTTTAATAAAAAGAGTTTTTTTATATTATTTAACATTAAATTTAATTGGAAAATATCTTCGGTATATTATAAAAATACACCAAAAACAATTTATTATAAAATCAAGAATGTATATTATTAACAAAACTATTTTAGAATTTTATATAAATGTACATACTAAATTTAAGAATACGTTCTGTATAGAAAATAAATATATTCTAAAATTTAAAGTATATTCTTATTTTTACTATACAGAGGGGAATATAAATTTTTCAGGTACGTTTAAATCTAAATATTTTTGATTTAAAAATATGTTTTTCACAGTTTTGCTAAAAAAATGTTATTCTAATTTTAAAAATGCAAATTTATTAATTAATGGATCAAATACGAACAAGTACGTGATATTCTTGAATCAATGATACTTTTTTACAGTGTATTTTTATAAGAATATAATCAATGCATTTTATTCTTATAGTTATTCTTAAAATAAGAATATTTCTGAATATTATTAATAATAAGAATAATTCTGGATAAATACAAAAGCCGCGATTTAGTTGAGTCTCTCCTTCTGTGTGTGACTCATACTGCTCTTTCTCTTTCTCAACTGTGTGCGAGGTGCCTCTTTCAAAACGAATCGAGTCTTAGCCGGACCAAGACGATGGACGCTTTTTCTTTGATTCTGTGCAATGTTAGTTTTTTCTCACTAGTGAACACGTGTTGTATTTCTATTATATTAAAATGACGTAATTTTTTTTGTGACAAAAAATTAAGGATTACGGATTAACACATGAGAGGTAAAAATATAATATTATTTAGAAAGTAACATTCTTTATAAGAAAACATCTTTTACAATCTATGTGAACCATTCACCATATTGAAGAGATTCGAACATTTTAAAAAGAAATTCATTTCTTAATAATATTGTAATAAAATTATTTTAATGAGAATAAAATTAAAAAATTTTTGCAGTACTTCTTATAAAAGAAATATAAACAATTATTGTTAATATAGAAATACATAATAGTATTTTGTATAAACAAAGGGAAATATTTGTGAAAGTACATTTTTATTTTATGTGAAAATTATTTTTATATAAAATTATAAAATCACAATATTATAATTATTATTATTTCAAGTGAAGGTTGTATTGTTTGAATTAATATAAAAAATTGATAATTATTTATATAAAAGTGAGTCACTGGAATTTATCGTGATGAGGAGTGAATTTTTAAAATAAAAGAAAGAAAAATAATAAAGAAGAGGTAAATGCTGTCGGTCATTCACTGAGAAATAATGCGAGAATATAACGGGTATTAAACAGTCTAGGACGCAATGAAACAGTTACTTAGACGCGTGTTGTGTTATATACACCTATATGTTTTTGAGTCAGGTAGTAAAGTCATCTTTGGCCATCCCTCCGAAAAAATCTCGAGAGAGATTTCAATGCCCGCATAAAATGTCACATATTACGTATATGTATTGATATTTAATAAATTATTTTGGCTTAATTGCAGTTTAAAAATATTTTATATTCTAATTGTAAGAATAGGAATAATAATCTCACTATAAGAATACTTTATTCTAATTGTACGAATATTTCATATACTTTCACTGTAAGAATAAAATATTCTCACTGTATGAATAACATATTTTTTTCTGTAAAAAAATTATTTTAGAGGATTTTGATACCTATCACTTTCCAGAAATATTTATATATCCACACGTATATATAACTGTATTATACCGGATATGTTTGGAAAAATATTTCTAGTACCGGTTTATTAATATAAATAGTGATTTGACAATAATATGTGTGCAGTATGTAGTTTGCGCATATATAAATATCTGGTCTTGTTGTCAATTAAGTTAATGGCTTTTTTCGTATGCGTCACAACTTAAGCGTAACCATTAGAGAATTCAGGTTCAATGTTAATTGCACCGTAGGTGTAAAAGAGAAAAATGAAAAATTAGACAATTTTTATATATATATTTTTAAATTTAGAAAAATATTCTTATTTTAAGAGTAGAATAAACGAAATTTAAAAATAAATTACATTAAAATTTTCCTAATAATTTCAAAATAAATTCTTTTCACAATTATAAGAATAAAATTATTTAGAATAAAACGTTGGGAGGCTAATGAAAATCTTACTCTTAACGAGGTTGTTTTTGTCTTATCAATTTCAAAAATCAAAAAAAAAATTCAAAAGCTTTTAGAGAATAGAGATAAGAAACTTTTGACTCTTTATCTAAAAGTGTGCTGTTATAGATTTTCTAATTTCTAAGGAACTCTATAGGGGGCTAATGAAAATGTATACATAAAGAATAATTCTCTGATTTTTCCACAGAATTTCTAGAAACAAAAATTTTCTCAACAAATTTTAAGCAAATTTAGATTACTGACAATTGTACAAAAATTATTATTTTCTATTATAAATAAATATTTATTTGTTAATAAAATATAAAAAAAATAAAATGTTTATCTTTTGTTTTTATAAGGTGACAATGTGGTCGTCTTTATTCCTTGTGATAACGAGTTGCTGGACAATATGGGCACAAGTTATAAACCGAGCGCCACATTTTATTCAAGGGGGAGACATGGCGAGGTTATCAGTTACCGAAGGCACTTTACCAGGTGCTCCAGTTTACACACTACAAGGAGAAGATCCAGAAGGCTCAAGACTTCATTATTCAATCAGTGGAGAATATTTCACAGTGGATCGTGAAACTGGCGTTGTTGTACTTCGAAAACCATTAGATCGTGAAGCACAAGATATTATTGAAGTTATTATCAGTATAACAGGTATTAATTATTTTCAAAAATACCAATTTTTAAATAAAATAAAAAGTTTTAAGTGTAAAAATAAGAGAAAAATTATTTGGAAATTTAATTCAGTTTTTGGAAAATGAATATTATTTTTCCCCGAGAGTAAAAGTAATTAAGAAGGATATAACATAACTCACATGGTGCATTTCCGTTTAATAAACAGACGAGGGTATTGCTGGCTCAGAACCAAATACTGTATCTTTACGTCGAGAAATAGCGGTTCTTGATGAAAATGATAATGCTCCGGTATATCATGGTCGTCCATATGCTGCAAGAGTACCAGAAAGTGCAAAAGTAGGAGGACTTTTGCTCCCACCAGGAACAATTACAGTAACAGACCGTGACGGCGGTGTCAATGCGGACATTTCTGTTTCTTGCATACCAGCATCAAGCGATGATGATGTATGTCAAGTCTTCACTGTGTCCTCAGAAAAGGTACATTGCATTATTATTATTATTAATTACACATTGTTGATTTGGATTAAAAAACTTTTTTTTCTCTTCTTTTTTTAAAAAAGTTGTAAATATTAATTTTACTTCTGATAAATCGAATTTTGGCTCAATAAAGTTTGCAAAATTTAAATTAATCAATTTTAGAAAGAACACATGTTTATTATATGAAACCTTCAAAATCTGGATTTTTTTTCATAGTTGGCGGAAGGAAAATACGATGTACAGATTACTTTATCCCACGCATTGGATTACGAGAAAAGAAATTCTTATTTAATAAATCTTGTCGCTATCGATGGAGCCAGTGATCCTTTCAAAAGATTACAATCAAGAGCTACAATTGCTGTTGATGTTTTGGATGTGCAAGTAATTGGTTCACTTTTATTATTTATAAAATTAGAAACGGAAAACTATTTCGTAATTTAGTTATTTTTTTATTTATTATTTATCAAGATTTTCTTTTATTCATCTTCTTTTTATTGTATCTCTCTCTTTTTATCGAAAGGATCAACGACCAATTTTTTTGAATGCACCGTACAGCGCTGCACTTCCTGAAAATACACCAGAGGGTTATCAAATTTTAACAGTAAAAGCACGCGATGGTGACAGCGGTGAACCAAGGCCACTTCTATTGACATTGGAGAATGAAGATTTTGGTCATTTTCGATTGGAAGTTTCACGTAAAGGCGATATGTCAATTGGAAAATTAATTACAACAAATATTTCACTTGATAGAGAGGATCCAAATATTTTGCAAAATGGTGGTATTTATACATTTAAAGTGAAGGCAACGGAACTTATCAATAATGAAATACCAGGCGATACGGCAACGTCAATTGTGACAATTGTTGTAACCGATGTTGATGATTTGACGCCAACTTTCAATAAAAATTATTTTTCACTCAAAATTTCGGAAGATATTGGCATGGACACACCACTTCCAGGTAAATATTTATGATTTGCTTATTTATAAATAATAATAATAATAATAATTTAAAGTCAATCCGAGGCCTAAAATAAAAATATATAATACTAAATTCCTACTCTAATCTTCTTAGGTCTTAATATGGTTGTGAGTGATGGTGACGTGGGTGATAATGCAAAATATTTTTTGGCCTTGCAAGACGTTCCCAATTATCCAGGAATTAGTGATGCATTTATTGTTAGTCCTGAGGAAGCTCAGGGAAGAGTTCCAGTTGTAATAAGAGCCAGAGATGATAGTGTTTTAGATTACGATGTCTCTGATCCTTCATTGCGTGAAATAGAATTCGAAGTGACTGCATCCGTTGCTGGTTCAGTGGTATGTATATTATTAGTTATTCATTTTAAAGAATTTTCACATTTTAAATATTTTCATATTAATATTTTGTTTTTTCCCTCTATTTTCAAGGTCGCAACTTGTAGAGTACACATTAAACTTGTCGATGCCAATGATCATAGTCCAGAATTTTTAAAATCCGTCTACCATCTCTCAGTGCGAGAAGACGCTGATATTGGAACACATTTCGCTGATGTTTTTGCAACAGATCGTGATAGTGGAGCATTCGGTGATTTAACATACAGCCTTAGGGGATTTGGATCGGAAAAATTTAAAACCGATTCAAAAGAAGGTGGTGTGTCAGTTGCAAAAACATTGGATTATGAAATACAAAAATCATATACATTGACAATAGAGGCTAAAGACGGTGGTGGAAGAGTGTCAAATGTGAATATTCTTATTGAATTGGAAGATGTTAATGATAATGAACCAATTTTTGAACAACAAGAGTATGCAAGAACTGTGAGAGAGGGGGCCACGAGTTTTGATCCACAAATGTTTGTTAGAGCTACCGATGTCGATGGTCCTTTACACGGTAATGGCAAAATTATTTATTCCATCAGCAGTCACAATAGTATGACCAACGATATTTTTAAGGTAATTAATAAGATCGATCCTTTTTTTAATATTTCAAAACTGTAATGAATTATTTTTATTGTAAATTAATTATAATATTGAATTAATTTTAGATAAATTCACAAACAGGAGAGCTAACAATGCTGAAACCAGTGCAATCAGGTGACACCGAACGTGGAATTTATCAATTGACGGTACGTGGAACTGATCTTGGTAAACCGCCATTATATTCGGAAACAAAAATATTTATACGAGTCGGCGTACCAGGCAATCAAAAACCAGTATTCCGTGGAAATTACAAAGCTGGAACACCAGGACCAAATAGTTATAGAGCTAGACTCTTGGAGAATGCCTCATCGGGTACTGAAGTCATCAGGGTTGTTGCTAATGATCCTGATGGTAGGGATAGTTTATTGCAATATCAAATTGCTTCTGGAGCCAAAGATAATTTTGTCATCAATTCCAGGTAATTTCAATTTCATTTTAATGATTACATAATTAAGAATGAAATTTCATTTTCTGTTTAACTCTGTTAACTTAAAAAAAAAAAAAAAAAACAATTTTTTTATTACAGTTCTGGTATTATAACAGTTTCTCCTGACGCAAGATTGGATTTAGAAACTGGTGGCGATAAATACAAAGTAATTGTTTATGCCGTTGACTCAGGATTTCCTGTTAGAGAAACTGCAAGTACAACAGTCACTGTTAGCATCATTGATGTCAATAATAAGCCGCCTGTTTTTAAAAATTCAACATACCTCGTCTACGTCTCTGAAAGAGCAGCCATAGGTATTATTTAGTTTATAACGTAATATTAAATATTTTTTTAGAATTTTTTGATTGTTATATATTTTGAATGAATTTTAAAATTGCAGGTGATTTAGTATTGAAAGTATTGGCTTTTGATCCAGATTTAGATGCAAATATTGAATATTCCCTGATAGAACCAATTAAAGCCGTTGATAAAACTGGAGTCGCACTAAAAACAACAACGCCTTATGATTATAAAACGGCGTTTCGTATTAATTCCACGAGTGGATTGATAACGGTGAATAGAGTACTTGACTATCAAGTAGCTGCTGTTATTATTTTAACAGTTGAAGCAAGAGATTTAAATGCAATGGAAAATAAAGAGAATCAAGTGGCACATGTGGAAGTTACTGTTTATATTCAAGCATACAGTGATGATAATCCAACATTTATCAATAGTGGTTGGTCACCAAATAATCCAACAATTCGTATTACAGTAAACGAGGAACAACCATTAGGCACTACATTAATTATGCTCTCAGCTAAGGAACCAATGACTGGATATCCCGTTCAAAGATTTGAATTAATTAGAGAAATTGATGATGAGGGTTTTGTCAATGTTGGTGTACAAAGTGGAAATGTTGTTCTCAGCAAGCGATTGGATTATGAGACACTTGATCGAAAGGTACTTTTTTTTAAACAAATTTAGAACTAAATTTTTTAAATTTAAGAACAAATTTTGTTTTCGTCTATTTTAGTTGATCAAATTTAAAGTGCGAGCTCTTGCAAGAGATTATGAAATTACTCGTCACATGTCCGAGGCAAATGTGATAATTCAAGTTCAGGATATCAATGACAATAGTCCAATTTTTAATCACAAGGATTATAAAATTGCAATACTTGAATCAGCAACGCCTTCGAAAATTGTTCTTAATGCGAAAGCAACTGATATGGATAGTTCAAATACAGAAGAAGAAAAACAACGAGGTTACGGAGAAGTTAGATATTCATTAACTGGAGAAAATGCCAACATGTTTGAAATTGATTCTGTTAATGGAAATATTAGGGTGAGTTTTATCAATTAATTTTATATATTTATCAATACTTATTTATCAATATATTAATTTTTATTCCAGATTGCGGAAAATTCAACTCTCGATAGGGAAAAACAATCAGTCGTTCGTTTTTACATCATTGCGTCAGATATGCCAGAAGGTGGTGTTGAACAAAAAACAACGAGAGCATTAGTCACTGTTGATATTTTAGACGTCAATGACAATGCTCCGAGTTTTATTCAAAATTCCTACACTGCAGTAATTCCAGAAAATGCTCTACCAAGCGTCAGTATTGTTAATATTACAGCTGTTGATCCCGATGAAGGTCCAGGTGGAAATGTACATTATGAAATTATTGACGAAGGAGAAGCAAATGGTAGAGTAAATTTATTTTATTAATTTGAATTTTATTTTTCTGTCTTTTAAAAAATGAAATTTTCTTTTTTAATTTAGGTCTTTTAAAAATCAATCATACATCGGGTGAAATATCATCAGCGAAAAAATTAACTGGTAAAGGAAGAACAGATCCCTATGTGATGAGAATAAGAGCTCAAGATAGTGGACAACCTGCATTATATTCCGATGTTCTTTTAACGCTATACATTGGCGATGTTGTTAGTAATGATGGTGTTCCCCTTTTTATTCGTCCAACACTCGATGAAGTTGCATATATTGCAGAAAATTCAACATTAAAAAGTCCCGTTTTTCAAGTTGTCGCCTCAGATCCCGATGATCCAAATTTACCAAATGGTAAAATAATATTTAAATTTTTAGAAGATGGCAATTTTGTCAGTGATTCAAGTGCATTTGAATTAAATCAAGAAACTGGCTTAATAACAACAAGAAAACTTTTAGATAGAGAATCAAAAGATTCATATACTTTAATTTTAATTGCTCAAGATTTGGGCAATCCACCACAACAAGCAACGAGAATTTTACAAGTGAAAATAATTGATATCGACGATCATAAGCCACATTTTAAACGAAATCTCTATAGCCCACCAATTGAATTGAACATTCAAGAGGAATTACCAATTAATTCAAAGGTGGGAATAATTGAAGCAATCGATGAAGATATCAATGAAAATGGAATGATTGATTATGCCATAATTTATGGTAATGAAGAGGGTTTATTTTCCATTGAACGTTTAATAAATAATTCAGCAATTATAAAATCAGTGAAAAAATTAGATCGCGAGATAAATGATAAACATTTATTGACAGTAAAATGTTTTAAATATTTACCAAATAAATCGGAAACAATTCAATCGGTAAAAATGTACAATCGTCAAGATCCATCGGAGAGACAAATTTTAATAAAAGTGATTGATATCGATGACAATAGACCAGAATTTGCAAAGGAAAATATAACATTGGGTGTACGTTTAAATGTACCTATTGATACAAGTCTAATAACATTGGAAGCGAATGATGTTGATTCCGATTCACTGCCAATTAATTACATAATGGGAAATGTCTCCTTTGTATCGCTAGTCGATTCAACAATGTCACGTAAAGAAATACCATCATATTTATCACTTAATTCAGAAAGTGGTGAACTTAGAACAACAGGATCGTTGGCAAGTTATTCAGATGGTTATATAGAAATTCCAATTGTGGCAAATAATTCAATAGATGCGAAAAGACAAACAAATATTATATTGAGAATATTTTTACTTAGAGATAGAGATATGTTGAAATTTGTTTTTTCAAAACCACCAGCTGAAGTGAGTAAAACACTGGAAAATTTTGAAAAAGCTGTACAACAAGCATTATCATTGCCAATAACTGTTAATGTTTATGACACACAATTTTATGCAAAAGATGATAATTCACTTGATTTTTCATCGACAAGCTCATGTTTTCAAATGGTTGGCAAAGAAGTTTATGATCTTCATGAAATGAAAACATTATTAACTGATGAAAATAATGAGGAATTGAAGAAAGTTTATAGGACATATCATGTTGATAAGGTGCAAAATTGTGCAAAGACAATTTCACGCGCTGATGCATCTAAAACACAAATGTGGGTTCTTGCTATTGCTGTATTGGTTGGAATTGCAACAATAATTTCCAGTTGTACATTATGCTGTATGCATTCCAAGTAAGATTATTTATTCATTTTTTTAAATTAAATTCTAATAAAGAAAAAAAGAATGAATATTTTTTAGAAAAAACAGTGGTAACATTTTTGGTTTGTATTTTAGGTATAAAAAACACTTGAAACATGCTCGACTAAGGGAACAGCCGAGATGTTGCAGTGCAGCATCTCACACATCTAGACCAACTGTTGTTCCTCTAGGACCACATGAAAATCCCTATGAATGGGGAGCTGAAAACACACTTTATCATCCCGGTACTGTTTCAAGACCTTAAAAAGGTACAAAAAGTGTCTAAATTTTACAATTTAAAAAATTTTAATCGAGTGCCAATTATTATTATTATTATTTGAGTTACTTGTGTCAATTCACTAAAAATCATCTCTCTGACATAATTTTAAAAAATCTCGTTTTAATATTATGTGAAAATCGATGAATTTTTAAGTTCATTCAACATAATATATTATCGAGTAAATTTTATTTCTTTTAATGATATTACTCATCAAAAAAAGAATGTTCTCTCTGTTCTTTTATAAGAATAGAAAGAGAACAGAAAAAAAAATTTTTTTAATCCTAAAATTAATCTTTTCAAGTAAAAAAATTTTTAAATTTAATATTTTTGAAACGGAGTAAAGTATCTTCGTCGAATTTTAATAACATATAAAAATTAGTAAAAATTTCACATTTATATTAAAACTTGATTTTTTAAAAATATTGCAACAACCATTATTAGATGATTTTAAATCGATTGACCCATACTTTATTTTCAAATATCTGCAGAAAAAAAAATTGCAAGCGGATATAAAAATTGTTTTAGTCATATTTATTATTATTATTTTATATATTATATATATATATATATTTTTTTTTTTTTTTTTACTGAATATTGAACAAAGTGTTTATAGTATATGTATTACCATTTATACATATATAATTTGTATACATTTTTTAGAATTTATTTTCGCTTGACGCACAAAAATTTTGTTGAGATGCAATATATAAATATGTACATTTAATTAAAGTTAATTTAAATATTTATAATTGAAAACGATTTATTTCATTGTTTCCAATTTTTAAAAAAAGATCTTATTGTTTTAAAATCTTAATTTTAAATTTTACTTTAAAAAAATAGTATTTCTTCTTATGCTAACAAAGAGGAAAACAAATTTTTGAAAAATAGAGGGCAAAAAGGAATAAAATTATTTCAACATTATTTTTTCCATTTATTTTAACAAACATTTAATTTGAAACAACAAATTCTAGACAATATAACTATATATTTTCAACAGTGTAAGATTAATTATTATTGTGTCCTTGGACATTGGCTCGGGGAAATTTTTATTTCACCTAAATAAATGAACTCTTTAAATAATCATTAAAAAAATAATTTGCTTTGATATAAATTTTTATATCAAATTTTTTTGATGCTTATTTATGTTGTTTAACATAAATGTTAAATACTTTTCTTTCTTTTTCTTTAAAAAAGAAAATTTGCCATCTGGATACTCATTCGAGTAATTATTTATCATTTTCTTAATATTTATAATAATAACTTATTATTATTATTAATATTAATGTATTACATTGAATTGACTCCCTAACAGTTTTATTGTGCTTTAATATCAAAATATAGTTTAATACCTTAATAAATTAACAGAAAAACTATAATAAATATTTTTCTATTTTTCTCTAAGCTTTTTATATGAAAATTATTGTAAGCTATAAATAGTTTTGCAAAATTATACATATTAATTTTTTTTTATTGAGTCATCCTAATATTTCTACATATATTTTTTAGAATTGTTTATTTTTAATCAACAATTTATTTTTTCTACCTCTACAAATTTTAATTCTTCATTCAAAAAATATTCTTTTAAAATTAACAACCATTTGTGGAAAAGATTTATTTCTAAAAAAAGAAAGAAAAACTGATGGAAGAACTTTTAAAGTTAAATTGCCCAATTTAATTAATTATTATTTATAACAAATCAAACTATTTCAAATAGTTTGATTTTCGAAAACTCTTCAATAAACTTTAACATTATATTTAACATTTTTTTCCTGTGTTCATCTATAAAGATTTATTTGTAGTTATCTAAAAACTTGTTTTTAACAAGATACAAATATATAATATGCGCATGCATTAAAATTATACACAGGAATTAGAAAAATGTTTTTGCATTATAATTTAGATAAAAGTACATATAAAATATTTTCCTCTGTTTTTTTTTGTTCATTTGAAAAAATTGAATCAAAAGAATTTATTTTTTCGCAAATTCATTTAAACAAACAAAATTATCAAAAAATCCTTTTTCGATTTATTTTGTTTTATATATAAAAAATATTTGATACTTAGGTATAAATATTTACTTATTGTATGGAATAAATCACAGAATTCATTTTTAATAAACAAGCTTGATAGGTCGTATACTCTTTTCATTATATTATTTATTTATTTAAAATTGAGTCGTTAACAAAACTGCAAAAAAATTTCCGAATAAAAGATTGTAACATTGTACAAAACAAATAATTATATATTATTACTTTTACTCACATTGTTTTTTTTAATTGTTGTTATTTCCAATATTATTGATTGTTAAATGCAATTAATTTCACTTAAATTATATTTTACAGTAAAACATTTTTTTTGAAAAATGTAAATATAAAAATTACCGACATAGAAATCTACCTTACCGACTGATGGTAAAGCAGTTTTTTTTTTGAAAAATGAAAACATAAAAATTACCGACATAGAAATCTACCTTACCGACTGATGGTAAAATTTTATATGTTCTTTTTAAAAACTGTTTTACCATCTGTCGGTAAGGTAGATTTCTAGGCCGGTAATTTTTATAGTTTCAGTTTCCAAAAAACTGTTTTGCCATCAGTCGATAAGGTAGATTTCTATGTCGGTAATTTTTTATTTTAAAAACTGTTTTACCATCAGTCGGTAAGGCCGATTTCTATATCGGTAATTTTTATATTTTCATTTTTCAAAAAAAAAAACTGCTTTACCATCAGTCGGTAAGGTAGATTTTTATGTCAGTATTTTTTATATTTTTCGACAGTTTTACCATTTTATTAATTTTTTAACCATTTATGTAATAAAATTAAAAATATTGAATGTAAAAATTATATTTTCTTTTTTTGTACAATGAAACATTTTATGAAAAAAATGTTTGTCGTTTTGTTAACAAATCTTAAATATTTTTTTAAACTTCTCACATATATATTTAAAAATTGATCTCCTGGACCAATAATAACATTTGTAGAATATTTTTTATATTTAATGGTTTTTTCCTGCTAATTTAGACGTAAGTCTGTTGGAAGATACGGTATTTCGATATTGGACAATTATTTTTCGATTGACACATTATTTTTTGTCTTTTACATAATTATTCTGTTTTAATCACACACTTCCACTATATATGTGCTTTCTTTTAATCTTATTATTATTATTATTATTTAATATAATTCTCTCTCTTTTTTCTAATAACTATTCATCTGTACAAAATGAATCAAATCGAATTAAAATTGTTTGATTTTAAATCTAAGTAGCGAAAAAGGTCGCTTTTAAAAACAGAATAAAATTCGATTCGATTCAAATTTTGAGCAGCTCTTTTTTCATAAATATGTATATTCATTATACATATTTGAATTTTAAAAAATATTTTTTTTTCCTTTGTAAAAATAAGAATGGTATTCAAAAATTATTTTGCAATAAGTATCATGTCAATAATCAAATTTCATTTTTAAATCGTCAAAAAAAATTACATCTTTCATTTATTGTCAAAAAATATGTATTGAAACGTATTTTATATATAGAATTAGAAAATAATTATCATTTTTTATAAAAATTAGATTATTAAAATGAAAATACGAGAAAACTGACATGATTACTTTTCATGTTTCCATTCTAAAAAAAGGCTTTTAAATTTGTTCATTATCTATTATTGTCTCGATTTTTCATTTTCAAAGAAAATGAATGACCCTATTTTTATATTTAATATCATCATCGTTTTCAGCGATGGATATAATTTTTTTTCTTTTTTTGAAATTCAAAAAATTGGCACGTTTGGCAAGCACTTGCACTTGCGTGCTATTGTCCGAAATTTCATATTGAATAACTTACTATATGGATATATTTTTTTTCTTTTAAATATCAATATTTTTTTAGAATTTGGCATTTTGTCTTCTGAGATCATTGGGAATTATCATTGTGAGAAATGTTCCCAGTGTAAGAGTAACACAAAGACCAATGTTTGCCCAAAAATCACCCCATTCTTTAATTAAAAACCCAGAAAGTGAAGTAAATGCAATGCCAAAAACTTGTGTCATTGCATTTAATAAACCAGCTGATGTACCTTCTGGTTCGGGATATGTTAATTCAGCAGCAAATTCAAAGCCCACAGGTAAATATCCTGTCATGAAGAATCTAAATAATGAATTTAAAATTGATTAAAATTGCTACATTAATAAAAATAATTAATTACTAAATAAATAAAAACAAACTTACCCTAATAATCCAGCAGTGACATAGACAACGTAAATTTTTCCACAATCAAGTGTGAAGGTAAAAATGATCATTCCAACTAATGAAAATAAATAGACACCAAGAGTCGTTTCCCTGTGAATAAAAATAAAAATAATCACATTTTATAAATAGAAACAGTGAACTGAAAAAAATTAATTTTAATTAATAATAAAATATATTGAAGAATAATAAAATTTTAAGTTAGACTTGAAAAGTAAATAATTGAAAATAAGTTTAATTTAATTATCGGAAAAGGAAAAAAACACCAACTTGAATTTGTGTGTTTTGTCTAAAACAACTCCACACATCACTGATCCCAGCATTCCAGCACAAACTATTGTTAAACCAATTCTGCCAGCGTCCATGCTTGAATTCTAAATGCATAGATTAATATTATTAAATTTTTTATCAAATTTGGATTAAAAAAAAATAAATTGTTAAAAAAATTTTCTCAGAAAGAAAGAAATAGAAAAAATAGGTTTTTAATATGCAATAATTAAAATTCATCATCAAAATTGATATTTACCTCATAATGCTTCTCAAGAATTTGACTGAGAAGTGTGCTGATAGCGTAAAAAATGCCAACATTAATTGCATAGCTTAGCAAAAGTATTAGATAACCAATATTTGACATTAGACGTTTGACTGATTGGAAAAAAGTTTCACTATCCTCAGCATCACGTTGAACCGCTTGTGCTGGACTCGGTGGAAGTGGTGGTTCAGCTTTAAAAACTAGATTACATTTCATGAATATTCAGTATTTAAATATAAAGAGCCTCTTGATTTAAAATCAGAAATATATTATATTCTCTCTTTTTTCATATAGTAACTATATATGTCAAGAGTAATCGAGTGTGCAAAAATTAAAAATATTCTCAAATTTTTTTTATTCTTTTTTTTGATATAATTTAATATTATTATTATATAAGTTATAAAACGGAATTTTACTTACATATTAAAATTAAGGCTAAAATTATGGACGTAAATGCAGCGACTATATAAAACATAAGTCGTAATCCTTGGCCAACGATTTCTGGATTTTTACTTTCTGGAACTAACATCGGTGGAAACAAAAATCCAATTGCAATTCCCAACTAAAAGAGTGAAAAAAATTTTAATTATTAATTTCTAGAGTATTTATATTTAGAATTACATTACTCTTTATTTCAGGGAAAAAACCAGTGTGCAAATTCAATACATCGAAATTTATTATATTTTATTTGTGTTAAATAAATAAAAGATTTCTCTAGGTGCTTTATTTGAAAAAATTTAGCTTGCAAAGAAGGAAATGAAATTTTTTTTTGCTCATATTGGGAATTGAACAAATTATTATCAACTCGCATGGGAAATAAAAAGTTAAAGCAGGATGTGACTACATAAAGAGTGAGATATTCATGAGTATATTGAGCATCAGTTATCTCTCTTGGAAATTCTATTTGACTAGATGTACTATTTTTTTAAATAGTTAAGTATACCAATTATTTAATTTTTTTCCTCCTTTATTTTTTTATTATGATCCCCTACGAATTTTTGTCTTACATCCAGAGAAAAGATATATTTCTCTCAGAGCTTTATTTGTTTCAAATATATTTTATTTGATTTAAAACTTCGAATATGAAAATGAAAAATGAATAAATTTTAATGAAACTTGTTTTTTGAAATAATTTAATATAAATATAAATAATGTAATAATAGTTTAACTCTTTATTTTTCGTAATAGCAATATGTATAGAGGCGATTATATACCATTTTAAAACAAATTAGGTGTATTAGGGAGTATTAGGGAGCACCTTGGTTAAATTGAATCACTTATGATATACACACACATGTATATCACACATTTATTACACAACTGATTCAGAGGATAAATATAAAGACTTCAAAATTTAATTCCAGAGAAAAAAATTAATATAATAATATTAAACAATGATGAAGATAACAAAAAATGTTTTTAATCATTTTTAAAATAAAATACCTTAATTTAACCTTGCGCGATAATTACGATTTTTTAGTTTATCTTTATTTATAAATATATAATGCATGTAACGTTTTCCATGTTTCATTTTTCTCTTTTTTTATAAATGAACAATTAAAAATAATAATTTATAAATTAAAAAATATACCTGATTTCCAAAAACTCCTATACTGCACGCACTCGAAACTTGATCTGGTCCAAACCAAACGGCAGCCAAACGTGCAGGTACCGAAAGAATAAATGTTTGACTAATTGCTACCAAACTATGGCCAAAAAATCCAATCCAAAATCGATCGGGAACGGCACTAAAGACTTTTATCCATGAACCAGTTGCTGTTCCAACGGCACCAAAAATTGCTGCAAATCGAAGGCCCTGAAATTATTATTATTATTTTTTTTTTTGCAACATTTAATACCGAAAATTTTGATATAATTTACTTACAAATTTATCTAAAAGGTAACTTGCTGGAAAAATAAATGGAATATATGTAATCATAAAAATCATGCTCGTCATATCGATGGCAAATGTTGATACATTGTAATATTCTGCAACTGTATTTGCAATAATACTGAACTGAATCCATTGCATGGCATTGCTGGCACTATAGAGGACAAATATTCCCAATATTAACCATCTTCTTTTATATATTTTCGTTTCGACTGCCTGCAATACACAAAATTTTTTTTTAACTTCTTCTTTGTTATTTTATTTGAATAAAAAATAGTCATTTTACATTATCAATTTCTTTTACAATAAACGTGACAATTAAATTTTTTTAATTAATTAATTATATTTCTATATATATATAAAAATTGACATTAAAAATATGAAAATATTACCTGGGTTGGTGATATACCGCCTTCAACGGCTTTAACATATTCTGTTGTTGATTTTGACATTTTAAAACTTCATTACAGGCTCAAAAAAAATGATGACAAATTCCCTAAAATAAAAAATTATAGATAATTAAACAAATTTTGCTTATAAAATAAAACAAGGAGGGGGTTCTTTATGTTTATTTCATAAACATTTTGCTTCCTCATTGTGTGAAGCAAAAAATTTGCTTCCTCGTGGAGGAAGCTATGAATTCTCCAATTCAATTGATTGATTTAAAACATTTCGAGTAGCAAACTGTTATAAATTAATTAAATTTTTTGAAAAATTAAGAAAATTTTAATTCATTTAGGGTGTAACATATGCTTTATATATACGAATCGATTCGTTTCAATTCTGGGAATAAAATTATTTCATATATAAACATGAATTTAAAAAAACACAACATTTTTTAGCTAAAATGTGAATTTTTGATTCGTCTACAAATAATAATTCAATAACCGCAGTAAATTTGTTTTTCTTTAAATAAGTTAACAAAAATTTTAGTTACATATATTTTTGTAAAATAGTAACAGTAGGGACGATAACTATAACTATGTGTGTCAACTTCTTGAAAAAATCTTCTAATTAGGGCTGTAACTTTTTTTACATAATGACTCTTTTAATACTGTTTCCTTTCTTATATTTTTTAATTAAAAAAAAAGAAAGAATGTAGAAGAAGAACAGATAAAAAAATTAAATATAAACATTTTTAAAAAAAAAATAGTATAAAGAATTATAAAATAAATTATATAGTTATTTTCATAAATAAATAAATAACTAAATTAATATAGTTACAGAAATTAAAATCTAATTATTATAAAAAAAAATTTCTGCACATAAAATTCTATTAAAATTTTCAATTCCTTTTTTGTAATTCTTTTTTCTTTTTTTCTTTTTTATCGTGAGAAAAAAAGAGAAGGATTTTTTGTCTACTTTCATACGTGAAAAATAATTTGTCTTTCTTTTTCTTTCCCTCTTGAGAGAAGTAAGATAATTGCGCTAGAAAGAATCTTTTCACATTTTGCAGTAAAGTAGTGTGTTCCATTTTAGTACCACTGGACCAAAAACATTTAAAATTGTATTGTTCTCACTTATATTTTTGAAGGTGGCAAAAATTGTTGGGAAAGTATATATGTATATACTATGAGAGAGAGAGAGAGATTGTATCGAAAATCGATTAGGAATGTGGGTTCCGAAAATTTAACGAGTTTTGTTGAAGGTCATAACGTAATATACACCATGAAACAACTTTAGATATTATTAAATACTTTGTGTAAAATAGAAGAGAATAATAATAAATTTTTTTTATACCAAAACAAAATTTTATTTGGCGCAAATAAAATTTTTTTTGATAAAAAATAGTAAAAACAATAGTAATTTGTTATAATTAAAATAATCTGAAATAGATATATTTTTATTTAATTCAAATAAATTATAATTTATTGCAATAAAAGAAAATTTCTCTGGATGTATAGAGAGCGATTTAAATAAAAAAAATTATATCATTTTCTGAAATTTTTTTTGTTTATCTACAATATGGATTTTTGATATCAAAATATCGATAATAATAATAAAATGTCTATTAAGAGGGAGTAAAAGAACTTGTTATCGATTTTAATAAATAAATCCGCATGCTGTTTTCTCATACGAGTGTACCTGTACAATTATGTAAATTATTGTAACAGGAAAATGACTAGACTTGCATAAGATAACAGTTTACGTTGATTATTTAATTTATTAACAAACAATTATCACTTAGATAAAGTACTTATAAATTTGTCGATTTATTTAAAAAAATTAATAATAAATAAAAAATATTAGATCTTAAAAAAAATGTTATTGAAAATTTTTGGTCAATTTTTTCTTTTGTTTTTATTTTCATTCGCTTTTATAAACATTTAATAAAATAAATAAAATATTAAATAATAATGAATAAATAATAAATAAAATAAATTTATTTTTAGTGTACTATTTTTTGCAAAAAAAAAATGAAGTAAAAAGTTTTGAAAAACTTCTCGCTAATTAGGAAGTCTGTCTATTTTCTCTAAAAAACAAACAAACAAAATTTCTTTTTTAATCCAGAAACAAAAAAATGAAAGTTGGAAATATTAACAATTAGTCCTGTAAAATAAAAGATAAATTAAATATCAATTAAAAAGACATCGAATTTTAGAATTTTTACTCACAGTTTTTTCCTGTACTCTAGTATTATTCTGACTTGAAGACACTTTTTTTAAAAATATTATTCACATTAAGAAAATATACGTCTGATCTCTGTTTGCTCTCTTATCACAATGAGTTTATCTTTTTCGTGTATTTTTATGTTTTTCATAAAATATTCTTTTACTTGCTCCCAAAAGATTATTATTTAAGACCTCGATTTATTGTCGATGTATTTTATTTATTTGTTTTTCTAACAAAAACAAATAGGTCCACGTGGTTCTATAGATCTATTTACAAATTCTTAGGCTTCATTCAAATATATTAATGCTGGTAAGGTAGGTGGACTCATCAAAATAGATTAATAATTATATTTATTCTGTATTTTTTTTTCTTTTAGCTTCGTCATTAATCTCTCTTTTTTTTAATTGTTTCCTATATAAAATAGAAATTTATATAATTCATTGTAATTTAGATAATTTCCTCTCAATATTAAAGATTTTTTAAAAAATGTTTTTCAAATAATGCGCGGGATTTTCAATTTTCTTTTCTTTTTCTTAAATTGGAAAAATTAGAAAGGGGTGAAAAAAATAATTGTGCGTAACTTGTTCAGTATATGAACAGCTGTGTTCCGCGTATATATATGTATATTATCTGAGTCTAAGTATATCGATTAGTATAGACCCAAAAAAAAGAAAAAAGAAAAAAATAATGTCGTGTGATAAATGATTGTAATTTTCAAATTTCCGATAATTGTCAATTTTTTTAGAACTAATTTTAAGTTAATAAAAACGAAAATTTTGCCAAAAGGAGATAGAGAGAGACTTTTAATAAAGAGATGTTTGTTTGACGAGAAGCGAAGCTCGACTGGCTCGATGCTTCTGCGCGCAAATGGGACCATCATTGCATAGCAGCACTAACTCACTCTCAATTTCATTTGAAATAGGTGTTATAAATGTTTCTCCAGCATCAGTATCATCATCATCATCATCATCGTTATTGTCCACTGTCGTCGTCAAACTGAAAAAAATTGATATTCTTAATTAAGAGTAAAGAAATTTTTATTTTATTTTATTTAACAACAATAAAATGTATGCAATTTTTTGTTATTTGCAAAAATAGAAAGCAAAACAAATATATTCTTAAATTTAGAATAAATTTGTTTCTAATACACACCAATGTGTGAAAATTTTTAAAAGGAATATAAAATTTTTCCTTACTTATATATTTTTCATTTTCTAGTATAAATTAGAAAATAATTGTTCTAAGAAAATGAGTAAGGAAAAATTACATTGATGAGTAATAGTACTAATTCTTTTTTGAAAAAAAATCAAATAATGAGAATAAATTTTTCAAATTTTTTTTATATATTTATTAAATTACGTAATTCGCTCGAGTTGTTGGAAAAAGGGTTGACATTTGTGGCCCAGAACATTTTTGGTTTGGCATTTATAACATTTGGATTCGTCTTTAATGGTGGTTCTACAATGGGAGATTCTGCATCGATAGTGTGTGTGTATATATATATATATATGTCGACGTTGACCTCCTTGCTATATGTCAATTTAATGCGTGCGCAGATTCATATAAACAAATTTTTTTTTGTATATTCATCCGAATTTAAAAAAAATTACCAAATCTATTATTTTTTTTAATTAGCTATAGTTAATTTTTATTTTTTGTTAAAATTTATAATAAAATTTCTCTTATGCTATTTTCAAAAAAATTTCTTTAGTTTCTAAATGATTCATAAATATTCTAAATTTAAGATTATAATCTTCGTTACTATTTAAGAACATGTAAAATGGGTACACGCATTTTTATTTTTCCAGGCAGAATTCGTTTACTTTAAAAAAAAAATATGTAGCTATTTTCACAAAATTATCTGATCTAATTTTTATCGTAAACTGCACTTATATTGAGAGAATATTTAATAATAATTTTCTATTGCTTGTATATATATATGCACAATATATATAAAAAAATTTGAAATGTCAAATAATTTTTACTGCACAAGTATTTTTTTTAATTATATCAAAAAATACTACTATATGAATTTCCAGTTCCTGATTCCCAGTTCTTACGTTATATGCTATCAGTGAATGTATGATAACCAGTAAGTACCATTTTCTTTAGAACAAGACTCACAGTCTTTACGATCATTTCACATAGGCAACAGGTGTTGAAAAGTTTCGAAAAAAACACACAAATATATATGTATATATCAAAAAATAACATTGACCTATAAAGTTTTTTTTTATAATAAAAAAAATATATCATGCTTCGTTATTTAAAAAAAAAAAAAATTTGCGACAATTTTTAATTGAAATTTAAATAATGGTAAAAATGTATGTGTCACCGTGGGGAATTGCTGCATTTTCCTGTCTATGTTTATTATTGATAACATTCAAAAAAAGGTGAGTTGTTACTTTTCATTTTGAAAAATATAGAATCATCGAAAAAAAGAATTTAAAGTTAAGAAATTATAATCATGACTCTTAATTAATAATATAATTAATATATATTTTATTCTTACAGTTAGAATATAATGTCAAAATATTATTAACATCAAAAATATTCTCATTTTAAGTATATTTTTATTTAAGAATAATTTTTTAATTTACGAACTGTTTTCCTATTTTACATAAAAAATGTTTTAAGAAACAATTATTCTTAAACGTACATGTAATATTCTCAAAGTAATTTATTCTCAAATTAAGAATACATCCTAGACATATGTTTAAAAATATTCTAATGTAATTTTTTCTTAAATTTACTACTTCTATTCCAAAATAAAAAAATATATTGTAAATAAAAGAATGTATTTTAGAAAATATTTTTATTTTAAGACTAGAATATACTAAATTTAAGAATAAATTTCTTTTAAGGGACAAATTGCATATTCTATTTTTTTAGAATTACTATATGAATTATTACGTAAAAATAATGCGTTTTTTAAATCTATTTTAATAAAATTTATTCTAAAAACAGTAAGACACTCTCTTCCTCGATTCTTATCTCAGGGAATTGCATTCTCCGGTAGATTTCACTGTTAGAATCGCAACTGTTTGAATTCACGCATGAAAAAATTTCAGGTCAACAAATGAACAAAAAAAAATTAGCACAAGATTATATATTCGCTAATCTGGAAAAACATTAATCAATACTTTTTAAATTACAATAGAAATTTAAAAAACATATGAAATATTTAATTCCAATGAGAGAAATATTTATATTTCAACTTTTAAAAATTAATTGTCTTATCAAATTTTCTTATCACAATATATATATAAGTATACATATCACACTCTGGCGGTACCTCATGACAATCATATTGTATGATTTTCCAGGTTAAAATAATTAAAATTTTTTAAAAATACCTGTTTTTTGATAATTTGTTATAGTTGTTTTTTTTGTTAGAATTATTAGTAAAAATTTATTGAAACTTGAAAATTTATATTGCTCTATAATAGACGCGAACCGTTTTTGCACAAAGTGTTTATTTATAAATTTACATGTTTCTATTTTTGTAACCTATCGGGAAACATTTTTTTTTGTAAATAATATAATTATACTCTTGGTAATAGGCCCCTGGCAATAGGCAATTCTATTTTGTTACAAGTTGGATGTGTATATATACAAACAGGAGAAAAATATTCTTAAATTGAGAATATATTTTTGCGGCAATTATTTAAAAATATTTTAACGCAATTTACTCCTATATTTAATAAAAACGGAAAAATCCCGATTTAATTCATTAAATATTGAAAAATAAAAACATTTTTAAAATAACTGATCATTCTATAATTTAAAAAAAAAATTTATAACATTTTTTTAACAATATATTAATTGACTAATAATAATAATAATAATTACTTAACAAAAAATTAAATAAATTAATATATTATAGATATTAAAATATTGATAGAAATATGAATTCTTATAAAATTGAAAAACTTGACTTTCAAAGAAATTGAATCGATTTTAATGTTTAAATTTCTAAATTGAAAATCATGTTACGTTTAAGTGCGCGATAAACTAAAGTTATTTAAATTATAATTTAATTTAAAAGCCAAGACACGAACGTACCGTTTGGTTCCGTTGTGAAGATAGGGGGGAGGCAGGAGGAAGTGAGCCCGGAAATGAAGCGTATAACCATAGCATTGTTAAACTCGCTCTAGTACGTCCCATAACTATAAAACTTATAGTGTGACTCCTGTAAAAAAACAAATAATATTATTAAAAATAGTTTTTATTTTTTACAATTTCTAAATTATTATTAGGTGACATAAACATACAAGTTGCTTCACACATTCATGAAATCGGTTCATGTGAAAAAATTAACAGTGCTTCTTTTACGAACAATTTTATGTCGAAAAAATAAAAAAAGGTAAAAAAAATATTTTTAATCAAAAGAAAACGTTGTTTAACTAAGTTAAAATAAAAAAGAATAAAATATTCTTTAATTTTTAATAATTTGTTTTTTAGTTATGATGCAAATTATAGACAACTTCAATTTAGTATATACAGACAAAAAAAATTTATTGTGAAAATAATTTACGTCTTCTTTATATATATTTTTAGATGTTTATTTTAACGCTAAAAAGGCAATTAGAATAAGTCAATTTTGCATAGAAGTTTGAAAGGTCAAGATCGCAGAGCTATTTGTGGTCGAGATAATAAACCAAAATTTCTCATCTATATGAAATTCAGTCAAGTGGACATATCTCCACTCCTTGAGATGAAAAAATTATAAGGATTATTCTATCCTAATATATATCTACATTAAATCAAATTAATCAATAACCTCAATAGAATTTCAATAATATTATTTAAATCAAATGGTGATCGTATATTGCACCAAAAATATTGTGATTTTAAGAATATTTTAATGCAATTTATTCTCATATTTTGTATATTCCGCTTTAAAAATAAGAATATATTCTAAATAGTATAAGTAAAAATTCTCAAATTTAGAGTACAGTAATTTTATACTTGTTTTAAGAGAAAATTAATTGATTAGTTAATAAATTGTTATTAATCGATGAATTAAAAGTTATTATAGAAAACAAATATAATTAGATAAATAAATAAAAATCTATAAATTAGAAAACTTGTTTAATATAAGGAAAATATTCTTATGAAAGTTGAAGTTAAAACAAGTTTTCAAATAATAACAATTTTCTATACGCAGGAAAATGTCAAAAGACATTAATTTCTGTTAAACTTTCTATTAATATTTTTAAATTAATATTAAAAGTTTGATTCTAGATGAAAATTTTTAACTACATATATCGAACAAAATAATACAATTATGCTTTTCACGCGGCATTAAAGTGATTGTATCATTTTGAACCTACATTGAATTTAAATGCGCATACATATAACATACTGAAATAAATATACTTAAATTGAGAATATATTTTTTTAGCACTTGTTTTAAAACACTTTGACAATTTATTCTTAAATATATATTATTCTTCTATTAAAATTAAAATATATTCTAAATAGTAAAAAAAATATACTCTTAAAATGAGAATAAATTTTAAATGCAAAAAGTTTATCTTCTCCAACTTAGAATATATTCTCATTTTAAGAATAAATTGCATTGAATTACTTTGAAATAAAGGTACCAAAAATATTCTCAATTTTATTCTAACTGTAAGAATAAAATGAAGAAAATTATAAATTTTCATTTTTTTAAATTAAATTTTAGATTTTTAAATCTAATGTCAATTGATATATTCTCATATTTTCATAATCTTTCACAATGATATGCAACATAAAATATGTATATTCTTTTCTTTCTTTTTTTTCAATGAGAAATTAACGGATTAAAGTAAAATGTTGTGGTTGGTTGAAAGCAAACATGAAACTCATTTTACTTTCGGTCTCACACCGTCGTAAGACTGTCACTTTCAAAACAGTCTCCGCAACAGTGCAACACTTATAAATGAACAAGTCATTTATATATTCTGAATAAATTGAAACACGCATTTTCTATTGTTATTCAATTTTTTTTAAACAATTAATATCTTTTATTAATCCTAATAATAAAAATTATAAGAATATAAAAATAAACAAAAGAAATAATAAAAAAAGTACAAGAAGAAAACATGTGAAAATAATAATAATAATAATAATTTTTGAAGCAAAAAAAAATAGAAATGTGGTCAAAAAGTGCGAGAAAATAAACATAAATAAATAAAATCAACAATCAGTGAGAAAATATCTGTATATAAAATAGTGCGGAAATACTTAAAAATTACTGTGTGTTAAAATAAAAACCGCGCTTGACAAGTGAGAAAAATATAACCATTGTATATACTGTTTTGTGAGAAAATTAATGACGTGACAAAAGAAAATTATAATAGTGGAAGATTCACTGTATATATATATATATTTAACAAAAGAGAAAAAAAGTATATTTGGTTTCAGAACGAATTTAATTTTCTTCCTCTTTTTGTTTGCGAATTTTTATAATTTATTTGCAAAATCAATTCTTTAAAAAACATAAATTAGATAATAATATAAAAAAAAATTATAATATGGCGACATTTTGTTTTTTCTTTTTCCTAATTACTATCGAGGTTGTTGTTCTCAAGGTATTCACATATGATCCAGAGATCGAAGATGAAAATTCAAGGGCTTGGTTTAACTGAAATTTGAAAGTAAATTGAATCTTCGTTTTGTAAACCTTGACTTTAATATAATTTTATAATAACAAAAATATTTAATTAATTAAATAGTATAACTTTAAAAAAAAATAATAATAAAAAATTAATAATAATAATAAAATTAAAAATAAAAGTTTCACGCTATTGTAAAAGCAGCGCACAATTTTTTTTTCATTTTTTAGTCATGTTATCTGAACAAAAAAAGGGAATATACAAATTATAATATAAATATCCATCGTGAGAATGTAAATGACAACAAACTTTTATCATTGTAACAAAAAAGAAAAATTCTTTTTTTCAAACGTAACTTTACGTGACTCGAATGAAATATTCGGTTTTTCAATAAAGTCTAAAAACGTTTGCAAAATTTTAAACGATGACAGTATCTATACTATATTATATATATATATAAATGACAAATATTATTAATATAGAAAAACAATTTTTTAAAAAACGTATTCTTTTATTAAACTGAAATATTGTATTGAGAAAAAAAGAAAGAGAAAAAAAGGTGAAACAACTTTTGACACTTATGGTAATTCGAAAAAAAAAAGAAAAAAAATATTTTTTAAGGGTCATTCCATTTATATTACATATTATATTTAAAGTCATATTGTGGTCTATTTTTAGAACATTGTAATATATACAAAGAATGAGTTTCATATATCTAAAAAAAATTTTTTTAATTAAAAATGGTTTTAACAAGAAAATGTTGAAGTTAAATTAAATTTTACTTTGACTCCGTCTGCAATATTTTTCCCTCAAGTTGGAACTTCATTTTCTTAATAAAAGTTTTGCGTTTGAAGAATATATATATATATATATATATATATATATATATATATATATATATATTTTTTTTTTTTATTTAATTTACTTTTTTTCTTTATAATTCTCAGATTAATCAATGTGAAAAATTTGTTTTTAAAAGGAAAAGAATTTAAAGATTAAAATTATTTAATCTCTTATCAAGATATATTTGTAATTGTATAAATGAAAAATATAATTTTAATTTTTCGCAAATTTTTTTCAATTTAAAAATAGACCACAACGACTTTAGGTATAAAATATAACAAATTGTAAAAATAATTAAGGAGTAAACAAAGAAAAGTAATTTTTTGGGCATAATGTTTTAGGCGACCTGCGGAATCAGTGAAAAAGAAGAATCGTTGCGCCTGTTGTCTGAAACCCTTCTTTATTGAACGAAGAGAAAATTGCAGTGACTGTCAAGCAAATACTTGTTTTCTTTGCCACAAAAATACGTGAGTATTATTATAATTTATTTATTTTCTTTCTAGAAAAATTTTTCATTTCTTTCTAGAACTAATATTAATAAAAATTAATATATACTATAATAATAATTATAAATAAAGAATATTTTGTAAGGAAAAAGCAAAATCTATAATAAAACTCTTATTACATTACTCACAAAGTAAATGATAATATTGTCCCTTCTTTATTCTTGAAACTGAGAGAAACTATAGAATATACCATTGCGTGTTGTCCTTTGTTAAACTCTTTTATCAATAATTAATAAGAATATATCCTACCCCAATATTTTCGTATTCTAAACTAGAGATAATTATTTTCCAGATATCACCGCGTGTCGATTCTAAGAATTAAAGAGATCATTTTATATTTTAGTCTAAAAACAGTATGCGTGTCTGTGTATATAAATTTTATTAATAATTAATGTAATAATTGTTCGCTATACCGTCTACGTCTTATCACATTTTCGTTCAGACTATAAACAATTATTTTCTCGATACTGTTATGAATAAAATAGTATCACTTTTGTTTCTAAGATTCGCAAATATCTCTTCTTATATTCTTTAGTCTAAAATCATTAACAAGCCAGTGAACATTTCATTCACTTTTTCTTTACAAATAAAAATTATACAACTGAAAAAGATTTTTTAATTGATTATAATTGAAGAAAAATGAAAGCAGCTCAAGTTTCTTTTACTGTTATGCAATATTTTGGAATTTGGCGACCAAAATCATGGACATCAAAATGGTCGATAAATTTATATAGAATTTACAGTTTTTTTAATGTTACATTAGTATTGACATTTACAATTTCTGTGCTAATTTACATTCTAAAAAGTTTCGAGGGCCTTGATACATTGACAGAATCATTAATTGTATTTTTAACATCATGTTCATCGTGTGTGAAAATTGTCATTATTTTATTCAATCGCAATAAAATTATTCAATTTGACAATATGTTTATTGACAATTGTTGTCGACCACGTGATAATGAAGAAACAACAATACAACAAACTTTCGATTACATTGACAGGTTTTTTGTATATTCGCAAACAAACAAAATTTTCTAATATAAAATATATTTTTGGGTCACGAAACCGAAATTTTTTTTTTAAATTTTAATTAGTTATTTTTTATTATGCAGGAAAGTAACGATCGCTTTATTGGAAATGAATATTATAATTGAATCAGTAATTGCATTTACTCCAACATTGATAACATCAAAATTGTCATTACCCGTGGAAAAAATATGGATTCCCTACAGTGTTCTCGATAATATTTATTTATATTTATTAACTTTCCTTTATCAAATTTTCAATTCATATGCACGCTCAATTCTAATATGTTCCATAGATTTGTATCTAATCATTATGATGAGACAAATCTGTGCACAACTACAAATTTTTAAACATCGTTTAAATAATTTACCACAATTGCTCATTGAAAATAATAATAATAATAATTCATTTACAATAGAAAATAAAAAAAATGAATTAAAAATTCTTAAAGATTGGATAAATCATCATAAACATGTTTACACGTGAGCGATTAAAGAAATATTAATTATATTTCTTAATTATTTATTTTTTCTAAAAGAACATTAAATTTGTTGCAGAATGGGCAAAAAGTTAAATGAATTATTTAGTATTATGACATTTGCTCAATTTTTCTTGTCTACTTTAGCATTAGGAGTAATAATTTATCAATTAGCAAAAGTAAAACTATTTACGTCAAAATTTTTCTTCATGCTCTTTCGTTTAAATAATTATTTACTTGAAATCTATCTTTTATGTTGGTTTGGAGAATTAATGATTAGCGAGGTAATATTTTGAAATATATTTGACACGGAGAAAAAAAAATTAATTAATTTACAAATTTTAAATCAATGAAAAATTGATTATAGATTTAAGTAAAATTTGATTTGAGGGAAGTAAAAAATTTATTAATCGAAAAAAATAAGTATATATATATAATTGGCAAATTGTACCATATTATAATAATTGTAAAAGTTAAATTATATATTTGCAGAGTGTTGATGTGGCACAAAAAATTTATGAAATCAATTGGCCATTATTTTCGACAAATTCAAAAAAATGTTTAATTATAATAATGTCACGTGCGAGAATTCCAATACAACTCACCGCTGCATCTATTATATCATTGTCATTTGACACTTTTTTCAAGGTTATATATGGAAAAATTACGAATCTCTGAAAATTTAAATTATTACAAATTTTAACTAATTTAAATTTTGACTTTTTGCTATATAAATTAATTAAAATTATTATTTTGCAAATTTATTAGTAAATTTTAACCAAATTAATAGCAAAAATAGTCAGCCATTTAAAATTTTTACTAATTTACATTACATTTATTTTCAGATTATCAAAATATCTTATACAGCATTCAATTTTTTGCGAAATTCTTAAAAATTACTGAACTGGTAGTTGATATTTAGTAAAAAAAACAACTGAATATAGCTTGTAATAAATAATAGAATCTTAATAAATAATTGCAAACAAGATTATTAAATAGATTATTAATAGAAGACGAAAAACAATTTATATACATTGTCTTTATCTCGTTTTTAATTATTATAATTATTATTATTATTATTAACAATTAATTAAATAAGAAAAATTCATTCTTAATACGTGAAATTTATTCAATCGAACAATAATTATTTAATGTAATTATATAACTATACAATTTACATTATTTAATTTATTTATATTTATTTAACCCTATGACCAATCTTGAAAAAATTATTATTTTTTATATAAAATAATTATTATTATTTCAGAAAATGTTTGGAGATAAATGAAAATTGTTTAGAAACTTTGGGTGGATTTAGTGAATTATCAGAGGCATCAATCGAATTTAACACGACAAGTAAGTTTTTAAAATTAAAGCCGTAATGTAATATGAAAAAAAAAGTTTCATAAAAATATTTTAACAAAAACAAATTTAAAGAAACAAACAAAATAAATAAAAAACAAGAAAATGTTAAAGTAATTGCAGAAAAAGTCGCATAATAAAAAAGAAATGAATTCCTTCACAGAACTTGAACCGTTATAATATTATAAAATCTAAACAACAAAATATCTTTGAACAAAAAAAAAAATTGTAAGCCGTTATATTGGGCTTTCACAAGAAGAGCAATAACGGCTTGAATACAATTTTACTACTCTAGAGAGTAATGGTAATAACTTTCATAACCTTTCGATAGATTGAACTATTTCATCTCGAACAGCTCGATTATAATTGTTATCTTATTTTTAAAAATTCCTATTTTAAGATAACATTCTTAAAATAAGAATATAAATAAAAAATTTTAATTGAGCCAAATAAAAATTTGCTTTGCCAAACAAAACTTTTATTTAACTTTATACTTTGCCAATTTAATTGAAAAATAAAAATTTGATTGATTCAAATAAATTTTGTTATATTCCTCCCAAAATGAAATTCAACAAAAAATTAAAAATTTGCACTATTTTTTGCACTCTATATATGTTTGCATCATTATATGTAAAAAAAATAGGCTATGTCCCTGTAGGTGTTATTTTCTTCTCAAATTTCATGATTCAGGTGTATAAACACATGATTCTATTGAACTTCCTTCTCAATTCTGAGACCTCAGTTCTGCTCCAGTACTCTCTCGAGCAACATCGTGGGCCCGTTATTCTCGGTTACTCTCTACAGTGGACCACATGATTTTTTCTTTTTTTATATGCATTAGAAAAAAAATTTATAACATGTGCGTGTGTGTGTCTAATTTAAATTGAAATGTTAAAATGAATGTAAAAAAAAATTAAGATATACTATCTCCCAACATAATGACTTATTTTTCTTTCAAAAGAATGCGGAACTTTTATTTTAACAATAATTATATGAAAGTGTTTATATACAATTATAAAACATTAGCATTTCTTTAAAAAAAAACATTTATTGTTTTTTAATGGTTACAAAAGCAAAAATTTTCCAAAAATATTATGATGTTCGAATAATAAAAAAAAGAAAAATTATAATGTAGAATAAATATCCTTGGAATATTTCATGAGTGAGTACACAATATAAAAAAAAATCTCCAAAAAAGACTATTTTTCCTAAAATTTAATTTTACTATTTTTTCTATATTTAATAACCAAAAATAATTTACTTGAATCAACCAAATTTTGTTTATGATTTAACCATATATTTGTTTGGGAGGAAATATAATAATATAAAGGAATAAATATTTTTGAATAATAAAAAATTGTGTTATTCTTTATAATTTTAGAAGTTGAGCATGTGCAAAACGATTTGGAATCGGCTGCGGTTGGTGAAAAGGAAGAAAATTCGATGGAAACTGTACGAGATAAAGATGAGAAAATAATAGAAGATCTAATTGAAATAAGTTTAAATAATACTCCAATAAATCGAATCTATGATCATTCAGTGTGTAAGTAAAGCAAATTTATTTATTTTAAATTCTAGAAAATTGTTTACAACTTTCAACCTATTTTGAATCTGAATTGAACCTCCATTGGATTAACTTTGAAGCTACTTCGACAAAAAAATGTTCACAACCTTCAAATTTTTTGATTGCTTTTTTTATTTTCAAAAAGATAAGATGATGGTAATTATTAATTTACAGATTTACTAATAAAACAGAAACTATCGGAATGAGTTTAAAAATTTACCCAGTATATGCTGCCATCTTTTGAGACTTCTTGAGAATATAATAAAACTATATGAAGTATATTACTCTATTAAAAGTAGAATTAAATTATTATAATTTTTACCAAAGAAAAGAATTATAATTTTCAACAATCTGTTTAAAAATTTCGGAGTAAATCTTATTATTAAAGATTCACAACATTTTCCCATATTCAACAAATTATAATAATATAGATTATCATTTTTTTTTATATATGATTATTTTGAAATAAAAAATTTCTTTCCTCAAATATATACGTGACTAATGATGTCATAATCAGAATGATGATTTTTCTATATGTCAAATAAACTATCAGTCATTTATTTCTATAACGAAAAAGATTATACCAACTCTATGTATTTACATATTCATATTAAATTTACAATTTGTATTTTTTTTTTATTACAATCAATTTGTTTATACAAATTTAAGTATAAATTACATTAAAATAATCTAAAATATGTGGCAAGATATATTCTCAATTTCAAAATTTTTTTCTTCAATAGTAAGACAATATTTATTGTAGTGCAATGAATTTTATTTTTGACAAATAACTATAATTTTCTCATTTGTATAAACGTGAATAATATATTTTTTTTCCTTTTTTTCAAATATAAAAATGCAAAAATCACTTTTCCTTATAATGCAAAAGATCAAGGATAAACAAAAAGAAACTATTTAAAATTCAATTAAAAAAAAAGAATAAAAACTTGAATAAACAAAAAGATTTCAAAGTGTAAATTGCAAACATTTATTATAAAAAACAAATTTTAATCTAGACAGCACAAAAAATATTTGAAGAAAATTTTCTAGAATATTGCAGTCCTAAAGGGTTTTTGGGATCGCTTTACGAATTTGATATCAGTTATTAAAAATTCAAAATGGTGGATCCAATATGGCGGAAGTGTTTTAAAAAATTGATCGAATTCGATTGAAAGTTATTACTCGGGGGGGTTTGAGGTCGCTGATAACGAATCTGGCAATCAATTTTCAAAATTTAAAATGGAGGCTAATTTAGTTTAAATATATAATTTAAATTTAAAAATTTTTTTTGTTATAAATTTTTATGATTGACAAACAATGTCAATGCTATTAAAGTATAGGTAGCTATTTTCTTTATCATAAAATTAAGAATGTGTGAATATATATGTGTATCCTTATCTCTTTGCAAACTGCATAACAACGAAGTACAAAAACGTTACGTTATTATTTTTTCTTTTTTTCTTTCTTGTTTTAATGAGGTCAAAATCGATAAATGTCAACATTAATCCATTCAAAGAGGTTTATAAGAAAAGTATGCCGTCTGCTTTTTAAGAATTTTACACGCATGTAATACGCTTTATTAAAACCTTTTTTTACGAAAGAAATCTGAGAATTTACATTTTTTTTGTTTTTACTTTTTTGAAAAAAAATGTTTACAATTAGAAAATAAATTTATATAACAAAAAAAAAAATATTTTTTTCTATTTTTCTGATAGAGAATTAGGAACTTGGACTTTTCGATAACATTAAATTGTTATTTATGAAAAAAATGATCAAAAAATTGTATTGTAATAATTGCCATAGATAATATTGAGTTTTACGAAAAAAAAATTAAGTCATTTTTTTGTCTAATTGATACATATTTAATGAATGAATTAGAGAGAAAAAGTTCAAGGTCGTGTAACATAATCGGCGACATTCAGTATATCTCTGTTGAATTTAGAATGAAAACAGGTAAGATCCCCCACTTAAAGAAGCCATAGAGCAAATGTGGTACGTCGTTTCTTTCCGCAGGCTCAGTCGCCCCGACATTTACAAACTATACGAGAGTGTTTCTCTTTAATTAAAAAAAAAAAAATCCAACAACAACAAGCTAACATAAAAAATCCCCAAAATAAAAGTGTATTTCTTTAATTAAACAAAAAAAATGTAGTGTCTTCAAAATGTTTTAAAAAAAATACATTAATGATTTGTACAACCTTATAATATAAATGTAATATAAACAATTAAAAGATATTTCAAAAATCAAACTATTTATTACAAAAAAAAAATTAAAAGAGAAAATAATTTCACTAAATTTTTTTTTTTTTTTTTGAAAATTCAAGACAATTTGGAAAATTATTCAACTTTATATAAAGAGTAAATTGTAACTCGTGTATCAAATTACGTAAAATTTAATGATCCAATGTTATAAACTACAAAACAAAAATGAAGGAAAAAAATGCAAGTTATTTATATATTTCCAGAAAAAATAAAATAAATTTCTAAAGTTTATTTTCCTCAATTTTAATTTTTTAAGTTTAACTTCAGAATTTAAAATAGAGAAAACTGATTTTAAATAGACTGCAAAAAACAAAAAACTTTTTTGACTATTAAAATATAATTGAAGAAATTCATAGGTAATAATTTTAAAATAATTGAATGAATATATATAAAATTCCTATTTATTTTATCTTTACGCTGATATTTTATTATGTAATACTGATAATTAAACTAAACGACAAATTTTAGATTTCTTTATAAGATCAGACACTTATAACTTTTTTATTGATTTATTTCCCTTGGATTAAGAATAAAATTATAATTCTTACAGTTAAAATATAAAATTCTTAGTTTGAAAATATTTTTCTTTTATAATTTAAGAAGTTTATTTAAGAAATTTATTATACGTATTATATAATACAATAAATGTTTGATTTCTGGAATTGATATTACTATGATAAAAAAAAATTTGTTGAATTCGAAAAAATATTACTTAGATTGTATGTATTGCAATGTGAATAATAAAAAGTGAGGTGTGCTGAATCAAGACTATAAAAAAAAAGAAATGACGTGATAATTAAAAGCTGGAAGTGATCAGAATTCAATTATGTTAATTATTATGTGAAAGTGGGAAATATAAATGTTTGGGGAATTATTAAAAGAAATGTTAACGTTAATTGGCGGTCTAATTGTAATTTACTTCGTCTATATAATCATCTCGAAAAGAAATGGTAATCACTTTAGAAGAATTTTTTCAATATATTTTTATCTTTATTTTAGTCATTTTTTTAGTTATGTAGTATTTTAATTGTAAATATTTGAATTTAATTATTTACCTGTAAAATAATCACAGGATATAACTAAAAACAAAAGATAAGAATAAGATAAAAAATGTTAAATGTGTCAATTTTATTTTTTAAATATTCTATATATATTTCATAGTAATATTAAATAATATTTAAATAAATAAAAAATGTAATTTTTAAATAATAAATATAATTGAATAAAATTGTAATTTAATAATTTTTTTTTTAAATTAAACAGAATTCGAAACATCAGAAAGTGCTAAATTACAGTCTATTAAGCCATATTCTGGTCCCGAAGAATAAATGACAAATAAGCAATAAGAAATAAAAAGAAATTACACACATTGTGCTCTTTCGCAATATAATTAAATATAATACCTTTCTCACTTTCATCAAATTATAATTTATTTGTCTTTAGCTTTTTATTAATTATAACATATACCACGAAATTTGGCTCATTCATTATATTCTTTTTTTCTTCTTAATAAATTAAAAATTTGCAACAATAATTAATTTTATTTCATACTTTATCAATATAAAATTTTAAATATAGAAATTTTCAATAATTAATAAAAAATTAATTGTGTTTTATAATTAAAAACTCATGATTTTTGCATTTTAAGTAAAAATAAATATAAAAATGAACGTAAAAATGAAATAAATTTCTCCAAGTTGGAACTAAAAGTGAAGGAGAGAAATTGTTTGCGAATGATTGGCCAGTATCGTCAAAGTTGGCACTTGATTTAAAAGAAAGTTGCACAAACATGTCCTCTAAATAACTATTTAGAAACTCTTCATTTGACGATTTTTCAAATAAAATTTTCATTTGTAAATTTTTATTGAAGAAATTTAATAAATAAATTAAATGTTTTTTTTAAATTTATATAATATATTATAAATAATAAGCAATTAAATGTAATAAAAAAATTAATTAATGTTTGTTATTAGACAAAACTACAACGAATACTGCGAGTATGGCCCAAATGGCACTCAGAGAACTTGTGGAACGTGTTGTCGAGGAAGCAAAAATGCTACCGGGATTAAAAAGTTCCAAATCGGAAAAAGAAAAAGAGGAAAAATCAAGTTTTGAAGATCTTCTAGCCACCGCCATACTTAATAAAGTAATTTTTTAAATTAATTTAATTTAAATTAATAAATTAAATCTGCATTTACAAATAAATTGAAAATTAATTTTTGAATAGGTGATAGAAAAATTTCAAAATGATTATGTAGATGGAAATAGAAATGTTTTGTCTGAAAAATCTCCAAACAAATGCAAAAATAGTAAGTAATAATTTCAAATGCACTATCTTTAATTAAATTGCGCACAAATTTCCTGATATATAATAATAATAAAAATAGTTGATAAACGAATACAACTTTCTTTCAGGCGAAATCGAAACTAGTTTTGAAAAAGGACAAGAACACCTGTCTCTTACGGTAATTGTAAAAGTTAACTTCTCTTTTCTTTCTATTTTCTTTTTTTATTTAATTATTTTTCTCTATTAAACAAAAGATTCGGGATTACTAATTAATGAACCAAATATACTAATTGTTTTGTTTTTTTAATCATGAACAGTTAACGATATAGCCTATGTTTATAGAGTAATTCAAGAATTATAAAAGAATGCTGGAAATCTGTTTTAAAGATAAACAGTCATGGGAAATGGAAGTTAGTTACATTGTTCTATTAACTGTACTGACCTTCCTCTAAATTAACTTGTTCTTGATGAGAAACAAACACAACCCTATTTTTACACATATTACATATTTCATTTTTTGTTTAAATGATAATTCAAGTTTAAGAAAATTTTTATTTAACAGAATTTAACAGAACCATTTACGGGAGTCGGAAAAAATTTTCATTTTCGTCAATTAATGCAGAACAAGTTAAAAAAATATATTTTTTAATTTTTTTTAGATAGAAGAACGTATCGAAGAAGTGGATGAGGAAAATGATATTGATTTTCCAAATACTCGACGAGTTCCATTTCCAGAATATGGAATGGACATTGGTATTATTATTTTCCTTAAAAAAATATTAATTCAGAAATTTTTCGATGGAAATTCAATTTTTCTAATTTTTAAAAAGAAAATTGAAAGAAAATAAAAATACGCTTATTTTTTTCCATTACAGTATCTCAAGATTTATCAGATGAATGTCAAGAAGACTCCAATATTCATGATCTTGTTACACCTATTGAATCATGGGAAGAAAATTGGCTTTTTCAAAAAAAAAAAATGCAAATTCGATCTGATCCAGTTTCAATGTTGGTTCCATATCCAAGCGAAGATTATAGAGCTTTAATTGGCGATCAAAATGTTGAAGATATTCCCTCTGATGATGAAATTGAACATGAATTAAAATTTGTAATTAGCAGTGTCACTGAATCATCAAATACTGAGAGGACAAAAAATAAAATCGAATGTTCAACTATTTTCAAAAATTCTCCAGTTTTAGAAAATATTATCGAAAATGGAATCGATAAAAATGAAGATTTTGAAAGTAAAAAGAAAGATAATTTCCCTTGCAATAAAGAAGACAATTTCGAATTTGAAATAGAAGATCATTTCAAATGTGAAAAAGAAAATAATTTCGAATGTAAACAAGAAGAAAGAGTCTTTGATGAAAAAAATGAAACAGAAGAAATGTCTGGTAATATTTATAAAAAAAATTTTTTAAATATTAAAAATATATACACGAAACTATTTGAAATAGAAATTGCAATTAATTTTTAGCTGAAGATCAGGTTCAACAAGAAAGTGAATATACAGAACATTTTGATACTGCAACACAAAAACACATGGATAGTTTGACGAAAATTTATGGACCAATGGGAATTGATGAAGTAGATAATGAAACATCTCAAAAAAATTATGAAATCTCTGAAAATCTTAGGTATTTGAAATTTTCATCATAATTCAATAATCGAAAATATTACAATTTTCTTTATCATTTTTTTTGATAAAATCTTTATAAAATCTTATCGTTAAAAATATTTCATTCAAAATTTCTATATATTAATTTGACAATTGATAAAAATGATAGTGATTTGTTTTTTTTTATCTCTTATAACTTCAAAATCATAAAATTGAATTGAAGTATTTAATATTTTTTGTTTGAAAGTAATATTATTGTGAAATCAATTTCTTTCTAAAGTTAACTTAACATAAAACGAAGATACCACTTTGTAGGAAGTGCCGCGATTCTGCGGCGTTCATTAAAGGTGAACAAACGGAAAACGAAATTGACGATGATGTTAAATTGGCAACACCTCCACGACCAGGTAATTTAACCTGTTTGTAAATTAAAAATAATTTTATTTACAAAAAAAGAAATAAAAAATAAATCGCAAATTTCAAGAAATATAAAAAATATTTTTAAAAATATAAGACTCGTATAAAAGCTTTTGATCAAATTTTATATAATATAATTAATATTATAAAATAGATTTTTATTAAAATTAAAATTATTAAAAACGTAAATTATTTTTTAAAGGAACAATCGCAGAACGCGAACACAGAAAGTGGGAAAATGCACGTCCAATCAAAAATAATCCCTACAGCAAGAAAAACATTCAAAAAAGACTTTTGGAACGACAATATAATTGTTATAGTATAATTACTGAGTAAGAAATATTTGAAAAAACTAATTTTATTGTTTTTACTTTTGTTTCAAATTTTTTTCGAATTTCTTTTTTTTTCTTTTTTTCAGGGGCAATATTTCAAAATCGAGTGAAAAACCTTTGAAAATTATATTAGGAGCAAAAAATGTCGATTTTAAAAGGTAAAAATTTATGAACAAAAGAAAAATTAATTTAATTTTGTCCTTTAATTTATGAAATTTGTTATATTTTTTTTCTTATTCAAACAAATAAAATAAAAAAAAATTCCATAGATTTGCAAGAGATTATTACATCAATGATGCCATAACTTCAAATGAAGAAAAACAAAAAGAATTAGAAACTAAACAACATTCGAACACGGAGGTGAGTTATGGTAAATTAAATATCACCAATTATTGTAGTTTAAGTGACAAGAAACAATTTAACAAGATTAATTCAAGTGATAATGGTGACGATGATAATCGAAAATATACTGCTGAAAATATTATTAATAGCAAAAAAATATCCGAATATAAAAATAAATTTCACGATATTGCAAATTCATCGAGAAGAAATTTTTTAAAAATGATGATCAATTTTCATGAAAAGGAAATTAGAATAAATCCTTTATTTGATAGTGAAAATAAAAATCAAGAGAATTGTGAAAAAAATTCTATTGATATTGAAAATGATTCTGACCTAAGCTCACTTGAATCACATAATTCCGATAATATAAATATTATAAGAATGGAACAAAATGAGTCGAGACATAATTTTACAATTGCCAAAGAAAATCAAATGATAAATTCTATTAATGGAAAGAGATATTGGAATTTTGAACCTGTGAAATATCATATTTTTGGTGGAATTCGAAATGGAAAATTTCAAGATGTTGAATGATAAACGGGAGTCCGATAAAAATCAACTTTTTTCTGTTCCGTATTTTCTATGAAAATTCGGTTATTTAAAAATTGTTTTTTAAATAAGAAATCGGGTAAATAAAAATTCTTTGTTATGAAAATTCAGTTTAAAATAAATTCTGGTTCATAAAATTTAGTTAAATAAACTTTCTGTTAAATAGAAATTAAATAAAATTTTAATTAAGGTAAATATAAAGTTTGTCAAATGTAAATTTGTATTACTAAAATTTCTATTAAAATTAATATTAGTTAAATAAAAATCCGGTTGAATGGAAAATGATTCAATTTTTCTATATTTTCTTATCCCGTTCGCAATAAATAAAAAATGGGTGAGTATTTTCATCGAATTTATCTTTACTAACAAAGATTTTCATGTGAAGTCATATTTTAAAATTATCCATTTTTTGAGAATGTTACATAAAGAACGAGTTTTATTGTAAAAAAAATTAAATGTTAAACCTTCACCTAAGACGAAGAGAGAAAGACAAAAAAAAGGAAAAAATCTAACAAAAATGATTTGCTTACAAAAATTTTACACTATCATACATAATAAGTGTATCATCGAAATAATTATAATTCATAATTGTCAACTATTATATAATTCCATTTGAACAATTACATTAACATGTTTAATTTTTTTCGTCTATTTCAGAATGACATCATAAATTATGATTCAAATAGTCTAGAAGATGAATCAAAAATGTTGAATTGTCAAAAAAATAATGAAGAAACATTATCGAGAAGTACAAGTGAAATACAAACACCATCATCGGAGAATTGGAAAAATTCCAATGTTGAAAAATTATTATTAGAAAAAGAAAGAAGAAATAATAAAAATGAAATAAACGCAAGATTTAATAACAAGGATAGTATAAATATTTGTGATAATATTAATAATAATGAAACATCAGCGAAATCATCACAACAACAAAGAGTGGTAAATAAATTAGATCTAAAATCATTTGGATATGAATGTGGCCTAAGAAGAACTCAATCAATTCAATTGGATAGTAGAAATCACAGTCAAGAAAAACCAAAGATTATCAGAGAAAATAAAAATGAATTTCAAAGTGAAATTAATAATCAGGAGGATAATTTTAACTATCCAATGAGTGGAATTTTCCATGCAAAATCAGTACCAAATATTGCTGACATTGATTTTTCAAATGATGATGAAAAACAAAATAGTAATAGGAAGAAAATTTTTCTCAATTCAATGGAAAATATTTCAATTGAAAATTCCCAAGATATACCAATTCTTCCATCTGTTAGAAAACTTGCTAAGGCATTTAGCAAATCAACTGAAATAAATCCTCTAATGGTGAGATTATAAAAATTAAAGAAATATAATTATTTTTTCTTATAATAATTATTCTTTTATACTAATAAAAATGTAATTTTCACTTATAGATGAAAAAGGAAAAAAAGAGACCAACGACACCGGAAATTCATCTCGTTGAAAGACCAATAGAATTTGAGAAAAAAACTTACGAAAATCAAAGCAACACTGAGGATAATAGAAAAAGTTTAATTGGCGATATCAGTATTATTTCACCTGGCAAATTAAAAAATAATATTCAATTTTGGGAAAAACTCCAGAAACAAAGTTAACAATTAAATATGAAATAATGATAAAACTATATCAAATATTGATAATTAGATTTTAAACAATGTAAAATATTTTTTTTTATATATGCTCATGTAATTTTAGAATCTTGTAAAATTTCAGTTCATTGCCATTCAATAGTATAGTAATTATTATATGTATTAAAATTTGTTTATTATTAAAACATAATAATAGGCGAAAAATATCTGCCATACGTCTGTAATAATAAATAAAATAACATAAATATATTTCAAATATTTTAAAATTATTGTCATACATTTTTAAAAGAAACAAACAAAAATAAATAACTATAGTAGAATTTATTCACCTTTTATTTAATAAAAAGAATACAAGTAAAATAGAAAGAAAAAAAATTATACTTATAAAAAAAGTTGAAATTACTGTGCCTTTCTTTTTTTTGTCCAATATTTATTAGTAAAAATTTCTATTTTAATAATAAAAAAGAATTTTTTTTTTAATAATAAATTGTTCGAACTTTATGGAAAGGCACTGTTTCTAATTTATTGGCATGTTGCCTTCGAAAAAACCACAAATAAAAATCTATTTGAATAGCATTGAAATCTGAATCTTTCAATTGTGATTTAATTTCTCTGACAATTCGTTCCACAACTTCAACTGCACATCCTCGAATTTCTATTTCTTCCTCAGAGCCTGCTTTCAATTCCGTTTCTAAACATAAAAAATATTTTTGACAGTTTAGAATTTTGTTTTTCTTCAAATTGAGTATTTTATTTCAAACTGTTTATTTATTTATTTTATTTTATAAAATTTAGTTAAATAAAAAACATTTTGAAATATAATACCAAAAATAAAAAAAAATTACATACCAGATTGAAGTGAATTGAGTAAAGATGTAGTATAGCACATGGCATCAAAGTACACAAGTACTTGAGGAACTCGATAATCAGCAAACATTGTGAGTGCATCAATATCATGAAAATTTCCCAATCCTTTTCCTTTAAAGCAAGCCCAAATGTCAGCAACAACTATTTGGGCTCTCTTATAAAATGAAACTGTTAAAAGTAAAAGTAGCTTTTATAATTAATAAGTAATTTAATAATATTAATTAATGAAAATAATACGTCGGTAAAAAAGCTTTTCAAATTTTCCACTTACCTTTTTGATCTCGAAATACACCTTCATCTCGAAAACAAACAAAATCAGCGACAATGAGTTCTAACAATTTTAATGCTGATCCATTGGATTGTTTAACACATTCAAGAAATGTGCCTATAGCGATAGATTAAACAAAAATTTAAATTGTTTCAAATCCTGCCTATACATTGTATGTCAAGAAATTTAAAACAAAATTAATTATTAACTACCATTATATTTTTCAAGAAGAACACGTCCAACCTCTTGTAAATTTTGCACTCTTTCATCAATTAATGGAATTTCAACATTATTAATATCACTGCGAAAAATATTTTCTAATTCGTTTTTCGTTATTTTTGAATAATAACTTGGATCCAAAATTGGAATCCCCTCCTTTAAAAAACAGTTACCAATTAGAGTAACGAGACTTAATTGTTTTTCTCATTTTTTCAATTTACGAATGACAATTGAAAAAGTTGTCAATCTTAAAAAAATCTAATAGAATCATAACCTAACAATTTCCAATTTTATTTGAAGTAAAAAAAGAACAATTTTGTTGAAAAATTTGCGCGCAAACTTTAATTTTCAATTTTTTTGATAGTTAAGTTATGGTGAGGGATTATAAAAAAAAAGGAATTGAAAAATTAAAGAAAAAAAAATACTGTCGGAATAAAATTCATTTTCCAACGTGGATTTAGAAGCTAATATACAACTTCCATAATTTAGTGTTATTCTTAAAAATAAAAATATTCGAGTAAATCAATACACACGCCAAATTAAATGATAAAAATAATTTTAGAATCATTTTCAATACCTCTAATCCTCGTTTAATAGCAGCACACAAAGCAAAATAACCACTTTCTCCCATTACTTCCCAATGGTTGTCATTTTTATTCCTCCAGAAGCAAAAATTTAATGTATTTAACACGAAAATCCAATCAATTACTTTTGAATCATATTCCTTTGGTAAAAATTCATGATTAAAGAAATTTTCCTTCGAGATTTCTCCACTTTTTAATCCTTCTATAATCTGTAATTTAATGAAAAATTTTGACTTATAATGACAAGCGTAAAAAAATATTTCTGAAAATTATAATTGTAATAAAAATGAATCCAATTTAATTACAAATACAACAAAAATAAATTATAATCAATGTTTTTTATATCCAAAAAAAATGTAAGCATATGTACTTACCATGTGTGAAAGTTTTTTCACTCCTTCTTCATTGATGGAAACATTCTTTGAATATTGACTTATAAATTTCGCCGATTCTCTTGGCATTAAAGGTACACTACTTTTATTTTGTTCCATTTTTTAATTTTTAACACAAAAAATATATATAACTTTAACACACGAGTACTACTGTGTAAAAAAAACCACAAAAAGTATTATAGGTTATATGTTAACAACGCGGCAACCCGGCAAAATGCATACAGAGTGCGCATGCGTAAAATGGAGTAGTGGTAGTGATATTTTTTCTTCGACCAATGAAATGGAGGCGCGAAATTTAAATACCTTGTATTTTAAAATTCGCGCCTATTACTTGATTGGTGAAGGAAAATTAGTTCTGATACGCATGCGTGTTATAACCTGCAACTGATTTTAATCACGTGACCCAAGTGAAACTAAACAAACCATGCACGTCAAATATTCGACGCTGTTATATTAATTTTTCTCTGAAAAGTAAAAAAAAGTTTATTTTTGTTTATTAAAACAACAGATAGAAGGATATTTTTTTGATATACAATTATCCAGGTTAGAAATTGATTTTTCTTTAATATTTTGTTGATTTTATAAAAATTTTATTGTTTAATTATCGCTTCTGTTTTTTAATACAATATTTACGTATATTATATAAAAATATATTTGAATATTTATTATTAATTGATATAAAAAAATTTAATTACTGAGGAGTATTAAAAACTTGATTTATTTAAATTAGTTTATTTGATAAGTATTTTTATTTTTATATTAAAATACTATTAAGTTTTACGTTCTTTATTTTAATTATTCATATTGGACGCATGAAAATCAATATTACTATATACATAGGAGAACTTCTTTTACTTGAATTAAAATTTTATAGACATATATTTATTTTATGCCAATTTATAAAATACATAATACAAAATGATATAGATTTCAAAAAACTTTATTATAAAAAACAGTCCCACAATTAAGAATACATTCCAAACACCTCGTTCATCAAGCATATATTATATATAACTTAATTAAAAACTGATACATATTTAATGTTATTGAAAAAAATGACATTTTGTAAGTACAGAATGAAAATTTTGTTTTAAAGTGTGCTTCACTTTATTTCATTTTAATTAATTAATTACATAATTCAAACGAATTTTTATTTATTTTTTTTTATTTTTAAGATATACACTCGATTGTTGATTATTCCTAAAGTTCAGTTATTATTCATTTTATTATAGGCAACTATTTTCTGTAAAGTTTGATAATTGTAATTTCTATTCAACACTTATTTATTCTCTCCCCCATTTTTTTGTTCTTCATTCACACACAAATATATATTCCCGCGCTCTAAAATAGAGAAATTTAACTATTAGAAACAAAATTATAAAATTTGCAAAATTTACATATATATATAGCAAAAAATCTAAATAGGAAAAATTAAAAATTGTCAATTGTTCTTAAAGGGAAAAAGTTGTTTTTTTTAAACTTAGATTTTTAAAACTCGAAATAATAATTGAGACAATTAATAAATTGAAGAAAAACAAAATCAGACGCGTTCCATTCATTCAAATAACATATTTACACATTATTTCTTTTAACGTAAAAAACGAACGGATTAAGGCATGTTATTTTTTTTCGTGTTACTTGTCTGGTTGTGTATGCAATATAGCACCAAAAAATTGTTTTTAAAATTAAAAAATGTATTTATTATTATGAATAAAATTCGATATTATCTATATAAAATAATACAGGGGTTTTTGTTTTAAAAAAAGAGTATATATTTATTTTTTTTTTTATTTTTATATAAAGTTTGGTAAAAAATATGGGCTATTCACGTGCTGAATTTTAATTGTGCATTCTTTTATATAAAAAAAAAAAATCTTTACTGAAATTAAGTTGTGTATGGAAATAAAAATTGTTTTCCTGGACGATAGGATTAAATCTGATATTTGCACAGCCCATAAAAAATTGGCCCTTATTTTGAAGAATACTAATAATTATTATATCGCAGTGATAGGATATTATTTTGTTTTTAAATCTTTCGTTTTGCTTTTTCATCACACCTCCAGACTTGACCCGTTTAGCAAAATGTGCTTTTTAATTAATTCTCTCAATTTTTTTATAATATATATTTATATATTAAAAAATCTAGTTCTATTGACTTTTAAGCTCTTTGCCAATACTATAAGATACAATTTTATTCCAATCGATTTTAGTTCTCATTACTGGTAATTGCCTTCGTAATGCTTTAAATGTTGTGTCTGACATTGTTTGATAATTTTCTGAAATTGCTGTTTGATAATCATTCTCTGATTCTTCGACAAGTCTTATTAATTCTTTAGCTGTTTGCTTTTCTGATGATATAGGCAAACTTTCTTTAACATCCTTACTACTTACTAACTGAACATTACCATCTTCATAATAGTGTACTTGTACCTTTAAACAACCTCTTAATTCTGCTGTACCTGAACTTGTACTAAAGCTCACTGTCCACACTGAACGCCAGCGTCCATTCCAAAAATTTTTAGGCTGAAATTGATGATCCTCTATGCAGGCAGTTAGAGTAATATTTCCTGGAAAAAAAAATTTTTATTAGAAAAAAACACGACAAATTTAAACTAGATTTTCTACTGGTAACAGATTTTTTTTCCTTCCGTTATTATGTAGATAAAATTTTTTCTACTCTTCCAATAATTGAAAAAAATTAATGAATTGAATTTTTGAAAAAATAAAATCCAAACCTCCTTGACTTTTTCCAAAAACTGAACATGCACCATGTCTATAGTGATTTTGAGTGTATGTTGTTATTTCATCTTGTAGAGCTGATCTCCATGGTTCTGCAGTGGAATCAGGTTCATATGATTCATAATCTTGAGCTTCTTTTCTAAGATGATCGTATTTAAAATTTTGTTTACTGCGAGCATCGTAAAACCTTGAACCACCCAAGTCATTGTGCTCCGTTATAAGTGCCGGATATTCACTTCCCTCTATCTGAAAAAAAAATTATTCAAAAATTAGTTGCAAAGAACTAAGAAAAACAAAAATTATTCTAAAATTAGCTCCGAAAAAGTGAAAAACAAATTAAATAAATTTATCACTTACGGAATTTTTATACAAAAACCTATTTATAATATTCAGAATATTGTTAATTAAATAATTGATACAGTATCCACATTCTCTAAAAAAATATACAGATGTCTCACTCTCACCCTACATTGCTCCAAAATAGGTCACACACTACTAGTACCATCATCACCATCATTCAGCAGATAAAATAACGAACAAAATAAACAAATATTACAAATTTTTCTCTAAAAATACTCGAAATAAAATAAAAATTATCCTTATAGCTATATGAGAAACAAAAAATCATTCATACTGCAGTGTATTAGCTTTCCCAAAAAACGAAATGTCATTAACCGCGTTTTCACATACGGGTTTATTGCACAAAACATTTTTTAAGCCACTATTAATGTAACACTGATAAAGTAAATTTTTATCTAATTCGAGATAAGAGGATACTTTTCTTTCATTAAAAGAAAAAAAGAAATGAAAGAAAATTTGCAAGATTGGAGGAAATATACCTTAACAGGCGTGAGCTGATCCTTGTTGTAAAGTGCAAATGCACCTGATGCTCCTTCTTTTAATAAATTATCATTATTCAATAGAACTCTCACATCATTAAAAACTTCATTAAACTCGCCTGGGGGCGAATGCAAAATAAAATTTGATACTATTCGCACTTTTTCTTGATCAGGAATCACATCACCATCCGCCGCCATCTTATATTTTACCTTTACACCATTACGCGCACGCACACCAACTTAACCAACTTTAAAAACCCGCAATGTGTCAAACGCCCCCGATAAGACGCGGGTGAATCATAATATGATAAATATCTATTTTTTAATATATAGATAATATATAATGTGAAACAAAAAATACTACAATAATTATAACTCTGGTAAACAATATTTTTATTTTTCACAATTTTCTGTAGTTTAAAACACACCCGTTTGTAGTTTCTTTTTGAAATTTTTCATTGATAATTTTTTATCCAAACTTAGTTTTTATTTTCCCTTTTGATATGATTTTATTAAAATATTTTGATATATTATTATAATGAAATAGAATTAATCTTTTTTTATTGTCTTTTATGAAAAAAATAGATGTTGTTTTCTTTTAGGTTATGTTTTAAAATAATGAATTTTTTCGTATATAATTCTTAGGAATTATATTTTGTTTTATCTGAAAGGGAAATATAACAAAGATTATAATATACTTTACAATATTTATATAGAAAGAAAAATTATTTTATAGGTTATTTACATTTCAATTATTTATGTAAAATTTACAAAATCTTGCTATAATATAAATTATATGTTTTTATAGAACATATAAATATATTTACAGTTATAATATTTCTAGGAGTTGTATAAACACATTTCTATATTTAAAAAATGGATGATATTCCAATTATTAGCGATATCCTTTTAATGAAGGAAGGATCTTGCTCCGACACCTGTCGCAGTAGTATCATAGGTTTGTAAAGTTTATTTTTTTTACACTATTAATTATTTTTGAAATTTTTCTTTTCTTAAAAAGGGATAATATAAAAAATTAAAGAATTATATTTAAGGGGACATTCATTTTTCTTTAAAACGAAAAGAATGTTATGTATTACAATTTTGTTTTTAATTATTTAGTTTTATAAGAAAAATTAAAAATTTGTTTTCAGGTTTATCATCTAAAATTACGAATGGATTCGTATAAAATAAATATGCAATTTTCTATGAAAGAAATAAAAGTCAACTTGAATGTCCTCTTAACATTTTAATTAAAAAAAATTAATTAAGAAAAAATAAATAATTAACGAATAATAAAAGTAAGGAATAAATCTAAACCACTATGAAAGATATTAGAGAACGACAATTTGTGGGTAAACTCGATCGCTATCAACTTGAAGACAAATATTTACGTGTTTTGGAGGAAATGGAAAATTTGAAAAAACTATCCAATCAACAAGAAGATAAAATGAAAAGACTCACTACTAAATTAATGAGAGTTTCTGCAAATCCATCAGCTTGTATTAATCTTCATGATATTTGTAATGACAAGGAAAAAATTTCTGCTTTGGAATGCGAAAATAATAAGGTTTTCTTTTTAATATTAAAATATATTTTTTAGTGTTTAGAAAAAAATCGATGTTTAAAATATTAAAAATATTCTCTGTATTAATAATGGATAATTTTTTTTCCTTTAGTTAAAAAATAAAGTAAACGTTTTAAGAAATCAGTTACTTAGTCAAGTAAATCAAAGAAAATCGCCTAAAAGAAATCATAAATTTCTAATCGGAACACCAAAAAATGAAAAGTAAGTAAATATGAATTTAAAGAAAAGAAATAATTATACATGAATTAATATTTTCGTTTTCTTTTCTTTTGTCATAGTGGAAATACAAAACTGAAAAATTCTTTGTGTCAATATTTCTTGCAAAATAATGAAGAGGAAAACATTGATAAACATTTGCCTAAAATTCAGGTACCTTTATTAGAATTTTTTATTATGTTTTTTAATTCTGTTTTTATATAATTTTTGTCAAGACAAGAATTTACTTTTTAAATCTTTTGGTTTTTTTTCAAGGAACTTGAAACACAAACAAAAGAAATGACATCAAGGATTTCAGAACTTGAAAACGAATTAGAAAATCGTGATAAAGAAAATCAGAGAGAAAAAATTACCGACAATATTGAACATATTCGTAATTTGCGTTACATTAAGGAATGTACTGAACAACTTGTGGCATTTGAAAATGAAAATAAATCTTTAAAAGAAGAAATTGTGCACGTAAAGAAAATTCTCAACGATACAAAAAGGTGAGCATTACATAAATTTAATATATATTATTAAAATTTTATTTTTAATTTTTCCTTTTTTTAAAAATAATAGAATTAATAAAGAAATGACATCATCGTTATTGATTGAAAGAAAAAAAATAACTGAAATGGATTTAAAAATTTTCAAATCAAAAGATTCGGAACTTTTCATTAGGGAGAAAGACGAACAAATTCAAGATTTAATGAATGAAATAAAAATTCTTCAACAACATAATAGCGAATTAATAGCATTAAGTAATAAATATTCTAATATTGAAATTGAAAATTTACAATTGACCAGCAAAATATCGGATCATGTGAATAGTAATGAAATTTTAAAAAATATGCTAAATAACGAACAAGCGAATACAATTGCACTTCAAACTGCAAATTCACAATTACTCTTGAAATTAAATGAACTTCAACGAAATGTCGACACATTAACAATTCAATTGACGGTAATTATAAAACAAAAATTCAATTTTATTTTATTTCTATATTTATTTTTTATTCCTTTTTTTTCTTATAGACATTTGAAGAAACGTCTATAAAGCAAAAGTTAACGCCCAAAAAAATTAATAAAGAAAAATATTGTTTTCCACAAGTTTGTGAAAATGTTCGCATTGATTCGCATGTAAATAAAACGATTGTCAATGAAAAACGAGACGTAAAATTGGGAATAGAAAAAGAATCACAGACTGAAAATAATTATTTTCAACAATCGCAGTCGCCAAAAAAAAATATTTTAATTCAGCCTCGTGTAGAAATGGAAAATTCTACTAAAATCAAAAGTCCTGAAAGAAAAAAAGCGGAAAAAATGACAAAAAATACAACAACTGTTCAAAATGGAAATAATACATTATCACCGGAAAGAATGTTAAAATTATTGGAACAGGCACAAATAACAACAATTCCATTTGAAACGGAAAAAACTCATTCGATGAAACAGCATGTTGTTGATCCTATTTCGGAAACAATACAAAAACAAAGGCAAGTTATGAATCTTGAAACATTACTATTTGGCGATTCCAATATTTTTTGACTATGGCTATTAGAAAATTTTACTGATTCCTTTTTTTTGTCATTTTGTTGTTTGATAAAAAAACTCGATTTTAATCGTGGGGGACAAAAAATAATTTTATACGTAAGTTTAAATATTGAATTGATCTCAGCGCTTCCATAGAGGAGGTTTAGTTTTAATATTTAATGTTTTATTAATGAATATTGTATATATTTGATGTTTTATGAATGGTACAAATATAATTAAGTTTTTTCTTAAGAAAAATGTATTGTCTCAAAAGTTGTTAACGATAGATAAATGTAATAATTATAGTATTCTGGCATTACTTTCGATTGATGTTATCGAAATGACATTTTGCCATTTTAATTATTTAAATCAACTAATATACTTTCTTAATTGAAAATATTATTAGTCTGAAAAAAATTAAAATCTTCAATGTATGAATGAAAAATTTATAATAATCACTCTTCAAGTTTTGTACTTCATAGACAATAATAAGCAAATTAAAGATAAATGGGTACTTTTCTCTTATTGAATTTTGATATAATTAATTTTTTTTCTCGTTTCAATTTTTAAAGCAATTTTTCATTTTTTCTTTAATACAACATTTTTAGGTACTACAGAAAGCAAATTACAAGTCAATTGCACACTTTTATTTAACAAAACAATTTAAACATCCGTTTACAGATTAAATGAGAGAAAAATGGATTTGGAAAAAACTCAATTTTTAAGCAAGCACATAGTCAATTATTGCACCAATATTATTTCTTTTAAAGATCCAAATCAAATTCTATTTCTTTTTACTGAAATTTTAAAAAATTATAAGTCCTTAAAATATAAAAATATAAATGATTCGAATATTGAGAAAAAAATTATTATTGACTCAAACAATAATGAAACTAAAACAACGGCCAATGATTACTGTGTAAAAAATGAAAATAATATTTTTCAAAATGGTAGTGAAATTTTCAAATCAAATTTAAAAGATTTAATGAACGCCGATGAAGAAGAAAAGAAGAAAGAAGAATCAAAATGTTTTTGTATTTGCGATGGAAGATGTCCTAATTATTTTTATAGACAAATTAATGAAAAATATATTTGTTGTTGTACGGAAAATTCGAAAAATAGAAAAAATATTTGTGAACCTTGTTCGAAATCTATAATCAAAGTGAATGAAATTAATACTTCAATTAAAGAAACTTTTCATCAGAAACATAATAAAGTTAATGAAACAAACAAAAAGCATTGTGGAAATTATATTTCAAAATTATTGAATAATTCAATTTTAATAACTAAGGATCAAGGTCTTTTGGAAGTTCACATTGTTCGTCTTCAACTGTCAAAGTCGGTGAGTTTTTCGAATTGAAATAAAATATTGATTAATTATATTATTATTAATTACTATATTTCTTATTAAGTTATATTTATTTTACAATAAAATTGTTTATAATGATCAAATTTTTGAAATTTTAGGCAGTAAGCCTACTTTATCAAGACAATGATTTATGGAAAGCATCATTCTTTATTAGTTGTGATATTGAAAATGAAAAAACATCATTTACACCAACTATGAATTATCCAAATTTAAATTTTGATTCATCATCAATTTTTGTCGTACTTGAGGTTTCCAATTTTTTACATTATATTTTTGAGAAATTTATTATGTTTCGAGTTCATGCTTTTTATCAAAATCAAGTTACACACACTGTTGCCGAAACGAAACTTTGCATTAGGGAAATTTTAGATTATCCACATAATAAAATGCAATATATTTCATCAGTTACAAGTGTTATACCTTGTAGTTATGGAATAAATTTTGGATATCTATCACTGTGGATTCGTCTTGGTTGTGATCTTAATAAAATTAAAACATTTAAAATTGAACGTGGAATTGTTTCCGAATCGATTCAAAATGTAATAAATAAATCTAACCAAGATAGTATTACAAAAAATTTTGAAAATCGAGAAAAAAATTTCCAAAATCATTATTTACCGTTCGATACAGAAAATAATGATAATGATGAATTTATGAAAGTAGAAGAGGAAGAAGAAAAAGAGAAAATTAAAAATTCTATAAATGGAAAAGGTAAGATCCACATTTTGGGTTTTATAATTCATAAAATTACAAATTATTACTGGAGCATTAATTACAGTTATTAAAAGATCGGATAATAGTAAAAGTTCTGAATCTAAATACAAAGTAAATAAAAATTTATTTCCACAAATGGAATCGGGAATTTCAAATAGTTCTACAATATCGACAAGTAATTTTTCGGAAAATGATGAATCTTTACAAGAAAATGATCATTTAAAGTAATTATTAAAAAAAACAACTTTAAATATGAAAAGTAATTGAAAGAAATTTCAATTTTTCCTTTTTTTTATTTTAGAATATTAAATGAACTTAAGGCAAAAATAATGATAACTGAACAAATTGACAATGATGATATATTAGAATTTAATATGCTTTCAAATAAAAGTCAATCTGATGATACATTATATGATGTACTTACTGATGATAATTGGGATAAATATAAGATAAAGAATTTCCAAACCACAAGTAAATTTAAATTTTTTAATTTTTTAGTTTCTCTAATATTAAAAAAAATAAATCATTTTTCAGTCAATCAAAATAGTGATGAAGAATCTAAAGACAGTGAACTCGATGACGAAGAAGAATCCTTTTCTCTACATGATCAAGTATGATTTAAATTTTTATGAAAGTAAAAAAGAGAAAGAAAAAAAAAATTAAATATGATTTTTTTCAATGAAAAAAACTAACAGGACAAGAAGCTAAACTATATAATAATTGAATTAAAAAGTATAAAACTTTTTAAAGAATCAGATATATTTCTAAATCCAAATATCGTTCAACTTTACATTGAATATTCATTCTTGGGATATTTTGGCAAAGAAATGGAAACTTATTCTGTTCCTGTTCCCGAATCTCCAACATTGGAAATGAAGTATAATTTTAAAAAAGGTAAAAAATTATATTAATTTTAATAAATATTAGATTAACATTCTACAACCTAAATAAATAATAAATTAAATTATTTTCTTTTACACAATTGTGGAAAAAACCAATGAAATAAATTTTTAGAATTTCAAATTGATGAAAAAAATCATTCAAAACAAAGAGAAATATTACGAAAAATGTTAAGAGGACACATAGATCCTTGTATTAAATTTATTTTAGTTAGTGAACCTTTACCGGAAGAGCAATATAAAGATTGCGAAGAAGTCGGGTAAAATTTTTTTTAAAAATCTTTTACCTTTTTATAGTTATGAGAAAATAAAAAATTAAGAAATAATTAAAAATAATTATTTTAGATTTGCTCAATTAAATTTGAAGGACTATGTTTTGGGCAATTATAGCCGAAACATGTCGCTTTTAATAAAGAATGTTAATCAAAGTAAAAACATGGGACACTTGAGGGTAATTTAATTTTAAATCAAGATTGAAAGATATATTAATATTATATATATTATTAAATTAAATCAAAATAATTTAAATATACATATAAATATTATTTCATTGCAGATCACTGTAGATGGTATTGAAGCCATGAAAAATTGTTCCTAATCAATTTTAATTATTTTCATTATTCTAAAATTTCCCTGCTTATTAGTCTTTTTTGTTTCTAAAATTGAAAAAAAATCAAATAAAACATTTATTTTCTAACATCAAATTTTTTAAATTTAATTCACTTTTATCTTTATCTTTTTTTTATTATCTTTTAAATTAATATTAATATTTATATTAAGTAAAAAAATATATAAAATTAATATTTTATTCAGATATAAAAAATAATTTTTTATGAAATAAAATTTATTACTTTCCGCAATAATAATTGATTTTTTCACTAGATTTGATAATTAAAAATTAATTTTATATCAAAGGAAGTTTAACAAAACGAAAACAGAAAATTTTCAATAACATTATTTAATAATTTAATCAACAAATTAATATGGACATATTTTGTAGTACAGTATAATTATAATTTGATTGCGAATAATTTTATTTCAATTTTAGATCTAAGTACCATAAATATAATTTTATATATATATTTATAATACATTTTTTGCCAAATATTAAATTAAAAAATGAACACATTGCATATTATTCTTAAGAAATATTTTCACTAGAATAAAATTTATTTATTTATTTGTTTATTATCAAAATATATTTATATATAAATATAATTTTAAGAAATATTGGAACACGGTTTTTTCAGTCAACGCTTAATTTTTAATTACATTCTTATATAATTCTTATACATATTAAAAATTTAGTAAAATTCTCATGTAGATATATCTAATAATTTTTTTTCTTCAATGGTAGAATAATACAGGTACTTTTATTATATTTTAAAAGTGATTTAATCAATAGTAATTATTGATTATTCACAAAAATCATCCCATATAATTGTCAATAAATGCAAAAATTAATGTAATTATACAAATAAATAAATAAATAAAATGACTTAAAATTGTTTACATTGACAAAAAAATAGTCTCTTCCTTAGACGTTCCAAGTCTTGGATGAGAAAAAAAATTACAAATTTTACAAATTTTTTCAAATATATATAAAAAAGTTAATATTATGCAATAATTACAGAATTAATAATTGTCAGTTTAATAAAATTTTGCTTTTAAAGGAAAAAATCATTTGTGAGTGCGAGAAATATTCATTAATTCTTATTTAAAATAAGAAATACACTCCTTTCTCAAAAAATTTGTATATAAAAGTTCTCGATTAGAACATTTGGTATATATTTTTTTTATTTTGCCTGGAAAATAAAATCAGTTTTTTTTTCTTTAAAATTTACTAGAACGTAAATACGATTTTAACGCTGACTATTTATGTTTTAAATTTTAAAACCGCTTTTAGTTTCTTTTACCATTCTAATTGAATGGCACGTTATTATTATTATTATTATTTATTTTATTTTTTTTTTTTTGAAAACTAGTTTTGTTTTCATGACTGAAAAAATTTTTTTGCAGTCTTAATTTCTTTTGTGCAAATCTCTACTTTTTTGTCTGTTTATCTGTACAAATAAGGCACTTGTGCGTGTAAAAAAAAGTAGAATTTGACTTTTTGTGTGTTATTTACTGATGGTGAATGTTTCAATTGATTTTTAATCAAGATTTTGATTTACCAATTGAGGTTGTACGTTTTTCCCATTCATTTATCCTTTTCAATGGATAACAAATAATGGCTGATAAAAGAATTAGCGTGCCAGAAATATAGAATGATGCATTATAACTTCCAGTTAAGTCTCGGAAAAGACCTAAAAAAAATAAGTCAATCAAAAAAAATTTTTAATATATAAATATATTATATTGTATTTAATTTACCTGCAACAGGTGAGCCAACTGCTGCCGCCATTCCTTGAAACAGAAGAAGAAGTCCAAAGGCATTTGTAAGTTTTTCCAGTCCAACTAAATCTACAACTAAAATTGATCTCAACGAAGCAAACACCGCTGTAAAATATATCGAAAACGATTATTTTCATCTAAAAGGTATAAAATAAGAATTTGTTTGTTGTAAATGAATAATTTTTGAAATAATTTTTCTGTTAAAAAAAATTATTTCAGTTTTCAATATATATTTTATTTTTTATTATTAAATAAATAGATAAATGCTTACAAATGCTGAGACCAAATGCTGCAGAGTAAAAAAATTGATACTCTCGAGAATGTGATAGACCGGAAAAAATTGTCAGCAATCCACTAATGCTAATGAAAATATTGTTTAACATTAAAGCATCAACACCTGGAATACTACTGACTACACCACAAAGAACACGACCAATTGTATTTCCAATTCCAATAATTGAGACCAAAAACATACATGTTGTCTCATCGATTGTGCCAAAAGACTTTGCTCTTTCTAGAAGAGAAATAAACTTATTTTTCATTAAAGTAAAAAATGGAAAATAAGGGCAAAAACATCATTAACCATTAATCACCTTCTAAATACATAATTGGTGTATAGAAACCCATCATTGTCAAAGAGCCGCTAATTGCCAAAATTAAAAATGAAGGACTCTTTAGTAAACTGAAATCCAACATTGTCGATAAGGTTCTTCTTACACTTTCGGTACATAAATAACAGCTTCCACTTTCTTCTTCAGCTAAATCTTTTGCTGTTGGAAGACGTGTCACGGACATGTGATAACCAACTGAAGATATCTGGTGAGTAATTTTTTAAAACCATTATTATCTTATTTGAATCATGTAATTATTATTATATATTTATGTATTTTTGGGAATAGGACATTCTTTCAATTGTTTTTTTAAACAAATTCTTTTAAAAAAATGGGACAAAAGAAAATGAAAGATATTCCAGATTTTTCATTTGTTGTAAAAACACATATATAAAAAAACAAGATCTACAAGTCGTACTTGTGATTTATAATGTGGCAGTCTATTCAAGGACCCTCCATAAAAAATATCATCTCTGTAAAAGGGCCTCTGATGGTCTTTTACTGGTGGACTTCGACCATTACCCATCTTGAGATTTTTCTGGCTAATATCAGAACTTTGGCGACGTCCACTAATCGTGTGCCTACGTATCTGAAAAGGATATCCGGTTTTTTCAAGTATGAATCACTTATACATAGTTATGCATACCAATTTTTTTATTTTATAAAGAAGTTAATTTAAAACGCCAAAAGTATTTAAAAAAGAAAAAATATAAAGGAAATGAAAAAAAAATTGCTAATTTTCTTCTATAAAGAAATAAATTCTAGATTTTTTTGTTCAAAGAAACTGTAAATACTCATATAAAAAGAAATCGTCATTGAAAAATCACTCACTGTTGGTACGCGGCCGTTTAGTCTCTCCAAATCGCCACTCAATAAATTATTTTCCTCTTCGACTGTTTTTATTTCCTCGTCATTAATTACTTCCAAATCTGGATAAATCGGTACAGACAATCGTTTTTCCGATGTACTTTTTTTCCCATCCATTCGTTGCAATTCATTCACTTTATGTAGAGAATGCATTGATCTGCTATTTTTTTCATAGAAAGAAAATAGAGTTTTCCAAAGATTATTAATAATAAATTACCAAAAAATTTAATTTTCATAATGAATTTTAGTAAAATGATAATGATGATGAATTAGTCACAGATAAAGGAATTTTTTAGCTTTTATTTCACCTTGAATTATTTGTTTATTTTAAATTAATTTAATATAATGAAAATTAATGAAATTTTCTTATTTTTTAATTTCATTTGTTTCAATATTAGATAATAGAGATAAATTAAAATGCAACCATTTTATAAATAGAAAAATAATAAGATTATAAATGAAGAAAAAAAGAAACGAGTCTTAATTAAACATTGATCCATAAATCATCTTAAGAAAAAGGAATAAACAAACTTGTGAAAAAGATATTGAATATTTACAAAGGAATAAATAATTATTGTTATCATGGATTATATTATCTTCATCAATATATAAGGTGAGACTTTTTAATAATAATATATTACTTGGTTAATATATGTTAATTGTTTCAAGGTGAAGGCATTACCGGACTGATATAAAGGCTAAAGTAGTTCATTTATCGGTGAATGGATGATGTTCCGACGAATTATCTTTTATTACTTTACTATGTCGGGGCTGCTACCGATGAATTGAGCAGCAGTTGGATATTCTGTATTGTTATTAGTTCCAAAGAAACCACTTCGAATTGGTTGTCCTGCATGTAATGAACCAAGCGATAAACCTTTTGCCATTAGCGTTGTATTCACTTCGATCATTGCGTTTTCCTCTGTCGGTTTTACTTTGATCCTCCTTGGTTTTAGGGGACGAAATAATGCTCCAAATACAGCACAACTTAACAGCATGCCTTTCAAAGAAAAAAATTTTATTTCATTATTTATTTTCACTAAATAATCTCAAAATACGAGTTTAATGAATTCTTAAACTGTATTTTTACTTCCTCATTATTATAGAAGAAAATTAGCAATTATAAATGCTTCCTCGTAGAGAGAAAAACATTAGTTTAATTTATTCAATTATATATATATATATATATATATAGATCAATTTATCAGGATTACATTTTTTCAAAATCCTTGAAATTGTTTTAGATTTAATTAATTTTCGTAAAATATCTTTCTAATTTTATTGCAATAAGAAAAGCAACAATTTTATTATTTGAAATTTTTATATATTATTTATAATATTTTTTATTTTATTAACTGAAAATTTACCGGCTTGTATTATGAGTGATTTTTCCCATCCAAAATTTTTGATTATTGTACTGGAAATTGGCGGGAGAACAAAAGTACCAATGCCAGAACCACAAACGGCAATTCCAGTGGCTAATGCTCGCCATCTTTCGAAATAAAATCCTGATGTTATTACTGCCGGTACATATATCATTCCAGCACCGATTCCTCCTGCAAAAAATTGTTGAAAAATTAATTGAAATCATAAGGAGAGTTAAAATCGAAAATGAAAATTGGTTTTAATCTAGCTTCTATTTTCTTCTGCAAAATTTGGTAAAATGAATTAAAAAATTTATGATTCTGAAAATTGAATTCGTTTTTAATTAATGTTTGTGTATAATTTAAAATTTTTGTTATTTTCCTTTCGTCAATTCTCCCAACACACGGGATTCTATTTTACATTTTTGATATTACAATTGTGTTAAAGAAATTATTTCATATGTATATAACCTACATTGCATAAGGTTTAATAATTGTTACATAGTGAAAAGTACATAAAAGATAATAATATTTCTCGAATAGTCAAAGAACTTTTTTTTATAAATTTATTTCTAATTAATATATTGTTATCATTTATCAAAAAAAATGTATCTTAAGCATCAATGAAAACATTTTTTTTCTTTTATCATTTCAACATTTACAGAGGCTTTATTTAATTTCGCAATTGAAAAAAATTAGTTTCTGATAATAAAAAAAAACATGATAAGAAAAATATTTCTTTTCGTGATAATGTAAAGATTGCGAAAATGTATTCTTTTCTGAAGTGATATTATAAAACAATAAAATACAAAAAAGGCGCGATAATTCTATTATAGAAAAAGTTACGATAAAAGAGGGATTAAAATTTACTATTATTCATTTTTACCTAAAATTCCATATGTGATGTAGAGAAATTCAATGGACGGACTAAAGGATGAAAGTACAAATGCAAAACAACTAATAACACTTCCTAGAATAGCGACCGTTCTAAAACCATATCTATTTGTTAAGGCAGAAACGAATGGACCTGGAAAATAAATACATAACATTTATCAATTTTATTTGTTTAGAATGTTCTTATTTAATCTCTAAATCTAAGAAATATTATTAAAAAGGGATGAAAAGATTTAGATTTTAGATTTTTTATTAATTAGAATTTTTTTTAAAATTTTGTTTCAATAATTTTTATTTATAAAATTTAATTTAAAAAAATATAAATAAATTTGTTTTTTAATTATTATTGATTGATTGATATTTAAAAGAATTCAACAATTTTTTTGTTCTATTAAAAAAATTCTAATTTCTTAATTTTTGAGATATTATTATTATTATTTTTTTTTAGGAATGTACCAGCCATTAAGTAAAATCCAGATTGTAAGGAAGATGCTAATGCTACTCTAGCTCTTGAAACTTCAAATGTTGACATAATTTTGACAAGGAAAACTCCAAAACTGCAGATAATTCCATCCACAACAAGATTGCACATGAAAGATGCTGCCACTATTATCCAACCCCAGCCTCCATCTGGAGGAACGATCATTTCCACTTCAATTCCCTAAAGGTAAGAAAAAATTTTCCATTTAGAAAAAAGATTGAAATTTTTTTCATAAAAGAAACTAAAAAAAAGACAAATTTTCTATAGATAGAATTTAAATAATTTAAAATTTTTCCATTCAGGAAATATTTATCATTTAATCAGGGATTTAAAATAAAAAAAAACTTTTAGAAATCGGGTAATTTTCATTAAAAGAAAATATAATAATAATAATTTTTTTCCATTAAAAGAAACTATAAACCAAATGTTAACATTTTATAGTGAGAATTTAAATAATTTAGAAAATTTTCAGTCAAGAAAAAGAGAAACAAATTTTGATGATCAGAAAAAATTAAAAGTGTAAAAAAGAAAAAAACTTCCAAATCCCAGTTAAATTTTTATTAAAAAGAAACAATAAACCACTTGTCAATATTTTATAACAAAATTTCAAATAATTTTAAAACATTGAAAAAAAAAATTTGTTCAGGAACAATGTTTTTGTTTAAGACATCTTAGAAAAGAGGGGAAAAAATTGTTTTACTTTGTGAATTTAATTTCTTTGTTTTGTTATATATTTAAATAATTTATGTCATCGATATATAATTTTAACTTTAAAAAAATGAAACAATGAAAATTTTTCATTTAGTGTCAATGGCTCAATTAAAATATAATATTTTCATTTTCAAAGTCATTAATAAGGTAATGTCTTTTACTAATTAGTAGATTACGAAATTTTATTATCGATTATCAAGTAATAGTCTTATTTTATTATTATATACATGTTTAAATTAATTCATTTAAAGAGAAAAAAAAGTTCATTGACCTTTTCTTAAGGAAAAATTTGTTTTTTAAATTGATCTCCAGGATATTTTTGTAAATTCAGTAAATTTTTTATTTTAAATTCTAATTTTTAATTAAAAAATAATTATTTTTCTTCGTAAAGATATTTTTTGTGTAATTTTACTATTTTTGATCTAGGTAAGAATTTTTTTAACTAAAAAAAATGAGTTAAAAATAAAAAACTTAGATTTTTCAAAAAACTATTTCTAAATTTTGACAATAATCGAATATTTTTATTAAATAAAAAAAATTCCTGACTCTAATGAAGAAGTGTGTATTGTAAATTGAAAAGAAAGAAAAAAAAAAATAAATTTTTGTATTGATTAATAAAATTGAAAAATAAAAGTATCTAGAAAAATTAATAACTCACTTCATCTTTGTCGTCGGTGAAATTGTTAAAGGGCACATCATCATTATCATTATGATTATTATATCCATTCTGTTTAACAGCAGATTTCTCACAATGTACTTTGTTGCTCTCTGTCGGATCCATGACTGTCAAGTGACTGTGAAACAAGTAGAAAATTGCTACACCAAAAATGTGCTACAGAGGTAGTTGAGAATGGGGGGAGGGAATTGATAGTTTAGTTAGGCTTTCGGATATATAGAGAGAAATAAAAGAAAGAAAGAAAGAAAGAAAGAAATGAGGCTTTTTCACAAAGAGATGATGAACAATCGACTGCCAAGCATTTGCCAGATTAAAAATTTGTTCGCCGCGTGGCGCCAACATAATGCCGCTTGTTTATATATTTTTTTTCCCCTCTTTTATCACTTAACACGAAACATAAACGAAAAATCTAATTTTCTTTTATCTATTTAATAAAAAAAAATTATAATGTCAATATTTTTATAGAATTTACACGAGAGAATCTATTCATCTATAAATGAGAACTATAGAATATCGAGTGAAAAAAATTGAGCTTCCAAAAAAGTTGTGACAGTAAAATTTATTAAAATTTCACAAATTGAAATTATGTCGCTAAATTCTCTTGATAAAGCATTGTAGCTTACCTTGAACCATTGAACTGACCTTCATATTCACTTTTGGGTAATAATTTTGTTATTTAATTAATCCGTTTTTATTTTTATTCAATTCAATTTTAAACTACACTTTTATAAATTCAGGAAGAAGTATTTAATTAATTAATTACAAAATTCTAAAAATGAAAATAGTTTAAATATTTTTCAATTTTTTTTTCTAATATTTTTACAAAATTGAGGCAACAAAATTTAAGATGCAAAAAAAAATTTTCGTTGAGACAGAAAAAAATATTATTGGACCCAACAAAGCGGATTCAGTTTTGTACAAATAGGATCTAAATGTTTTGTTGATTAACAAACAAAATATTCATCTCGGTGTGTAGTTAAAATTTGGATTTATTTTCTTAAATGAGAAAGTTTATAACAAGATTATCCGGTCTTTAGAAAAAAATTACTTAATGATTTTATATTAGCTAACATACTAAATGAACTAACATAATATATTAAAATAATGTATATATAAAATAGATATATAAAATTTACATGACCAAAAAAAAGTAACAAATTTTTTTAAGGAATGAAAAGTTTCTTAAGTTAAGGAAACGAAAGTTTTGTTTGCTTTTTTATGAATAATGTGAAATTTATCGTTTAGCATTGTTGTAGGTCTTTTTTTTTATCAAAAAGTGTTTGTCAATTTTATATTAAAATGTTTCTGTTTTTATGAGTGAAATAGTGGAAAAATTTTATATTGCATTAATAATCGCAAATAATATAAGCAAAAAATTGAAATATTTCGCAAGGATCATCGGAAAGAATATAAATATATTGCTCCATGGATGTTCATGATAGACAGTAATATGATGTAATAAACACTTTCCGGTTTTAAGGATAGTTTCCGATGAGTCACTTGACAGCAATTACTTTACGTTTATTAAATTTATCAAGTTTTCAAACTAAAGTTATTTCACTTAGTGTGTGATGCTGTCCACTTGTCAGATTCCAAAACACGCGAATTTTCTTAAAGCGAATATAAAATTATAAAAATAAACAATACCAATTAAAATTAGTACAATAATTATTAAAAAAGAAAAAAAAATTAGTAGGAAAATATTTTTTTCTAAAAACACAAATTTTCTTAGACGGAACAGAAGAATTACAAAAAATTAAATTTAATACAATAATTATTTAATTAGGAAAAAAAATTAGGAAATGAGTATATTTTTTCTAAAAAAGGGAAAAAATAAAAATATTTTTTTAAATTTTCAGAAAATAATTTATGAGAAAAAATGAAGTTTTTTTTATTAAAAAATATGATTTGATATTTATAATAATTGGACTATAATCTCAATTTTTTAAAAAAAGAAGCGTTATCTTTTCAAGCTAATATTTATTTTAATTGACTCAAATATTGAGTAACTATTTACAGATAGCTTATACTGAATAAGCTAATAATTTATAATGTAGGTATATATTCATTATCTAATTCTATATAATGATCTACAATATATAAATTACATTATTATTTAATAATAATCGCGGTTTTTGAAACGAAAAAAAAAATTTGTTCAATAAATTCTATTCGGATTAGAAAGAAACATTATTTATCGTCTACAACGTGTAATAAATTTTGAATCTTCATAAATTGCGTTTTGAATTCACCTTTTAAAATGTAGTTAAACCAATAATATCTGTTACGAAAGATTTGTTTTAAACTTACGTAAACACTGATAAGAAAGATAGTCATAAAAAATATTTTCCTAAAAAAAAATTGGAAATTGTTACCATTGAATTTTTTTATCCTAAACGAATAATAACAATTGTAAAATAGAAAAAATTACTATTATTTTAAAAGTAGAAAAAAATATGTACAACAAAAATTTTTCTTTGGTTACGATGAAAAAATACCGGTAAAAAAATACGAAAAAAATTTACAAAAGAAATTTTTTGTGGTTTCAATGGAAAAATAATACCGATAGGTATTATAATTTTCGTTTCGTGAGATATAATTATCTTTTTCCAAAAAATGTGCAAAAATTTTTTTTTAATTCTTCCGCATATGGAATGATAACGAAAAAACTTAATTCAAGAAATTGAATTTAAAATAATTTGGAGCGAAACACGTTTACTTTAAATAACGTGTTTTGGAGTAACAGGTTTACCTCCAGAATTTCTCTCTCTCTTTCTCTCTCTCTATCTTTCTCTCTTGGTTTTTTTAACTGATGTAATCCTGACAGTGTGAAACAAGATCCAAATATTCACTTTCATTTTCATATTTAATACACTTTTTGAATGGTTTTTAATTTTTTTCCCGCTTAATACTACGCACAATTTTATTAAATACTCATCTTTCCGAGAAAGTCTTGTAACTTTTTTTTTCTTTATTTTGTTACAGACGGTATTCAAATTTTAACTACTATTTTTTAATATGAAATTTAAAATTAAAACGAATGTCAACAATGAAAAATAATTTTTTTCTTTTTTTAGGAAAATACGTACACTGGAGAAATCCAAAATTGGTAACTAATTACAGAGGAGGAAGAAGAAGAAGAAGAAGGAGAAGAACAAGAAGAAGAAGTAGGAAATTTCCACCCACAGCTGGTGCCAAATCGGTGGCAATTATGCAATATATAAATGACGTTCAAGGCCAATGACCTAAAGGCACACTCAAGGTAAATTTGTATATATATATATATATATAGTTAAAACTGCACCCGCGAAAATGTGAATCAAGTGCAGGACACGTTACGACTTTTTTCTCTCTCTCGCTCTCTTTTTCTTTTAGGTGCGTGTGTCGTGTCTGATGAGCGCGTCGAAGAGACGAGAGAAGAATAACCCAAATTTCTTCTTTACGCACGTTTCACTTATATACAAATCTAATATATTCGCGTATATCTTATAAATTCTCCTTCTCGTCGTTGTCGTCGTCACCGATACGATACTTTATTTCGACATATATATATAATCCATGAAAGATATCGTGTTTCTATTCATATTTTTTTTCTCTCTTTTTTTTCACATCAACCCAGAGACCTTTATTCAAATTAAGTTAATCTTCATTTTCTTTAACCGGGGTATCAACTCACGATGACTTTTAGTCAGAGAATCCACTCGACTGTTAAATGTTGTCTAAAAATAGGCTACCGGTCTCTTACACTGCCGAAAAGAGTGGCAATCAAATAAGGGAATAAATTATTTGTACGTGACACAAAAGTGCGCTCGAAAGGCTCATTTAAAAAAATATAAGTATTAAAAATGAAAGTAAAAAAAATTGTGTATACGAAGGATTTTCACGTGAAAAGCTTAATGGTGATTTTCATTGTTTTTGTTTTTGCAAAAAAAAAAATTTCTAGAAACGTTTTTTTTCATTTTTGCAATAATTTTCTCTTGACACCAGGCATCAAAAAATAGAAAAAATAAATAAAATTTTTGATGATTAGCATACAAATTTTTTTGTTTTCAAATAAATAATTATTTTAGAAAAATTTTTTGAACATTTTTTCTATAACTTTTTTTTGATACTATCAAATAGGAAGAAAAAAAATTGGAAGAATATAATAAATATGTTTTTGTCAAAATTGTGTTTGGTATTTTAACAGTCTGTTAAAGATTTTCGATTAATATTGTTATCATTCATGAGGTTTAATAATTTTTTGTTTTATCTTGCTCAAATGCAACATATCCTATTATATCAGAACATAATTATCCGCTAAAATTAAAATAACAGTTCCATTGATTTTAATTCAATATAAATAAACAAATCGATGGATTTTTAATTTTTGTTCTCCAATATAAATTTTCTTTTTTTCTTTTTTGTCTCATAACACAAAAAGAAAGTAATAATTATTTTTTTCTATATTCGTAACTTTTTCTGATTTATATTATTGATATTTTTTTATTTTTCAGATTTTTTTTGAATAGTGTCGTTCAGGAAGTATGTACTGTTAAATTCAAAGAATAGAATGAAAATACGATTAAATGACACGTTTACGCATAACTGGCAGTTGTTGCAAAGAGGTCACGTTCTCTGGGTTAAAGTCCGTAAGTTTATCAAAAATTTTCTTTCATTTATTTACCAACAATCAACTTTATGATTATGATGAACCAAATCAATCGCGTATAAATAGTTATAAATGTACAAAAACAAAAGCCTATATATACATAGAATTTTAAAACAAATGAAACCTTTACATTTTGCAATTGCGATATTGGATGTATATACAAAATATTTATATTCTTAAAAATAACATTGTCCGATACAAGTTTCCCCCTAATTTATATCCCAGATAATTTTTATCACTTTTGATAGATTTTAATTCACGTTGATTACAAAATTGGAAAAAAGAATGTTTTGGAAAAAATCGGTAAAAAAAGTGGAATTTCAATCATGATTTCAAATTTTTTAAAAATAATAAATTATTAAAATTTTTTGGTTTTAATTAAAGCCAATGTCCATTTAATAGAATTTTAATTTAACTAAATAGTTTTCAATTTATATAGAATTTCTATATAAATGAATTTTTAATTAACAGAATAAGAATTCTGATAAATGAAATGAGAATTCTATTAAATAAAAATTATGTTGAACAATTGTTTTTGTAAATGAACATTCGGATAACAGAAAATTGAGTTCTATTAAAATTCTATGGATAATATTTTTATTTGTAAATTCATATTTATAAATAATCAGAATGAAAAAATTTATCAAAAGCGATAATAATAATTAATACGGGGGCGGAAAAAAATTTATTTTTCTTGGATAATATAAATAATTAACAATAATTGTAATACAAAATTTGCCAATAGATTATTTTTTAAATATTAATTTAACTTTTTAAATTTTTGAAACAAAAAAAAAAAAAATTAAACAATTTTTGTTTTTGTACACTTTGATATTTTTAAAAATTGCTAAAGTAATATAAATAATTTTTTTTAAAAGAAAAGAAAATTATTTTTTTTAGAACTTTCAGCGAAATTTAAAAATAACATTGTTATAGTAGATATACATTTGTATCCAGAAATAAAAATTGTTTTCTGTTAGTCATATACAACATATATTTATATATATATATATGTATGTATAAATTCGCATATAAACATGATGTATACACATTAAAGTGTTGTTGATGGAATTTTTATTATGAATTTTTAATTTTACTTGATAAATGCATAAGTATGTAAAGTGATAAGAGGAAAATTGACCAGAAACATTTAAACTGAATTTTTTGCTCACACAGACAAAATAAAATTCATTATTCATTCACTTTTATTATTTTTTTAAATAAAAAAATGAGATTCTGAAATTATTACTTCAATTTACTATATAAAAACTATAATTATAAAGTTACCTATATAAAAAAAACTTTATCTATCAAAAATCCAAAGACACTTGAAAATTTAATAAACACGCGCACTTATAAATTAAATTATGAGTTTGAAATTGGATTTATGAGCAAAAAATCAATTTTTAGTTTCACTGAATATTTTTTTCCAGGTTTGTTATATATAAAAGAAAGTAAAAAAAGACACTCTTCACTATTAGTTGTTTATTGCAACTGTTTATGAAAAATGATTTAATTCACACGATTCACTTGTTATATTTCCCTCTTTTCTCTATTGATTGAAATAAATTTTTTTTTTATTTTGTCTGACGATATAATGGCTCAATTTACTGATTTGATTGTATTTTATTAAAAATTCGTAAACATTTAGAAATTTAATTTAACATTTTTTTTTAAATTCTATGGATACAAAATTTTTATCTACTTAATTCTTATGAATTTAATTTAAATACATATATGTTAATATAAGTCAATAAACTGAAAATATTTTAAGAATTTAATATCTCTCGAAAAAATTAAATTAATTTAAAAAATAACTAAATATGATAATAAAAAAAATTATTTTATAAATAAATTTTGAAATATGTTTAGAATTTTAAAAAATACGATTAAAATTGTTAAATTTTTTTTTTTAATCTTTATTATCATAGTGAATAAAATCTAATTAGATCAGCGTATGGAGAAAATAAATGACATCAACTGATACAAAGTCAATTAAATTGTTGTGACATTATAGATAGTTGAGAGTCAATCTTCCAGAAAATTTTAAAGTTCAAATTATCCTTTCACTTGGCAATCAAGTCGCTTGTTATTAATCGAGTATATATTACATATATTATAATAATAATAAATTAATTATAATATAGGTAACTAAGAAGAAAAAATCAAGTTTTTTTCGAGATTTAGTTTATTATATTTATCAAAACGAAAATAGAATGAATTGAAAAACATAAACAATAAGAATTTATTATATTTACTTGAAAAATGCAGTTATAAATTAATATATCATCATCAGTAATATTAAATTTTTTTATACATAAACATATGGATATTTTTCATCGTCGTATGGAAAAGGAAATTTTCAACAAAAAATATATAGATATATATATATATATATTTTACATTAATCATTGACAATTATGCTAATTATATTTAAATTCTGTTATTGTCTTGAAAAATTTGAATAACAAAAAAAAGAAGATAAAAAACTTTAATAAAGACCGAAAATTAACAAATGCTTTTTAAAAAAATGTTCAAACTTTCAATTTTTTGAAAATAAATTTTAAATAAACATACGATAAATTTATTGGATAATAAAATGTATGGAAAATTAATTATCTGACTATTAATTAATTGTCTTATTTACATTTATATATTTCATTCTATTTTCAAAGATTGTTTTTTTAAAAATAAACTTTTTCTGTTTTTTTTTAAATTTAATAATTAAAAAAATCTCTTTATTTAATTTTATTTATTTATTTATTTTGTATAACATTTACTGCAATAGGATAAATATTGCAGGAAATGTTTTAGTTCTCACAGATAAATTTTTTTCATATGTAAAAATTGAAAACCTTGATTTGAGGTTTATTTAAATTAATTCTTAAATGTTTTTTTTCTTCAATATAATAAAAATTCTTTTCACATTAAAGCTATGGCTTTGTACATCAAAGAAATTAATTGTATGTGATTTTTACACTATCATTTTTATGTATATATAATATTCATAATGATAATGACAATAAAATATTATTATTATTATTATTATTATAAAATTGATAACATTAAGATTTCGCTTACGAAGCATTTTGCTTAAAGCTGCAAATCGATTTTTGAAAAATTCTTAATGTTTCTTTTTTTGTGATTTCCCCTAAAAAGCAACAATCAAGACTGAAAAATTGTCACACAATATCGAGTGTGTGACAAAAAGTCAACTTTCTTACATATACACATACATAAAGACATTCTTTCTCTTTCTCTCACATTCACACTAATTACCGTTGGAAATTATGCAAAAAATTTTTTTTATAACTTTAAAATAACTAAGCGTATAAATTATTTTTCTATTTTCAAAAAAAACGAATATATTGTTCACTTTTTCATATAAATTATTATTCCACGAATTAAATACTTAGAATATATTTTTATGAATACTTAAAAGTTTTATATAAATGTTTATTTGAAGTAATAATTACTTAATTTTTTTAATTTAGTTATTGAATAAGAAGATTCAGTTTTTAAAATAATACCTTACTCAGTTGAAAATTAAAATTTATTAATTTGTGTTCAAGATACTTTCTACAATTTTTTTGTTTTAATTAGTTAATATTTTAGGAATTTATTGCTTTAAAATAAGACAACAATTTAGCAAAATAATAAGCCAATCACAAAACTTTTAACTTTAGACTGGAACAATATATTCAAAATTGGTTGTTTTCCAGGGTTTGAAGGAAAATTTCCTGCAGGTTTTTCCAGATTTATAAAATTCCCTGACTTTTCCAGAATTTCCAGGTAGCGTGGCTACCTAACAAGAATATTAGTTTTTGGAAAATTGTATTTTTTGCAGTTACTTTAAAATTGTATAATTTTCAACGATATCATTCCAAACACAAAACATTAAATTTAAAACATTTTTTCAGTAACTAAGTACTTTTAACAAGATTTTTATATACAATTATATTTATATATATATATTATAAATCACATAATATCAATAATAATTCTTCGCCTATTTTTTTTTCTTTTTGCTTTTTTTAAGTCACAGGATTAGTTAAACAGCGTTTTTTTCACTGTGCATAACAAAATTAGTTCGCTTATTTATAGTTTGTGTTAATTAATTCTTCAATATTTTAGAAAGTTTCGAAAAATTTGTAAATTAATTAATTCAAACTATATTTTATAGCCGATAATCGGAATCCTCGAACGCTTAAATGGAAAATTGATTTATCGTTATTTTTGAATCTTCACAATTTTATCGATAGATCAAATTTCATTTTTTCTTTTTTTTAAAGAGAAGTTTGAATCGTCATTATGACATACTGATTTTGCAAATTTTGCTGTTTCTTTTTATCACAAGTCTCTGCAATATAATATTTACAAGAGGTTCGTTCCGCGGCAGGCGTTGCTTTATATATTTCTGCGTGTATTTTTTTTCTTTTTTTTAATATTATAATTGATTGATTCATTCAGTCACGTCGATCTTATGTACAATTTAAGTGCAATAAACATCGGTTTGCCGCGAATAATTTAAGCCTAGGGATATAATAATCGAAATAGAGATGAAACCTCTAATAAAAAGTAAATTGAAACGTAGAGAATTTGACAAAGAAATTTTTATTCTACGTTTCTATTTACATTTTTGTTTTTCTTTCAATCTTAACCGATATGCACGTGCAAAAGCGCATTTTTGTTTCATGATTTTCTTTCGAATTTCTTTTTTTTATACTGACGTTCGATACTGATTAAGTTACTTAAAGAATCTACACTTCGACAGAGGCCGATTATGAACTAAAAAAACAGTTCTTTTCTTTTTTTACCCGACGGAGTTTCATTTTTCAGGCTTTGGTCAATTGCAGTCGATATATTCATTTTGGTGCATTTTAAGTGCATATTTTAATAACTCCGTGGGGAAAAATTTGTTTTCCTTTTTTTTTTAGTCAATTTGTGCTTTGTTCGTTCTCGTGGTATTTATTATAAGAGAATGATGAAAAAATACCCTTTTTTATATAGTTTGGCCTACTCCAAGAAACAGCTCTATCACAGAATGGCTTGGAGGGTAGGCAATTTCCTAATGAAAAAAAAAAAAAAAAAAAAAAAATTAAAAAGAAGCAAAATAGCTTGGAGTATATAATTATAAAACAGATTCAATTTGTTTAATTTCTTTTTCGGGTGGATCTACTGGTGATGGAGCAGTTTCCACAATTTCTGGTATATCGTCCTCATTTTCTTCTTCAATATCTTCATCAATAGGTGTTAATTGATCTAATACCAAAGGCTGTGTCTGAAAATTTAATTTTGTCAATCAATATATAATTATCCGATCATACATCTCTAGGAAATATTTCAGCAAGAGTTTTAAAATCAACCAATCACAGTCTTTGTTTTTTTAAATTTTTTTTATATTTAAAAAATATAACTGCTATCACTTTAGAAAATTTTAATAATTCATGATTTTTTTATTTTAAAATTCAAAGTGATTTCAAGTTTTTTTTCAAAGTAAAAAATAAATTCAAGGAGAATTCAAGGATTTTTCAATGGGTTGCTGGATATCCTGAATTAAAAATATAGATAATTATTTATGTAATTAAGTAAATATAATAAAGAAATAACAATAACAACAATGATAAAAATAATAATAATAATTAAATGAATTAAGTACAAAAATAAATTAAATACTTAATAAAAAATTACCTGTGGAGCAATGCAACGCTTCATCATAGGAGCCATAAAACTGGTAATAGTACTTAGAAGAAAAAGAAATCCTGCCATATAAAATGTTACACTATAACTTCCGGTTGCATCATTAATTGCACCAGCAATTGGCGGTCCTATCATTGCCGCTGCTCCTCTGAATAAAATTAGTAATCCAAAAGCATTGGTTAATTTATCCAGTCCCAAAAGATCCACCAGGATAATTGACGTTAGAGAAATATATCCCGCTATAAAGATAATCGAATTTTTAATTACAAAAGCCTTCAGTAAATAAAAGAAAAATAATTTTAGATTATATATTTTCACGTTTAAAGTTGTTTTTACCGGTTTTTTATCATAAAAAAGGTGATCGTCTGATAATTTCCGAGATTAGTGTGTAGACAATATGGATTAAAAGACAAAAAAGTAACTTACATATTGCGAGTCCAAAGAAAACACTGGCAGCTACATAGCCACCATAAGAATAACAGAGTGGTGTTGCAGCCAGTGAAAAAGAACACACTATTAAGCAGATATTATTTAACAGTAAAGAATTAACTTGTGGAAAATCTGCAATATATCCACAAGCAATACGCCCAACAATATTTGTTATTCCAATAACAGAGAGCAAAAATGTCGCCAAATTCTTATCAATTCCCTGAAATAGAATTGAAAAAAGAAAATTCATAAATTTTAATTAACATCATTTTATAAATTTAAGAGAAAAAAAAACACAAAGACAAAAAGTTTTAAAAACCACATTGCGTAACCTTTTTTTCTAAAATTTAAAATCAGAAATCATATTTACATCATTTTCAGCAGCTCGTGGAAGATAAACAAACGGAATGTAAGTGGCAGCCATTCCAAAAATATTACTTATTCCAATCATCAGAAATACGGGATTTTTCAATAGTGTCATGTCCAACATTGTTCCCAAGGCTTCTTTAAAAGAATTAGGTAAAACCAAACAAGGACATAGTGGTTCTGAAACATTAAAAAAAACCAATTAAGTAATTATTTTTCTTAACATGCGAACTAAAAAATCTGTCTTGTTTCTTGTTGTTATTATTATACATACGTTGAGGGCCTTTTTCAAAATCACCATCTCTAACATCACCACGCACTGATTTTGATAGTGAAATAACACTTTGACGATAATTAGTTAATGATTTTTGACTCTGATATTCTGGTAAATTAACTACACTACCACTATAAAAAATATCTTTTCGAGATAAAGGACGAACTATCATAGGCTTTTCTTTTGGCATTGCCTGTCTCAGACTTAATTTACTTGTCGTGAAAGTTATACTCTCTCCATCCTGAAAAAAAGCGATTATTATTTACTCATATATATTTTTTATTAGTTAGAATTTGAAAGAATAAAAATTCTGTCAAATAAAAATATGTTTAAAAAGAAAAATTTAATCAAATGCTTATTCGAAACTTGGAAATTAAAAAACTGAATTTTAATTTACTTACATCTAATTCGGTATTATTATTTCGTGATCCCAACATACTGCTAACAGAAAGACGTAGATGTAAACTCTTTCTAATATCTCCATTTGAATTTAATGTTGATCTCGAATTTTTAATTGCACTAAGACTTGGCTTATATCTTTCGCCTGTACTTGTTTTTCGAATTCTATCAAAAAAGGGAACTGATCCATTTTTCGGTAATCCTTGAACATGTGTTGTGAATGCCGGTTGAGATGCATTGCGTGGAATAACAGTTTTATTAAATTCATCAGGTTTATCCAAAACATCTTTTATTTCTTTGGTATCATCTATGGCTTTTTTACTTTTTGATTTGGTTGACGAACTTTTTAAATCCATACTTCCACTATTACTTGTCGCTCCACTTGACGAGTGCTCCTGCACTTTTACTTCCGATATTGTTGGCAATGTCGGCACAGTTGGTACTGGAGTCAGCGGAGTTCCTTTTATAATATGAGTATCAATTAATATAATCGACACAATTTTTCTTTTTTTTTCTCTCTCTTTCTATTCCATCAACTTTCAATTTTTAATTTAACAAATTAAACTTATAACAAAATTTCTATGATAATTGAATATTTAATTCAATTATAGTTTTTGAAAAATTAAAAATTATTGAAAGTAACTTTTGTTGAATTAGAGGAAAATTAAAAAAATTAAGTAATTTTTCTTACCAGGCACTAATTGGTCTAAGTTGAAACTGGAGTGTACGCCAGGGTCAATGTTAATTGGCATTTTCATTCTCTTTTCCATTGAACCATCAGGAAGTTGTACCATAAAATATGATCCTCCAATACTTCCACGTTCCATTTGAAATCTTTTTTCTTCTGCCATTCTTTGAAGTAATGGTTTCACTGACGATGGTTTTGCGTATTCCAATGGCCTCATTAATGCTCCGAAAACCTAAATGACAAAGATTAAACACCATTTAATAAATTGAAAATTTTAATTTAAAAGCACAAAATTTTTCTTTAAAAATTAAATTAAACTTACCACACAATTAAGTATAAGACCAGCTAAAATTAAATTTGCCCCTTGCCATTTATATTCGGTGAGTAAAATTTCAGCAAGTGAGGGAAAAAAAACAGTTCCAAATCCTGAACCACAAACAGCTATTCCCGTGGCTAATGATCTCTTTGTTTCAAAATAATATCCTACACAAACTACAGCTGGCAAATAAATGAGACCAAAACCAATACCTAGCAGATGAAGAATCTATATTTTAGTTAAACTGTCAATATTATTAAATATCATTAAAAAAACAAAAAAAAAATTGTACATTTTTTCAATATAATAATAATAAGTTTTTTACCTCCTAATACTCCATAAGTTAAAATTAGCATATTGATGGAGCTTGAAAAAATTGACAAGACAAATGCAATAGCACCAATACAACTACCAGCTATACACACATTTCTACAACCATACTTATTAGTTAATGCGCTGACAATAGGACCTGAAAAAGAGAGAAAAAATGACAAATTTAAAAAATAGTAAAAAATACTATTTCCAAAGTAAACTTTGGAATTATTAAATAAATTAATTATTAAATTACCTGCGCTGAGGTATACGCCAGATAAAAGAGAACCAACCCATGCCGTTGTCGCTTGACTCTCATTAAAATGCAAAGCAAATGGTTGATGAAATTTTCCAAATGTATATGCTATTCCATCAACTATCATATTACACATAAATGATGCAAATACCACAACCCAACCATAGCCACCATCTGGAGGTGGTGGTATGTCATGATAGTCACATAACGATACATCATCTTCAGGAGATGTCTCATCAGCACCTCCATCTCCTGTTAATTTCGCTTGTTCCTCTACTGAATACTCGCTTTCCGTCTATAAAAAAAAGAAAACGTTGCATTAAACTAATTAAAACTATTTGTCCCTTTTTTTCATTTATTTTCACTTCTCTTCAATAATATTTATCGGACGTAAAACATTAAAAAAAGATGTCCCTAAAGTTCTGAGAGTTCAAATGAATGAATTTTTTTTACTTTTTTTACTTTTTTTAATTAATATGCACATTTATTTTTTATTTGTCATTGGAGTACAATAATATAAAAAAATCCGTTCATTTGAACATTCAGAACATTAGAGACATTAAAAAAAATTCTTTTTTCAAATTTTTTTTATTTTTTTATGAATTATAATTTATTTTAATAAAAAAAATTGTCTTATTTCTTTATATTAATCACTTTTCCGTTTAAATCAAATGCAAAATTGATTCTTTGAATCAACTTTTGACATAATATGTGGCTAGTTCACCTTGATTACAAAAGAAGCAAGAAAATCTTGTTTTGATTTCATTCTCGTTGTTCTTTGTATATCAGATATTATTAATATTCGATTAGCTCTTTTAATCTCTTCATAATAAAATTAACTTTTTAATCTATCATTAAATCTGGTTTTTTTAAATTATTTTTTTTCTTTATTACTAGTTGATAGTTTATAAATTTATAAAGAAAGAAACAAAAGAAAATTTGTTTTAATTGGTTTTAATCAAAAATTAAACATACTCGAGATTATAAATTTTTCCACAAAAGATATTTAGAAATGTTCCAAACTGAAATATTTCATGTTTGATTTTCCAAAAATAAACTTAAAATATTTTACACACTTCCGTTTGAATTGAAATGTTTACAAATCTTATTAACTGGATTATTTTTACATGAATTTTTTTTAGTGTCTTTTTTTAAATAAATATAAAAATAAGAAAAAATTATAGTATCAATTATAAAAAAACAAAAAGTATGTCAATAATTTTATTCCAATAAGCTTTGTATAGTGAATCATACAGCTCACACTGCAGTGACCTTAAAGAATTATTCATTCCTTTGTCCATTTTTAATAAAAAAAAAAATACTGCAAGTTTCTTAAAATGATAAAAATAACAAAAAAAAGAAAAATGAAACGAAAGAGAAAATTAGATATCGAAGCACGTGCTCTGAATTTAATTAACGTTTAGGCATTATGCCAAGGACACGATCAATGACCTCAACAGTATTATTTTGTATTGTAAAGAATCATGACTTTGTTTAAAAAAAATAAATAAAATCACGAGATCAGAATGTTAGGTTAGGTTCATCCAGGAGGGCGGATCCAATCAGCTGATTATGAATTTTATATATATAAATTTTGACATAAACCAAACTATTTTGTCTTCGACCTTGTTTATTTACAAATTCCTCCCATTTAATAAAACACCCACACAACTAAATTCGATTAACGTATATGTCATATTTTAATTAAACACAATCAAGAAAAATAGCAACAAAAAATCCTCATTATTTTCAATTCTTGTCATATGATTTTTTTAACGAGCAACATAACCTAAAAGTAATGTCAAATTACTCACGTGTTTTTATAATACATAAAAAAATGTGTTTTGTTTTCGGGACCTACCGTGCTTATTTTTCGTACTCTACGTGAGCCGTATTGGCTATATTGTGATTTGAGCGACACTCGTGACATTTTACACTTTTGTTTTTCTTGATCCGTATAGGAAATAATCTATTAATAGTAATAGGTGTAACACTGCGCGTAAAGCGTTTCGAAACAAATTGAATCAAGTGGCATCATTATTTTATTTCATTTAAATCCAAAGGAAAATTTGCTTTTCACTACACAAAAATTTTACAAGCCATTTAAACAATCGTTCCATCATATACAACGCCACAGTAGGCAACAAGGTTCGATAACCGAGGCAATGTCATGATGATGCATCCTCTCTCTCTCTATACTGACTGCGTGTGTAAAATTTAATACTCTTCGCTATATTTATATCACACCCTTTTTTTATCCGAAAGCTTCTCTCTCTCTCACATTTAGATCTTCTTTTTGAATCAACAAAGACACCGCGAATAAACTTATTCACTGTTTATTAAAAATTTCGTTTTTGCATTTGTTGATAAAATTCTTCTTTGATAAAACGCACGAGTTTATAGATATTTATATATGAATTTGTTTATCTTGACACAATTTTCTTAACGATAATTAGATTAAGTACATGTATTATATACATTGTATATGTCATATAGAAACATATTTTAAGTATTTTTTTGAGGTTAGGTTGTTATTAAAGACCAGATAGTGGAAACTATTACTCTACTACTATACAGAAATATATATAAATAAATAAAATAGTTGCACTCTACTCTGTAGTCAGTTACATACTGCACGCAGCTCGACATGCCCCACTCTTTTTGTGACGAACTTTGTTCAAAATTATGACGTGTTCTGCATCATTGTTGTGTTTAAAAAAAATCACAAAAACAAGTATATAGAAAAAAAAGCAGAGGTAAATTTAATATTTCTATACTATTTGAAAAATTTCTAAACCTTTTTTCTTTCAAATCAGAAAAGTTTTGCAATTATTTTTCCTATATATATAAAAAAATTATAAAAATCAAAATAATTGAAATCTAATGTAGAATAATTTTACAATTTTATTATATATATATATTAAACATAAATAAAAAACGGAATTTTTTTTATTGAGAAAGACAATGTAATAATTGTTATTGTTTCATTTTAAAAACGAAGGTCGCGAGTTTACGAGTTCTTTTTTTTAAATTCATGACTTTCTCAAATATATTATTTAACTTTCAGCTGTATAGGCAGATAATTTGAAAAATTACACATAGAATACTAAGAAAATAATATCTTTTTTGCTATAATAGATGAGAATATAAATTTTTTTTCAAATAAAATGAAATGTTTTTAAAAATACCGTGTATATATATATATATATAAAAATTATTTGTTTTGATAGTGAGATACAATGCACTCGCGCGCGTTTATACGCAATGTCGTTTTATGAATTAATTAGATAACGAGCAACGACAATTAGAACTGTTAAATGGCCGAATGAAAACACCATCTGCTTCTCATCTCAAGTGAAGAGAAAAAAAAATTTGGTAGCAAATTCTTTTTGATGAATCAGGAGTTCAAACAAGTGATTCAACTTTCATTTATAAATTTAGTTAAGCACATATTATTATTACTATTGTACTATAAAAGTGCATTCCATAAATTGTTTGTAAATTAAATTTAATCTCAACGTAAATTGTTTTATAATTTAACTTCTTTGTACTAATTAAAATTCACTTTTAAGAAAAAAATTCTTTTTTTTCGCATAATGTGCATTTTTAAATAGGAATATTTTCAATTCTATTTTTTTTATTTTTTTTTAGAACTCTATTAACTTCAAAAAAGTTTTAGTATTTTCAACTAATAATATAAAATAATAATGATATAATGAAATTAATTTTTTTAGACAATATAATAAAATGTGTATATATTTTTTAGTACGCAAATATAATAAAGACGATTCGGTAAAAAAAATTTTTTAATCATTTTTTGAAATTAAAAAAGCTATTACAAATATAAAAGATATATTGACCAACGTTTTACCGGTTTGATAACACAAAACTGATAAAATATACACTAAAGATAGGTAATTATCAAGATTTGCAATTTATCTCGATTTTGATATAGATATAAGAATAGGTATATAATACTGGATAGATATATTAGTCATTGTATATAAGAAATTAAATTTTTCTTTTTTTTATTGGAAAAAGAAATTAAATACGAAAACTATAATTTAATACCAAGTCCTCCTTGAAGAGTCTACGAGAATTTTAGTTCGATGTTATATATTATAATTTAAAAGAAAAACGCGAGATAAGGTATATATTGGATTTATATATGTATATATATATAAAGAAATTATCAATCAGTTACCGATATTTTCTTGACCGCAACCCACATTCACTCGCGCGCGCATTTACTTTCTATATGGCGCCTTGTACAATTAATTATGACACGCGTACCTATTATTCTTCTTTCATATAAATTTTTATATTATTTAAATTAATTTTTAAAATTTTTAATTATTATTATTATTATTGCATTATTACTACTAATTTTCAATAATTTATTACACAATTTATTTTAATTTTTATTTATTATATTGACGCGTGCATTTTATTAATTTGTTTTTTGACTTTTTTTTAATTAATTTAAATTGAAAATATTATCGTTTAGAAAATAGGCTTTATTTCGTTGACGAAATATTGAGAAATTCTTTTAAGTAATTAAGATCAATTTTTATCAGCGTGGAATTTAAGTATATACTGGTTCTTATCAAAAGGTACTGAAACGATTTCGAAATTAGATTAGTCACTCGATTTTTGATTTTTGAATTACTTCAATAGACATTGTATAATTATATTGTTTTATAATATTTTTGAAATGAGAATTTTTTCAAAGGCTTTTTTCTATTTTATGATCAAAAAATTTTATTTTGAATAAAAATTTAATCTAATTTTCTATTACTATTATTAAATAAAATTTAATAAAAAAATTAATTAAAACAGAATTTATAAATAATGAAAATACAGAATTATAAAAGAGAAATTGATTATTTTTTGAAATTATAATAAAAAATAGAATTTATGTGATAATAATTATTGTTATAAAATATTTATAAATTACTTTTCGATTTAATTATTGATTTTCTCATTTTCAGAAATAAAAAATTCCCACAAGGATTTCAAAAATTGAAGAGTTGGAGATGAAAAATGAAAAGGACGTTAAATACCTTATTTTTGGACGGCATGTTTATTGAGAATCCCACCTCAAAGAACGAAAAAAAATTGAATTTTCCCAAAAAAAAAAAAAAAATGGACACTGTCCAGCTATATATAATCAAGGGAACGAATGATATTAAAATGCGACAGTGTTTTATCACTGATGGACGTGCCCACAGCTAATTCCCCACTACCTAACACAACTCATCTGACTTTAATTCTCTTCCCCTTCATATATATGAAGTGCCATCTTCCTTTTCATTTTCTCTTCAATTTTTTTTCCTCTCACTTGTGCTAATGTTGTGCCGCAAATAATAAACAAAGCAAATTGCGATAGATAAGGTACAAAGTTCTAGTTGTATTTTAACTTTGTATGAGTGTGCTATAAGGTATTATATGATATGATAGCAGAGAGAAAAAGGAGAATCGGTTGTATCCGTTTTATATTGCTGGGGCGCGCGCGAGAGAGCGATTGTTGTTTCTTTCATATAAAAAAGAAGAAAATAAATAAAAAAAATTGAGTATATGGATAGTTGACGTCTCTACTAATAATTGTGGATAACAATTGAGTTTAATCGTCGCATAAACTTCTCATCAAGTTGTTGTATAAAATAATGTATAGAAACGAAAAAAAGTTCATTTTTCAATTCTACACCCAGAGAAAATTGAATTCAAAATAATTGAATTTTTGTTAAATAAATTTATTAAGTTCTATATGACAAATATATTTTTATTTGACTCAAATAAATTTTAAAGATTTTTTTAAAATACCAAAATGTAAAGTTCGATTCTTTTAGTCAATTTTTTCAAACCTTTTTTAGCCACTAGCCGTAAATATTTAATTTGATGTTATTTAAGTGAATACTTTTCAGTAATTTGAAGGAATCGCGATAATTAAAGGGTCGTATATGTATAATTTGAATAATTTGCTTTGATATCAGTATTTCCAATTTTAAAGACGTTGAAAACTTGTCAACTTTTTCCTTCAAAGGCAAGTAATTTGAGAGAAACTATCTTCTTCAAAAAAATTAATTCCTCATTATTAAATTTTTCTTTTTAAACGTTTTGTTCTTGTTTTTTTGTTTTTTGAGCTCTATTTTGATATTTTCTTTCACGTGGGCGTTATAAATGATCTTTATAACTGCGGTAAAAGTTTCTTGCTAAACTCACATTGTATATAGGTAGTGAATTGTACGTTTTTTTAGTTTTTTTTTTAGCGCCAAAAATAATTTCGAACTCCCCTTACAGAATGAAACACGCAGACAGAATGCAACGACGATCAATACTTAAACTCTTTCACTATACTTCACATATATGAACAACATAATATATATAGATAGATCTGACATTACTCTCTCTCTCTCTCTCTCTCTCTCTCTCTCTCTCTCTCTCTCTCTCTCTCTCTCTCTCTCTCTTCTATTATTATCAAAGTATGTAACATATTATACTCAGAAAACGATAAAATTTCAATTAATTCTTAGAAAATACATAACATTGTGGTTGAGATGCAATATCTGTATTATATTTTGTGTATTCCAATATATAATTGAAAAAAGGAAATCGATATTTTTCTATAGTTATAAAGATGTAAAATTTTAGATTACAAAATGGAATTTGAATCTCACTAGATATATATATGTCAATAATACTATTTCTTTGATTTAATGAGAATTTTTCTTTGATATCGCGTGTGTGATAACAACTTTATTGTATTTTAAAGTATAATTAGAGAAAAATAAAATTTTACAACTTTCTTGAAAATATTTTATGGAATTATAGATTTAAATAAGTGATTATTATTATTTTTTTAACGCCGTTTTCTTTTGATGAAATAATTTAAATTAATTTTCATCGGAGTTTAAATGGAATTATCTTATCGGCTTTTCATCCTCTTTGACTAGATATGTAAATGCATTTAATCACCTCTCTCTAAAGTTGAATTCTCATATTCTTTATTCACAATTATATTAAAAATAATAAAATTATTAATATTATACGATTTTTCTGATTAATCTATACACCCAGAGAAAAAATATATATGTCTCAGCCAAATAAATTTTATTTGGTTTCAATAAAAATTTTATTTGCCCTAAATAAAATTTTATTTGTGCTGAATTAAATTTTTTATTTAAAACAAATAAAAAGTTATTAGACTCGGAGACAAATACATTTTTATTTGTCTCAAATAAAGGAAAATAAAAGATTTCTTTTGTGTATTTTCATTAATATCTATAGATGAAAAAAAGATTTTTGTTTGATATAAAATAGAATTAAATAAATTTTTTCTTCGAACTTGTTCGAAAAGTAAATTGAAAAAGGGAAAATCGATAATACAACTGTTGCATGACTACAGTAGATGTACTATTAACTACTACAGTTTACTGCAGTCATTAAATCATCAAAGTTTTGTAATCACAAAATTTAAGAAAAAGTAAATAGAATATTTTCACTTTTTTCAAACTGTTTTCTTTTTTTAACGCCAATTGCTTTATTTTCGTAAATTAAACAAAAAGAAAAAAAGTCAATTTCTTTGTCTCAAATTTTTTTATACTTTTCGCAATGTCATATTAATCTTAGCGAAATGCACAAAAGAAAAGGGGACAAAATTCTTATGGATAAACTTTTATATTTAGAATATATATGTATTATATATTTCGCTTCAAAAAAATTATATAAAACTTAGAATCATACCAAAAACATTTCTTTTTAATTTATTCTATCAATTTATAGAGAAGAGAATTTTTCAAAATGGCAGGACAAATTTTCATCAAGTAGAAAAATTTTAGAGATATTCGATTTTTTTTTAATTATAAGAATTTACGTAATATTCAGAGCAGTTAAATTAATTCAATTTTTAATTTAAAAGAAATATTTGAAAAAACAATTCTTCTTTGTTTCTTCTTTATTTAAACGACTAAAGTTTATTTTATATTTAGGTTTTTTTTCTGAGAATAATTCTTAAAACAAAAAAAAAAAAACAAAAAAAAAATGAATCTGAACTTACAACTTGATTCGAGGTAGTTCGTGGATTAATTTGTAGGCCATCATCTTCGCCAATTTCTCGACTACCGTTGGGGCCCATTTATGCACCTTAGGTTTCTCCAAAACTTTTTTTTTCTTTTCTTTTTTTTCAAAATTAAAATTTTCAAACTATTGTCACTTTATAATAAAATCGGAACGATTCACTTTTTATCCCGCGCTACCCATTTTTCTTTCTATGGGATTATTTTCCATCCTTCTTTGTTTTTTCTTTTTTATAAAAAAAATATTAATATTTCACTTTTATTCCTTTTTGTGAACAGTGGAAAATGTGAAATCTAAACTCTTTATGTGGTTAATTCCAAATAATTTTACTCGAGGACAGCGCACTTGGCGGTTCCTCCTCCTGGGCAAGGACGCCGACGCATCGGCGCCTCCGCGACCTTCTCGAAAACACAAATTTCTCGTAATTTTTCTTATTTTGAGAAACAAAAAAATTGCACAATTTGTTTTTTTTTTTGCAAATTTTCTTCAAATATATGATTTCTTTTTTTATTTTTAATTAAGAATAGAAGATATGGTAAAAAGTGGTGAATTTTCTTTTTTTTTTGAAGGCGAACCCTGGGGCCGCGGCGCCCCGGGATCAATATTGGCCGTCCTAGCCTTTTACTCTGGTTTTCTGGTTTGAAAACTATATACAATATGATATCGAGCACGCGCGTGCTCCTTTACCCCAACCTATGATCGATCTCGGACAGGTTCTTTACAAAAATAAATAAAAAGAAATTTAAAAAAATTATTATTACACCGGAAATCTGATTTTTAAAAATCGGCTAATATTTTCTATTGATTATTGTTTTTTTTACAATAATTTCTATATCTTACAATTTTTAACAATTTTACAGCATATAAAAATGGATCAAACTTTATTTATTTGCAATGGGATGAACCAAACGAGAAAATAATCTTCCTTCCTCTTTTTTTAAAATGAGAATAGAAAAAAAAATCAACATTTTCACAGATTTTCACCTATTCACCTATTTAAAATTGTGTTACCTTTTACACCTATTTTGACAATTTTTTCACCTTTTTGGAAAAAACTCTTTTTAAATATTTATATTATATAAATTAAATATATGAAATAATTTTTTTCAAAAATTGTTTAAATACACCATTTTTTTTAATTTTTTTTTTTAGATTTAATTAAATTAAGAAATATTATAATTATATAATAAATATATAAAGCAATATTATTTATAACCTCTCTTTATTTGTATGCAAAAGATTTTGAGCTATTTTTAAATTTCTCTTAATTTTCTTTATTATTGTAATTATTTGATAATCTTCAGTTAAAGCAATTTTTTCCATTTTTTCTAATGAAATTGATGCAAGTATTTCTTGCAGATGTTTTGGATCCTTTAAATCGGATGTTATTGAGTCTAAAATATACAGACAATGTAGATTTATGTCCTCGGGTGTAGTTTCTTTAAAACAATGACGTAAAACTTTATTTACTACTTGAAAATCACGCAATAATTGAACTCCAATTACATTAAGACTTATGTTATACAAAATACATAAGATTATTCTGCAAAAAAAGAAAAAAATATATATTTAGAGAAAAGATATATTTTTCTCAGAGCCAAACAAATATTTATTTATCTCAAATAAAAGATTTTTCTGAGTGTATATTAAAAGATTATTTAAAAAAAATATAAATTAAATTAAAAAATTAAAGCCATAGAAAATTATTTGAGTCGATTAAGGATTTTTTTAAAATTCTAAATAATGAATTTTGAAGAACGTTATACAATCGCTAAGATGAATGAATACCTGTTGAATGAATTATTATCGTATATATTGATGATTGAAAATTTATACACATTTAGAATTTATAATTTCTTATATAAGGAAATATTGCGGAAAAGATTTACTTTCCATAAACTGTTTTTGTCTTTGAAAATGATTATGTGAGAAAGGAAATTGTCTGTATAAATATAAGGTCAAAAAGGTAAAAATTCATATATAGTTGATGAAAATTCAAATTACACTATCTTTTTTTTGCAATACGTCAAATTTTTATTTTTTAATATTAAAAAAATTGTTATAATTTTTTTCTAATTAATATATTTATTAATTTAAAAAAAAAATTAATTCAATTGTATATCAATATTTTTATAGAGTAAAAAATTAATTTTGTATTAAAATTATTAATTTTTATAAGAATCATTCTTTTAAGAAGGATAAATTTGGTATGAAAATAATATATAAAAATTACTTTTTACATCTCCATAAAGCATGTCTTGGTGTTGCTAATTGTAAATATGAAAAGTAATCAATAAGATTTTTAATGAGTTCTTTGCCAGTTGTTCTTGTTAGAATAAATTCTTTTCCGCTTACACTAAGATTTGCCGTAATTCCCAAAAGACTCATTACAAATTGACATTCATCACTATTAATTGGAAGTTCAGTTTCTCCATAGGTTTTTATAAATGAGAAAAAAGTGCCATTTACAGCACCAAAAAATTCATCGAGTTTTATATAAGGCTGGAATTTAAGAACAATGATTTTTTAAATTCTTTTAATTTTTAAATTAAGATTCTTAATTAATTAATTATTCAAATACCTTTGAAATCCATATTTCAACTACATCCGGTATTTTTGAAGCATGCCATAAAAGGTTACCCAAAACTGCTCCTAAACTTATACTAAATGTACTATGATCTAGTAACTGTAAGAGAAAAATGTCACTAATATATAAATTTTCATCACCAAATTTAATTATTTTTTTAAAATAATTTACTTGTTCTTTTAAATGACACGTTTCTTCTTCGGCTTCGATTAATTTTTTCTTTTGAATTTCTAATTGTTTCTCAAGATCAAAAAGCTTCTCCTGATGTTCTCTTAATAATTCACTATTTTCTACTAAAAAACAAATTGAAATTACTAAAACTAAAAACTAAATTATTTTTTTTATTATCTTTAACTAAAAAAATGCACATTTTGTTAAGACAAAAAAATTTAGTTTTTAATTACATTTTGTAAACGTTTTCTCCTCCATTGAATTTATTTTTGTTATATCCCACTGACATTTATATAAGAATGATGTATTGAAAAGATTTTAACCAAAAGATTAATAAATAGTAATAATAATTAATAATGTTTTCTTTTAAATTTAAAGCATAGCTGTCAAAATTTAAATGGAAAAAACAAACCAAAACAAACATTCAACTAGCGCTACCAGCGGTGATGGTAGGAACTAATATAAATTATATTACAGTTTGTTACGTTAATTACGTAAGTTGCAACCGTTTACATAAGATTGGCGCTAACTTTTGAATTGATTTTCATTAATTTAAAGAGAAATGAGAAATAAATTTCAATTAAATAAATAAAAATGTTATTCTCACTTATCAATAAATAAAATTGTTTTCAATGACGTATTTATTGTCTGAATAACGTGTTTATTATTATTATATTTTGCATACAAATAAAAAAGGTTATAAATAATATTGCTTTATATATTTAAATCAATATTGTTCTGTCATCATTTTAAATTATTCATTAAAAAAATAATTGCATTCCCATGTTTTCACTATAAAGAATTTCGTAATAATAAACATTTAAAAATCGATAAAAAGCAATCTGAATAATTTAGTATAAAATATTATTAATTCTTAAATTAATCTATTTAAAGTTATTAAAATAATCATCGCATGAAAATGCAGTTAAGTGTAATTTTATATGATGCCTATTAGAGATAATTATTAACTGTGCTAGAGAATAAAAAAAATTGTAAATCTTCTCCACAGTATTATAATAAAAGACAATGCAATAAAAGGGAATATCTATTAGCATAATTATTTTCATATTATAGTGGAAAAATTTTCAAAAATGAAGAATTATTGGCAACCGAAAAATATTCGTGAATCAGTGTATCCACTTTTATTATTCAATTGGATAACAGGTTTAGGTTTATGTGATTATCCAGTGGGAAATAGAAAAAATAAATTATTTCTCATTCTTAATATTATAATTGCAATAATTTTTTGTCTGAATTCAATTTATTATGAAATTATGTCTTGTTATGATTCCAATAGAATAGCACTTCTGTTGCGTGCAATTATGTTTTTTTTTGAAACACTAGTTGCAATTTCAGCAATTTTTCATGGTTGGTACAATCGTATGGTAAGTGATAATTTGTTTCTGACAAAAAATTAATATTATATTTTATTTAATGATAAAAAATTGATTTAGAAAAATTATGAACTTTAAAAATTATTATTTTTTGTATAAAAGAAAATGTATCGCCTAACGGAAAATATGGAAGCATTGAATGACAAATTTCAAGAATTGGGATTAAAGAAAAATTATTATAATTGTTTTAAAAGAAATTTATACTGGATAATTGTGTATTTCATTCTAAATTGTATGATATATGTCATGAATGCATATCTAACAACTGAAACAATTCCGCCAGTGAAATATGTTTATTTATGTACTGTTATTCTTAATTGGCCATTTTATACAGCTAATTCGGTTGATTTAAGTTGGAATTGTACTCTTAAGTACGTATATTTAAAAAATTTTTCATTTTTCATTACAATTGTAAATTATTTCTATTTTATCTTCTGTTTTTCTCATATTTTACAAAATAGGTTCATTGAAAGGAAATTGGAATTTTTAAATATTCTTTTAATAAAGTACTATGGTAAAAATTTAGAAAGATCAATTTTTGACGACTATGTAAATAGTCGTTTATTTATTTCAAATTCATCTACTGATTTGATAATGCAAATGTCAATAGAGAGAAATAAAAAATATTTGGAAATGATTAAGTAAGAGGAGGAAAATTAACAGTTTTTCAATCTATTTGTATTGGAGTATAATTTTTAATTTATGATTTTTTAAGGCGCCTTCACTATATACTTTTTAATTTATCACAGGAGATAAATGAAATTTATAATATTTATTTACTTTTTCAAATGACGTTGAGTTTTTGTAATTTAACATTAATGACTTTTGGTATAATATTATATTATAGACGTGGAAGCAATTTAATAATTATTTATATTTTGTTAAAAATTTATTTAATACTTTTGAGATTCTTTCATGTTGTTACACCATGTTCTGCTATCGATGAAGAGGTAAAAAAAAATTTTTTCAATTAATTACAGATAAAATTTTAAAATTTATTAATTTTATTGCAGACTGAAAAAATGAAACTAATTCTGTCAGATATAAAAAATATGAGAAAAAATTTATTATTAAAAGAAGAGGTAATATTTATAATTAATATTTTTAATTTCCAAATCTGTATAAATTACTAATAATTATTTAATTTTATCAGATTGATAATTTCTATAATCAAATACTTCTACTGCCTTTAAAATTCACAACTTTAAGAATTAATACATTGGGAAAGAAATTTATACTCCAGGTAAAAAAAAATTAAACAAAATTTTTAATTTCATTAGAAAATTATTAAAAAATATTTTTGTTCAGTTTTTAGGGGGTGTTGTCACATACGTGGTTATATTGGAGCAATTTAATGTGGAGTAAAATTTCAATTAAAAAGAAATATTATTTCTCACCACGTTGATTCATCTGAAAATAATGATTAATTAACCAAAACATGCAAAAAAAAACACTTAAAAAACGTACACAAAACACTTATAAAACATATACAAAACATTAAAATATAAAAGACAACATAGTAACAAAAGAAATAAAGGATAGAAATAAATAAAATTTTCACTGGTACTCCAGTTACTTATTTTTTACTTACATTTTTTACCCGATTTCCCTACCTATTGCTATATTTAAAACGAACAAAAATGCCTATTTTTCCCGAATTTCCTACCTATATTTATATTCTAAACGAAACTAATACCGCCCAGGTGCAAATTACCTACACTAGGGTTAACGTCCCGGGACGCAACCGTCACCTGAGCGATCTTTTCTGAAAAGAAAACATTTAATTCGTTAATCATTAAAAAAATTATCAAATCTTTCAATTTCCAATTCCACATGCATTAACTTTTAACTGTTGAGAATTAAGTATAAAATTTACTAACAAAATTAATTAATTAAATTATTTGAAGTTAATAAAATTTTACTCTAGTTTGAATTACTTTTTTTTAATAGAAAAGAAAATTACTTTAATTAATTTAACATACAATAAATAAATAACATACATATATAAACATTGAAAAAAACATTGACAATAATATTAATTTAAGTAGTATTAAAGTAGTAATCTACAAAACATGTAATACTTTAGGATGTGGGGAGTGTTACAAATCTTAAGGGGCTAAATTTCCGAAAATATCACAAGTTTTTTTTTAGATTACTCCTAAAAAATACTAGAAAATAATAAATTATGTCAATGGTGTCACTATGTTGCCAGATTTCCTTCCCTGTTTTTTTTTTTAACTTTTAATATTTTATTTGGATCAACATGAAGTATATCTACTTTTTTCAAACGTTTTTAAATAGATTAAATTTTTTAAAAAGTCAAGGAAATTTCAAGATTAAGAATATATGAAAAATTAATTATCAAATTACAAATTTATTTTTATTGAATTTATAAAAAATAGCTATTTTAAACAGGGAAGGGGTTAAATATAAAACGACTCACCGATCGGCGAATCCCACGTGGAAGCAATAACGTCATTGCCACTTCTCGAGCGCTTCTGGGCCAGCTTCCGAAGATCCCTCTTTCTTGCTCGCACTTCTGCGTGAGGCCGGGAGCTCAAAAAAAATATTATAAAAAAAATAAGAAAAAATGAAAAAAAATTGTATAAAAAAAAGATATATGCTGGGGCCACTTTTCTTCTTCCACATCCTTCCTAGTCTCTTCAGATATTTGGAAAATTGGAATGGACCTGAAAAAAATATTATTAAAAATTAAATTATACACTTCTTTTCTCAAAACACTATTAAATACTAAGTTATTATTTTTTAATTAATTGAAAAATTATTAAACTTAGTTAAAAATTTTTAAGTAAATTATAATTTTTAAATCTGTATATATAAAATTAACTATATTGAAAAACACTCACCTATATGAGGGGATTTCTGCGTTGTTTAAAAGATACGATGACAGCATAACTTCTCTTAAAACGCTCAAATGTTCCTTCTACTGGACCAACTGCCTGAAAAAAATTTATTATGTTATATGTGTAAAATAAAATATTTGAAATCGTAAATATGGAAAAATTAAAGGAAAAAATTTATGATCAACTTACATTAAACTGCGACTCAGCAATGCAAGATCTCCTCCAGGAGCAGCTCCGCAACAAACACCCATCTTTCACGATTTGAACACCTGTAAATTGAGAAAAAAAATTGTTTTCCATAAAAACTTAAATAAGTCAACTTTGTAAATGATTAATAATTAATAAGTAAAATAATAATTATCATTATCAAAAGCAGAAAAAACTAATAAAATTACTATTAAAATGCAAAATAGAATTTTTAGAAAAAAATGTTTATTATTTAAAAATAATATAAATCTTAGTTTTTATAAACAAATATTCACCTAAGTTGAGAAGAATTGGTGCCCAAAGGATTAACATTGTTTAAGTATTTAATTGAAGTCCTTTTTTTCCTGAGATGTCTTTATTCCATCTTTTAGCTCTGTAAATAAATAAATAAAAGTTAAATAAACATATAATATGAATTTCAATAATAATTAAATTTTGCTTTTAAATTTTATCTCTAAAATACGGCCGGACAAATATTCGAACAGATGTAGGAGAGAAATATGAAATTGGTTGTGTAGTAATTTTTAGGTTAAATTCCAAAGCGTCATTAAATTTCACAAAATATTAAAAATTCTTATATTTACCAATAAAAATTAGTTGTAATCTGGAAAATTTACATCACACTGAACATAATTATTGAAATATATTTTTAATTTGTATTTAGATTTAAAGATGTTTTCTGTTATTCAAGAAATTTTTCTGTCACTTTCAGCCGCTCTTTCTACAATGTCTACTATAGTGAACAATGATACCAACATGAAAAAAAATTACTAACCAATTATACACTTCTACCAACATAATTAGAAATTTTTTAAACTATTTTTTTAAATGTAGTAACCTTCTTTTTTTTATTATTTTCAAATTTATTAATAAATTTATTTCTAATTATTATTATTTTTTCTTTTTTTTCATCTATTTAAAAAAAAATGTAGGTTACATTTATCATACAAATTTTACCTAAATTTATTATTTTTCTTCACAACTGCCACAAAACTTTTATGTATTTCTGATTATTCATATAAAAGAGTACTTAATTATCAAAAATATCTATAATAATCGTTTTGATTAAAAAAAATACTACAAAATGCGTCTTTAGACTCACCCAACCCTGAGAAAAAACTTCTCTACCGACAGAACTAAACTACAATTACACAGTTTTTCCGAAAGATGGCGATCTTAAATAACTCACTGCGCATGTGTAACGTAACACATTTCAGGAAACTACATGTCCGTTTATTTAGAAATCAAAAATGTTTGATTACTTTTTGCAATTGTGCAATTAAACTCGACTGTGTCTACTGTCACTAAACTTGCCATTGGGAATTTATACTCTCCATCTATTGTTATTATATCAGTGACTAAATTTCAAGAGACAAATTCAAATAAAAAACATTCTACGTGACTTGATTAATAAAAAAACATTCTGATCGCCATAATCGTTGTTGACTTAAAAAAAACAACAAATTCTTCGGTCGAAAAACGCGTAGGCGTAAATATAAAAATCTACAACCAAAAAGATTACAAAATAAACAATGGCTACGTGAAATGTATGTGTATGTGTGGAACATTGACAACCATTTGGACTAAATACCTTTCTCTTCTTTTAAAATAGAAAAAAATGTCATGTCAAAAAATTGTGAATAATGATAATAATTGAAAAACAAGTGTTAAAACATTTGTGGTAAAAAAAGTGTCAACGAATTCAATGATTAAAATTCTCATCGAATGTTAAGGCCTTGAATTTGAGGCGTCTCCTCTGCACAGAGTGCATCTCTCTTGTATATTGGAAAAGGAGTAAAACGTCGACACGCCATTTTGGGTTTTGGAGCGGAACTCCTTGGTGCTGTCGGTGTGTCGCTGATTTAACACACGTGTGCATGTATATGTTCTATTTCTATATGCATGTGTGAAAGTGTGTGCACGCGTGTCGCTTGTGCACTTGTGTATTTTTTTCCTTTGAGATCTCGGTGACGACGGCCTCGACCAGGGTGTTTGGTTAATGGTGTGATATCGGTTTTAAGAACAACAAGGAGAGTGCGCCTTTTGATTAAAGCGATCTGACTTTTTTGGTGGTGGTGGTGGTAGTAGTGATTGTTGTCTGTACATCTAATAAAATGAGAGTGTATTTGTTTTATTCTATGTCGTGTTTGTGTCTTTAAGATATTTTTTTGTCGTGTCTGCATCCCGAGCGCGCGCATCTACGGAATTCACAATCAGTGACGAAGAGACTATTCAGCAAATGTTTAAATGGACGCATCGTCCATTATCACCCAAGTGTCACGAGATGACGAGCTAGGGCAGTTTAATAACGAGAAAGGTAAGTGTGTTCTCTGGCAAAGGCACTCTTCCAGATGCTGTGGACCGATTTTGCAATAATGTCTCCACACCTGTTACGGGACTGCATAAACTAGTTAACCCAGCCTTCCTCTTTCTCTTTAAAAAAAAATCTCTTCTCTTATGTGCATGTTTGATGAGCGAACAATTTATCAGTTTGAGATCATTTCTCCTTTTACTTTTTTTACATTCTGATATAACTGCACCTTTCAGCTAATTCTAACATCTCTCACATTCACTATCTCTGACAATCTCATGAGTAGTTTTTTTTCTTTCGTTACGAATTTGTTTTTTCCCCCTAACCTTATATTTTCCTAACAAATTTAGGAGTATTTTGGAGTTTTTAGAATTTTTTTTTTTCTATATTTAATCTAAGTAAATATCTATATTTAAACTGTTTTACTGTCCCTTAGGTACTTGAGTCAGTGTTTTTCTTTTTATGAACTTCTGTTTCTTTCTGTTTTTTTGGGGGGGTTTTTATTCACCACGACCTGGCTGATCTGCTATATAGAATAGTTTCTGAAATACTACTTGGACGTGTCGAACATGATTCAACTTATTCGTGGCACTGCCGTGTCACTTTGCTCCGATTTTTACTCACTTTCTATTTGTTATTTTGTTCGAAATTTCTACTACCGCGATGTTCGATCAACGAATTTTTCCCGGATGAAATTGCTGACAAATCATGTAAAACCATTCTCAATTTCCACTGGGTTTAACAAGGAATTTGACGATAAATGTTAGTATGAAGATTTGTTTTCAAAACTTTTATTCATTTTCTGTTCTTGATAACAATTCACATTTCATTTTCTAATAAAAATTATCAAATTCGTATTTGCATTCTAATTTTATCGAATTTCAAATTCATTTCTAATTATAATTTCAGTTTCATTCTAATTAATTATTATTATTAGTATTAGTTTTTTGTTCCAAAAAATATTGTGAAATTAAAAATTTAATTAGTTTTAATAACATTTTTTGAATATACATTATCTACTTCTTTCAAATGTTTACGCAAGTAATTAAATTGGATCTATTGTTTAAAAACGATTGTTTCCTTAAGTGTGAATAAACTATTTTTTTCATTCTAAAAAAAGTTAATAACTCTCTAAATTACTCTATGACCTATTTTTCATCTTTTATAATTACTGCGATCGTAGGCGACCTTGTCAACTAGTTGAAAAAAATCAAATCTTTAATTGAATCAAGTGAGGTAATAAACCAGTAAAATTCCTTTCTTTTATTAATTCACAACAATTCTATTTCTTATGAAAAATTTTCATTACATTAATATTAATTAATGTGAAATTGATATTAATATAATTATTAATTTAATAAGAGTCTAAAATAGAATTTTGAAAAAATTTCAAATTAGAAGAAAAATAATAAATGAGAGAAATATCCAAAATTTGGACGCTGTGACGAACATAAAAAAAATGCCAAATTAGAGTTTATTAACTTTTTACTATACTAATTATAAATTGCCCCTTTAACTTTTTAGATTTTACATGCTTTAATGACAATTATCGATTGTAATATCTATTCATAGTGTCGTGGCATTGGCTTTGTGATGCAGTCCCGTTCCGCACCCAAACCTTGTGAACATAATTTGTAATTTATTTTCAGTCGTTAATTTATAATATAATAATTTTCTAATTTCCACTAAAGGTGAAAATATAATTTTCTTAACGTTGTGGCAAAAATAAATTTTAATTTTTCGATTAAAAATTAAAAAATAAATTTCAATATTAAACATTAATTAATTTGAAATAACGATTTTGTTTTGATTAAAAATGAGAATTAAATTTTCACCTCAGTTGCAAAAAAAAAAAATAATTTAAAAACCACATACATTTTACTGTATATGAGTAATGAGAATATTGTAATTCAGGATCTTATTACGTAAACAGTAACGTAACAACAATTATAGATTATTTAATGAAATGTGGTATGTGTTTGTGTGTTATTATGTAATTTGTCAAGAGATGGAATTGAAAAATGATATTTTTAATTCTACAGCACAAATACCAAGGGAAAATGAAACAGGTACCACGAATGGTTCAGCGACTGGGAGTAAAAAGCCACGAGGACGGGGCTTTTTGCGATCTTTGCTCTGTTGCCTTGGACGTGGACGTGGTGGAAGTTCCAAAAGTTCAAAAGCAAGCTCATTACAAACAGATGGACGTGGTTCACCACCGCCAGGCGTTGGTTCACCGAGATTTTTATTGCCGCCAGTACGTCATCAGGATATGCACAAAAAATGCATGGTGATTGATTTGGATGAGACTTTAGTGCATAGTTCATTTAAGCCAATCAACAATGCGGATTTTGTTGTACCGGTTGAAATCGATGGTACTGTACATCAAGTGTACGTTTTAAAGAGGCCTTATGTCGATGAATTTTTACAGAGAATGGGCGAATTGTACGAATGTGTTTTATTTACCGCAAGTTTAGCAAAGGTAAATATAAAAAAAATATATATATTTTTTTTTAAATAGGATTATTGAAATTGATACGAAAATGATTTTTTGATGAAAATATACAAACAAAGAGAGTAAAAGAGTAATTTACGAAAGAAAATAAATAATAATATTTCCGCTTTTCAGCTAAATAAATAAATAAATGACATAAAAATGTTTCATAAATAACGTAATTTGCAAGAAAAAATAGAGCAAACAAAATATTACGTAAATATTTAGAGAATAGATAAAAAAAAATAATTCAAATGAAAAATACGAAATAATTTCATTTCGTAGTTAATAATTTTTTTTAAGTAAACATTTATTTGCTAATTGTCAATCGTTTATTTGAATTAAGTAATCTCTTTTCTATTTCTTCTCATTTGTTTTTTGTAGAAAAATCTATTTCTATTTATTCGTTTATTTATTTATTTAATTTTAATTTATTTTTATTATAAAAAATGATATTATTCTAATTTTATTAAAATGATTTATATTATTTTGTTTTTAAATTTCAGTATGCCGATCCGGTGGCAGATTTACTCGATAGATGGGGAGTGTTTAGAGCAAGATTATTTAGAGAATCGTGTGTTTTTCACAGAGGAAATTACGTCAAAGACTTAAATAAATTAGGCCGGGATTTACAGCAAATCATTATCGTCGATAACAGTCCTGCCAGTTACATTTTTCATCCTGATAATGCTGTAAGTTTGTCACGTACTATATATTATTCTACTTTTTATCTATTTTTAATTATCAGAGCGTTTTTTTTTATTTTATATTTTTAAATGAACAGAATAATTATATTTTTTCATTTATAAAGCTGAAAGCTAATTGTAAAAATCAATTTTTTAAATTTGATATAATTTTCTTTTGATTAATTATTTAATAATTATAATTATTATTAATTATATAATTATAATTAATAATCAAATTATAATAAGATAATTAATTATTTATTGTATATTATTATTTTTGTTTATTGCCAACGTAAATTTTGTTTGTTTAAAGTTTCATTCTCTCGAATTGATTAAATTATAATTTAAAAAACAGATGAGATTTTGGCTAAAAACGAAATTTTGAAAATAAATATCATTTAACAGGTGCCAGTGGCTTCGTGGTTCGACGACATGACGGATTCGGAATTATTGGACTTAATTCCATTTTTCGAGAAGCTTAGTAATGTGGAGAACATTTATACAGTTATGTGCAACAGTAATCATCCCTACAATCAAATGCTATCATCGGTACCGAATAACCCCAGCCCTGGTTCGGGTTCAATGGGCGCCTCCTAGCCCCAGCGAAATTCTGGTCGTACGACCAGCCTTGTCATCATCCCACGATGTATCTTAGGAAGAGCTCTCAATGGGCTTTTCGAGATCGCTCACCTTTCTTGCTGTTCTGAACGTTCGAGTGCGTCGTCTAAATGAAAAAAAAATTCACAAAAACCTCTTTTATCACCGAGGATACGAGTAGGAGAAGAAAAAGAAGAAGATGCAACAGCAAGACACGAATATCTTCCCACGAGAGGTCAAGTAGAAAATATAGTATAATCGAAATTGCGCGAAAATTTAATAGTCTAACTCTGATTTGATCAAAAAGAATCTCCAATCGATGAAATCGAATGACGAAATTTCGATTTCTTTTACATTTCGAAAGGAAATCAATTGATCAATAAATTCATCCTTGAGGCACTGATTTTAGTTATATACTAGAAAAAAAAGAAATCAGAACGCAAAAAAAGCTTCCACTTTGCTTAGTGTGAATGAGAATCGGGAATAAATGGAATATACACGAAATAGTTTTATGGTGAAATGCCGAGAACCTGGAGAGATTCATAGAAATTACAAAACAAAAAAGAGAATTTTTTCTGTTTAACAGATTTTCCAAAAATAGACAAAAAAAATGGTTGGAAACCATAAAATTCCTTCGGATATTAAAAAAAAAATTTCGACCTTTTTTTCAAGATCAATTTTTGGTCGCGACTATCTTTGTCCAAGTCCAATGCATATCAATTCTCTCCCTCCAGGAAAGTCGTACGGAATCTTGAGATCCTAGAATTTTTTTTTTTGAATCATTAATAAATAACAACTAACGATTTAAGATTATTTACGAGAATAGCCTTTTTAAACGATAGGTTCGACCTACGCTTTTTTTACACCTACTAACGAATAATTATCGGTATTAGCAGCTTTTTCAGTGATGAATTTTTAACGCCAGAGTACATGACAATATTTAGGTACTCTCGACACTTAATTTTCTCTCTAACTCCCAGTTTTAAATACACCTATATACATGTATATATACATACACACATGTATGTATATGTGTGACGAAATCAAATATGGAATTTGAGGTCAAGAGAAATTTTCACCTTCAACCTTTTCTTGCCTTTTATCGAGTGCTTCGAATCAGGGACGCACAATTTCTCATCGTCGTCAAATAAATTTGTTAAATTACAAAAATAAATCCCATAACTTTTTTATCTAAAAAAAAACTATTTCATGACTCAATAAAAGTCGAGAAAAAAGAAAAAAATACAGAATTTTTTTCTATAGAAGAATTTTCAAAAAAAAAAAAAGAAAATCTCGAGACTAAAAAAAATGTCATTTTTATTAAGAATCCAAGTGTCAAAGGACAAAATTTTTTTAACGCTCACACACACACATACGCTTTGTACTTAGAGTCGATCTTTTTAACCGAATATATTTTTTTCTTTTGACGAGTTTTTCAAAGACTCTTGATGTTAACGTTAATTTACTTTCCTTGTGTTCTTATATATCTAGATAAGATCAATTTCACTTTGTGAATCTTTGATGAGAATTTTTTACCTGACGCTTGCGTCATTGTTGACACTTGTTTGCCAATCAGTTTAAAAAGCCCAGCAATTTTCCTTTGTGTTATTATGAGGGTAATAATAATAATAAAAAAAAGAAAAAAAAATTATATCTCTTCTACTCGCACACATTATTAACATTTCCAGTTTATTCGACCTTGAAATGAAAATAACTCAACATTATATATATGACCGTGAATATGTAAAACTCCGTGTCGATAAAACGCGTTTTTGTCGATTGTTCTTTAATAATGTGTGATGGAAACCATAATTATCAGAACGTGTGATTCTTTATGAAAAGGAAAAAAAATACTGTGTCAAAAGCAAAGGAAAGTAGCTGTCGCGTGTTTAAAACAAAGTTCCATAATGGACGAGTACCTATAATACATAATATATATGTACGAGAGCAGAAAAAAATGTACTTTTACAATCGCAATTCACGTGCCTGTGACATAAGCGTAAGGTGCAAGCACACACACATTGCTTTCGATACTTTTTCACTTGGAAAAAAAAGAAAAAACTAATAAATAAAACCAGAATACAAAAGGAAAATTAGAAAAAAAACGCCGCTAACTACATTCTTTTAAACTTTTCATCTCAGATGAATGAAGAAAAGAGACTTGAAACCATGACTCAAAAATTTGTCTTTAAAAATGTCAAGTTTCTTTGATTTTTAGAATTTTTTTATCGATTTAAATACGTTTTTTAAAAGTTGATTACTTTTCTATAAAACAATAGTAATAATTTTATTAATAATATTTTCAATAACAATTTTAATAATAATTTTAGTATCAATTTTAATAAAAATAAAAATCATAATAGTAAGAAAAAATTTAATAAAATAAATCCATTCCAAAAATACAAAGGATTCCGAAAAAAATAATAAAATGTTTCGTAAACGTTAAAAAAAAATTTTTACATCTAATTTTAAGAAAAAGTTTGAAACTTTTTTTATTCAACTGCGTTTTTTATAAAAACGAAAGAATAATAATTGTGAAAAATTGTTTATAAAAATATTTTTAAAACCAATTCTGATACTTTCTTTCTCGTTTTTTCCATTTTTGTAAAAAATAATTTTAACTTTTTATACACTATATATATATATATATATATATTAGAACAACTATTCGTTCTGAACAAATAAAAAAAAGAAATCAAAATATTGTCTACAATAATCAAATTCATATTTAGATGAGATTTTAGAAGTTCTTTTAAAGAAAATATTTTTTTTTTGTAAATTTAGAACCAAGAAACCAAACTCTTCTCTGTGAAAAGAGTTTAAAAGAAAGTAGTCTATGGATTATTCGTGCCAGCATTATTTTTTTTCTTTTTAAATGGTAAATATTTCCGAAATAATTACAAATATTTTATTAAAATAAGTAATAATAAATAAGCATTTTAATGCACAGGTTGGTGCTTCCCTATATAATTAAATAAAGAAAAAAATAATAGAAATATGGAGTTTCGGCTCTTATTGATTTTTTTACTAAAAAAAAAAATATTTAAAAAAAATAACTGTGAGATAAAAATAAAATCGAATTTTTATCTTTAGCGATGAGAGAGAAAGATAATGAATAAAATTTTTTAAAATGAATTTTGATTCAATCGCTCAGTGAAACATCGTTTGCTCATCTGAAAGCGAGGATAATATTGAAAAAATGTAAATTTTTTAAATCAATTTTCTAGATTTATTTTTTTCGTCTGTTATATAAATATATATATTTGAATTGAAATCGCCAATTATAAGAATTGTATACTAAACGCGATATATTTTATTCTTGTTGAAAAATGAAGTGACTTTCTTTTTGTCTTTCTCACAGAGAAAGTGCAATTTTTTTTTCATTTTTTTTAATCAATAGATAAGAAAGATTTTTGAAAAAAATACTGTATAGAAAAAAGAAAAGTTCGCAAAAACTTTTTTATATATATGCAAGCGATTTCGTAAATAATTATATTATATTAACAACGGGATTGGCTTACGAGAGACGAAAGCAAAAAAAAAAAAAAAAGATCGATTTAATGCAGCGAGAATAACTCGAGAGAATATTAATTATTAAATATTGTACAAAATTTGTCACAAATGGTTAAAAAAAAAAGAAAAAAAGAACGGAGTTCAGAGTGTTGGACACGCGAGTTACGCATATTGTAGAAATAATTAATAACGATAATGCCTTGATTTGTAAATAAACTTGAAACTTCCACTAATAATCCTTTTTCTGCGGACAAAAAAAAAGTGAGCAGTGCATCGATTTACGAAGTAGCGACATTTTCGTACGGTTTTTATAACTCGATGATTTTTTTTTATCTTAGAGTGATTTTGTACAATAAAACAGAGCGCGATATCGTGAATCGAAAACGGTCACTGGAATATGTAACATCCCTTTCCCCTGCCCCCCTCTACCCAAAAAAACCCCGAATGTCCAGTTTGCTCTGTGATTCTGTGTTTAATAAAAAAAAGTATATATATATAAATATATATATGTTTGATAATCTGCAAGGTTTAAGACATTTTTTTTCAAAAATACCCTAATCTTTAGATTTTAAGTATTTATTAAAATACTAAATATAAATTACCTTATCTATTTATATTTTATAATAATTACATAATTATTCAAATTTTACAAAAAAATTTTAATCTTTTGCGGTTTTTAGTAAAAAAAATAATGCGGAAGTTGAAAAGATTTTTATAACCTCAAAAAGTATGAAGTACGCGAAAATTTGACAATAAATTTATAAATATTTTTTAAAGGATTTTCATAAACTAAAAACAGATTTTAAATATGTTTTCTTTTATAAAACAAGTACTATAGTTAACGAAAATAAGCTAACCTTATAAAAATTGCCATAAGATATATACATTTGTGTTAAGAACTCATTGCACGACATCCATTGAAATTTCTTGAATTTTTTTTACAATCATACTATTTAAATACACATATAATCACTGAGGATTTAACTATTTAAACAAATATTTACGAAGAAAATAGAAATATATTTGAATTTTTGTAAAACAAACAAAAACACTCTGCGCAGTAAGCAATCGAGCAACTAAGTCCGCCATATTGGCGCATGCGCATTTCTCAAACATGTAAACGCCTTAAGGCGCATTTCCAAATTAACCTTCTCTTATTGGTTGCATATTTCCGCGTAAATTTGAAAATAACCAATGAGTGCAATAATGATGACTTATATGTCCAATCAAAATAGGCTATATTTTTGTAACGCCATCTGTATAAAATAGCGGATAAACCGTGAAATTACGCTTAAAACAAAAGTTTTATGAAATATTTTAAAAATATTTTTTAATTGATTATTATTACTTTAATAAAGTTTTAAACTATTTAAATGGTCAAAGTATAAAATATGTGTCAGTGAAATGTATTAATATATACATTATATATATAATTATATAAATTAACGTGGAGAAATTTGTCAATGTATAAATGTAAACAAATGTCAGTGTTATTTTCGTATCATACATGAAAAAGGAACAAATTTGGAAGATTTTCAGTATTTTAAAAAGTATTTGAAGACTTTTTTGAGATTTATGTGACGGATTTTTTCAAAGGACTACCAGAAATACAGGTGATTAATTAATTTGACTTGCCTAATCTTTTTATATCAAAAAAATAATTAAAATAATTGCATGTAAAAAAGCGGATGAAGCGGATTAAATTTTAAGGTTATGTTTACTTTTATTTCTTATTCATTACTTGTCAAAAAATTTTAAAATGGAATTTTCAATTTTTACTGACCAAATCTTTAATAAATTATAATAGAAGAATGAATTTCCAACAATAAATATAAAACTAAATATATAAGATTTATAATGATTGTATAATTAGAAATTCATAATGAAAAAAAAGTTACATTAATTTTATCATGATAAGATTTGAAGTACCTTTAGTTTTGTGAATGTTTCAAATTTTTGGTGAAATGTTAGAAATTATTGCATAAATTTCTTCTGGTAATGAATTTCGATTTTCACGATTAACATCAATAATTTTACAAAAATTATCTTTATAAAATTGTTGAAAAAAAGAAACATGTCGCGGTGGAACTTTATGCATTTGAGGAATTGTAGCAATAATAATATTTTTCCTACTATTGTCTCCTTTAAAAAATAAATTATTCACTGTGGTAAAAAATTTATCGCTGAATAATTCCATCTTTCCGATTTCATCGATAAATAATAAATCCTGTAATGAAAAAAATAGATTTTTTTTTCTTAAACTACTTCAAGATCATACAATCGTTATTAATGATTTTTCTTATTACCATTTTTGAATCCAAAGTTGGTAATGCAATGCTTTCGAAATTTTCTATAAAAACGTGATAATTTCCAACGCGATGCTTTTGAAATTGCTGCTTATTCAATGTGTTCCTTTAATTAAAAAAAACGTAAAGATAATATTAATTAATTATAATATTGTTTTAATTTATTTGATTATACTTTTTACAATATAAATTAATTAATTAATTAATCAAAGAAAAAAATAAATTTTATATATAAGAAATTAAATAATTTATTATAAAAACCTAACTATAATATTTTTTAAACAATCATATTTAATTTTCAAAAAAAACTTACGCAATACGAGCAAGGGGAGTTCTAATTTCAGAATTCTTAATGGAAATTATATCGAAACCAATTCTCATTTTATTGGAATCACGTAATTCTTCTGTATAAAATCCATCAATTGTATATTTTTTTTCCAATAATGGAACGAGATTTTTACATATTGTTGTTTTTCCAATTCCTAATAAATATATAAATTTATTCATTCAATTAATAAATAAAAAGTAGAGATTTTGGTTTTAATAATTCTTATTTTTCTCTATAGATTTTTCTATGATATAAAACAATATTTTTTATTATAATATAATATTTATATATTAATATATATTAATATAATTATGAATTATGTATTATAATGCAATGTATTTATATTATAAAAAACGAGTGCTTTCATTGGCTACTTTCAAATTTGCCCCGAATGTATAAGTAAGGCGCATTTTCAAATAATTATGCGGTTGGTTACTTATTCCCGGGCAAATTTGAATGTAACCAATAAAAGCGATCATTGTGACTTATGTGTCCAATCAAAAATTACCAATTTTTATAGTGCCATCTACTTGTGAAGGCGGACAAACAGTGTAATTAACGCTTTAAATCGAAAGATTGTTTATATTGTATTAAAATATTTATTTATTGATTTAATTATTATAATATAAATTTAAACTATTCAAAAGGACAAACTTAATGTATGTATTAATAAAATATATTCTAGTATATACATATTACTATATTTATATATTATATAATTATGTAAACAAATATATCGTTATTTTTTTCATACACGAAAAAGTCATACATTTTGTAGATTTTTAGTAGACTGAATAGTATTTAAAGAAGTTTTTTTAACATTTAACAATAAATGAAAGATTTTTGAACTAGGCAAACAAAAATTTATAGAAATTACAGATAATAACATAAAATTAAAATTAAATAAAACAAATGGAATTTAAGGTTATGTTTCTATATTTTCTATTGTATTGTTAAATTTAAACATTTAATTTCCAATTTGTTAAACACTAAAAAAATTTAATAAATTATAAAAGAAGAATAAATTTTCATCAATACATATAAAACAGAATGTTTATTTTAATTGTGTAATTTTTATATTAGTATCAGAAATAAGAAAAATAAATGTGAATTTCAAAAACGACTGATTAATAATAAAAATTTTGGTTTTTTCAGTTGACTAGCAAAATGAATAAAATCCAATTACTACTGAGAATCGATCATACTGAAAAATCCACATTACAAGTGAGTAAAATCAATTAAATTATTAATAATAATAATTATTATTATTATTAATATTATTAATTAAATAATTAAATAATTAATTAATTATTGCAATATTGAAACTTTGAAAATGAGTTTCTATACAATAATTACGTATACAAGTGTAAAATACGTGTAGAAAATATAGTAATGAATAATTATTTACATTTATTATTTTTGTTTTTATTATAATTAAATATAATTCAAAAATTAATAAATATACCCGGTGGTCCAGTGAGAAGTATTCTTGTAAACCGTGTCGCGTCGCCAGTTGTCATATTCAGTTTCAGAAAATAGTTGTAGCACCGGTTGTCACTTCTTATAAATTCTAATTTTTTTTCCCCCCGAATAAAATTATTCTATATATCTAATGCGGAATTAATTTTTATATATTCCACAAATTTAAAAATAATGGCACAACAAAATGGCAAAGAATCGTCAAAGATAAATTCTCGGAAAACACAAAATTATTCACAAACTTGAAGTGTGTAAAGTGAAGTGTTACTGAAAACAAATCCAGATCAGCTGATTTCGAAGAAAGGATATTCCTGTGTGTGGATACCTTTTTTTTCTTTCTTTTTATTGTGTATGTGTGTATATATGTGTATTCCGTCATTTTGTTTGAATTGCACAATTATTTGCAAATTATTGAAAATTAAATATTGTTTGGTTACTGGAATATAATTTAAATGATATAGTGCGATGAAATTTTGTTGAAGTGTATAAACAATATAATAATGCTACATTAATATATATGTATATTATAAGAAGAAAGGCAGAATGGTGAGGATCTAAAGGAAGATTATACTAGTAAGGAGAGTAAATTTTTTTGTGGGAGAAAAAATGGCTTATCCGACACTTTACAATCCATTGTCGTTTATTATTAATCGACAAATTAATGACAAGATTAATCATCGGCAAAGATTGGTGAAGGCCAGATTTGAACATTCGGAGAATCTCTTTAGAAAAAATCTTTTGTCACATTATGGATGCGTGAATGCAATCGAATTTTCAAAGCACGGCGATCTTCTTGTGTCAGGTAAGTTTTTTGATGTTAAAAATTCTTACGTCTTTTACTGCAAAAAAAAAACATATATGGTTCGATCTTTTATTTAAAAAAGTGTATCTGGGTCCGAACCACAATACTCTGTGTTTTTCTTTAATTTTCGTTTTTTAATTTAAAAAGAAAACAGTTTCTATACGAGAAATTAATATTTATAATACGATTAATATCCATTAAATATTTCCATGGTACAAGCGATAACAAAATTGATTAACCTATAGATAATGTATGTTTTTACGTTCAATTTTTTTAGGAATAAATTAAGTATATATATAGATATATACATGTATAATGTGTTTAATATTTCATGTCATATTTAAAAATTATTATTTTTTTGTCTCTAATGACAAGAAAGATAAGCAAAATAATAATTTCTGTTTGGTAATATTTCCTCAAATTTTTTTTTTATTGAAATTTTATTCATGGAAATTTAACAAAAGACGTATTGATCTTGGTATAAATTTAATTACATTTCATTTGAATTAATTCCAAAATAATTTTTATAGTTTCAAGAAATTTATTCAAAAAAATTAATCGAGTAAAAGTTATAAATAATATTAAACGAAAAATATGATTTTGGAAAACAAATTTTCAGGAGGTGATGATAGAAGAGTTCTATTATGGAAAGTAGAACAAGCAATTCAAGGAACCGAGAAACCAGCAGTTATGAGAGCTGAACATTCGAGTAATATATTTTGTTTAGGTTTCGATAATAGTACATCAAAAATATTTTCAGCCGGAAATGATGATCAAGTTATTGTTCACAATCTTCAAACGTAAGATTATTATTATTATTATTACTTGTATAATGATTTACATTTAATTACTAATAATAATCTTGGAATTAATAATAAAAATTTATTTATTTTAATTATCATTAACATAGTTAAAATTTTGTTTTTGTCTTTTTTCAGGGGAGATCCTTTAAATTATTTTCTACACGAGAAGGCAGTTTTCGGTTTGTCAATTCATCCGCAAAATGATTTTGTTTTTGGAAGTGCTTGCGATGATGGAAGAATTCTCATTTACGATATCAGAGGTTCCAAGGAGTCATTGTGTTTGGCACAATACAAAAGTGCTTTTCATTCTGTTATGTTTAATCCAATTGATTCGAAAATGTTGGCAACTGCAAATGCAAAAGAAGGTGCAAGCATATGGGATATTCGAAAACCGTTGAAGTAATTAATTTCTCTAATTCTTTAATTCTTTTTTTTTTAAGTATTTGAAATAAATTGAATAAATATTTCTTTAAATTTTTTCAGACCAGTTTTGCAATATGGAACGGAAGGACCATCGCAAAGTTGTATGTATGTAAGATTTAATTCAGCGGGAAATAAATTATTGGCACTTCGAAGAAGATTACCACCGATTTTGTATTCTATTGATTCGCCAAAACATCTTTGTCAATTTGATCACTACGAATATTACAATAGTTGTACCATGAAATCTTGTTGCTTTGCAGGAGATAACGATGAATATGTTTTATCAGGCAAGAAATTTTAGAATTAAAACAAAAGTCTTTAATTATTTTAATTAATTAATTAATTCCGTCACATGTTTTAGTAGATCTTTATAATTTTTTAATTAATTTTTATCATTAATTTTTTAACTAATTTCTTTTGCAGGTTCTGATGATTTTAATCTATACATGTGGAAAATTCCAGCCGATGATATTCAATGGGTAGATTCGGCACACATGAAATTATGTGGACATAGATCGATTGTAAATCAAGTGCGATATAATAAAAGCAGTTGTATTCTCGCTTCGTCGGGTGTCGAAAAAATGATAAAACTCTGGAGTCCATTTTCACTAGGCTACGAATGTCTAGGGGGGTTGAAAGTAAAACTAAATTATAATTAATTATAGAAAAGAAAAAGAATTATCGAATATTTAACCTTTGTTTTTTTTGTAGAAAAATTGCGGGATTCAGGAGAAACAGCGAAGAGTATTTGCGCACAGTGAATATATTGAATTAGTTTTAAGAAGTGGACATTTTATGACACACGATTACAGTCATCAATCGACAAAAGAAGATCCACGAATGATGGCATTCTTTGATTCTCTTGTACAACGTGAAATCGAAGACTGGAGCTCCGAAGATGTTACGGCTCCTCAAACGCCTAGCGACAACGATAATTCAATTGTCAATAATTCTTTCAACGCGACTGATTCAGACGGTAAGTTATTATTAATTCTAATTTATATTTTTGTGAAATTAAATTTACTATTTACTTTTTTATTAAAATATGTAAATAATAAAAGTAATATTCGAAATCTGATAATTCCATCCCATAGATTCGACTGCTTCTGATCGTCAACTAATGCTCTCATTCCTTGGTCCTACGGTAAATTCACGAAATATATCAGCTGGTATGGCACCCGAGAGATCGTCAAAATCACCAAATCGAATAACACGCCTGATAATTAATTGTCGAACAAAATTAATGAGACTTGCGGGTAAGGAAATACCTGAGACAACAATTACAACGCCAAGCGCAAATGGAAGCACAACTTCCACAATTGAGACTGCAAATTCATCGAAATTAAAATCAAAATTAAAAGGCGCGAAAAGAAAAACAAATACTAAAACTTTACCTACAACTAGTACTACTACTACTTGTGGTAGTAGGATAACTAGAAAAAGATTAACAACTGCTGAAGTTCAAAATGAAGAACAATTGGATACAACACAACCGAGTACAAGTTCTGGATTGGTTTCACAAGGACCGAAATATACATCAACAACATATTCGGATAAACAATCGAGTGACAGTAATTCGGAGGATAATAATGATTGTGATGGTACTGTTAAGAGAAAAATAACTAAAGTCGAGGTGGATAGTGCGGCAAAATGTCCGAAAAAGAAGCACAAAAAATGTAAACATCATGCGAAAAGAGAGAGTGGAAAGAGTTGTAAAAAGAAGCAGAAAATTGAAAATGAAAGCGACGAGGAGTGGTGGAAAGACATTGGTATGTAAATTTATTTACTTTAATTAATTAATTTTTTTATTACCAACAATTAAAAATAAAATAATGTTTTATTCGCTTTGGATATTAAAAAAAGAAATTATAAGAAAAAGAATTAGGTAAGGAACAAATATTTTGAAATGGCTCAAAAAAAAATGTTGTTTTAAATTTAAAGAAAAGTTGAAAATATTTGAAAATACATTAAAAATATAAAAAAGCATTTCAAGTTGTATTGGAAATACGTGAGAATATCTTAAGAATATATGGAGAAAAATAGTAGTGGATCCACAGAATAAAACTTTTGATTTTATTTAATAGAAAAATATAATAAAAATAATTTATAATAAAAAATCTACAGTTTTAGGTTCTAAACCTGAAAATTGTCAAAATGAAACACCAGTGAAACGAACCTGTAATAAAATAAAACAATCATGTTCAACACCCGACAGTGGAATGGGTATATCGACATCCGAAAAAAGTCAATCATCTGCACAAAGTAACAGCAAAAGTGCCGAGACATCAGATGATGAGGAAAATTTACGAACATTTCAATCATTTAAAAAGAAAGTTGATGCGATAAAACGCACTTATCGTAAACGTACTATTTCAGAAGCATCCGATTTTTCTGACTAAAAAAAGCAAAAAAAAAAAAAAAAACTCAACCTCTTTTCTCCCCCTCTTTGTAAATAATGAATCTGTGATTCCTTTTTTTCCTTGATATATATTTTTCTAATAATACTAAGTTTAATCCTGTGAAAAAAAATTAATCAACATTATTATTTTATTCACTGTTTTTTTTTTGTTTCTTTTTGCCATTTATCGTTCATTGTACCTATCGCTTTGAATTAAACTAAAAAAAAGGATCATTTTGATTATATACTTCGATCAAAGTTGTTGGTGATTAAAAAAAAGATACTTTGCAGAAGATATTCTTTAATCTGCAAATTATTATAAGAAAAACTATGATTTTTTAAAAATTAAAAATAACGACTTTGGTGACGAAATATATTTGCAATGATTCAATATTTTTCAGATAGTTATCTAAATGTTTTTAGAGATGAACTAATAGTAATTGATGTATTGAGAACTTAAAAATTATCGATTTTTATATATTTTTTTATGATAAATTTCGATAATTTTCAAGTGTTATATATTATACTATAGTTGCAAACTACTTTGTATATAATACATATATTATATGTACTTGTATTCACTCGCAGCTGTTTTTTATAAAAACAGTACAAAAAAATATTTCTAGTAAATAAATTAATTCTAACTTGTAATTCTTTTCTCTCTTTATTCGTCGCAATTAAAAATTTCTAGTCCTGAAATCTTCTCTAAAAAAAACATGCAATTAGTCATTCACAAGTTCTTATCAAAATCATTCTACATTGAGTGGGACGACATTGTGCTGATTGTATTGTTTCTTAAATTAAAGCAAATTTGATTTTAAAATAACAAAAAATATTTATATAACTATCAATTAATAAGTTTTTAAATATTGATAAAAAAAATTGTGAATTTACCAACAATTATTTAAACGAAAATGTTCTTTTTATTATTAATATCATTGTTAAATAATAATTTGTGGGCCTATAATATTGATGTGGATAATGTTCAAATTTTCCATAAACCAAAGAAAAGTGATGAAAATGAGAGAAAAAATTATTTTGGTTTTTCAGTGGCTTTATATGTTGATGAAAATTTGTTGGAAAATTCTTTGATACTCGTAGGTGCACCAAGGGCAAATGTGAGTCAAATAAAAACTGTCATTGAACCAGGAAGTGTTTTTAGATGTCCTATTCAATTAAATGATGAATGTAAGGAATGGATTTTGGATCCAACTGAAGATGGTGATATTAAATTTAAAAGTCTCACTGCTACACAACTGCGAGATAATGCGTGGACAGGAGCTACAATTGCCATTAAAAGTGGAATAAATCCAACAGTTGTGGTATTTTTTCCAAAAAAAATTTGTAATTCAATTTATTTGTTTCAAATGATTTTTGTTTGAATAATTTTTTTTCTAGCAGCTATATAATTTATTATTGTCTATATAGTATATGAATGAATAATTATTACTATTTATTAATTAATTATAATTTAAATAATAATGTTCTAAATTTTTTTTATAAAGGTTTGTGCACCGCGTTGGAAGGCGAGAATTCGAAGAAGATCAAAGCAATTAGATTGGTTTTTAAATGGGATTTGTTATCGATCGCGTGTAAATGATTCAAAAATTTTTCAAGTTCCTATAAATTCATTGTTTGAAAGTAAAATATCGCCATTTTATTATTATCGTCAAGTGAAAATGGTTGATGGTCGATATCAATATTTTTTTGCCATGGGACAAGCTGGTTTTTCATTGCATATGGTGCCAAATAATGAGGATTTAATTCTCGGTAGTCCGGGAATTTCAAATTGGACTGGTGTACCACTTTTGGTACAAGTTGAAGAACGTATGCCAACACGAGAGGAAATGATTTATAAAAATATCAAAAGTTATTCAGTTAAATACAATAATGTTTATGATACAATTGAAGCCATTCAGGAGGTGCCTTCAATTCATTATAATGAATATTTCGGTAATAGAATAATTAAAAAATTCATTATTTATATTATTATTTTGTTGAAGTAACTTATTTGTATAATAACTGAATTTTATTTATTTAGGTTACTCGGTGAGTTCTGGATGTTATTTTCAAAAAGATGAACGCTGGTACTCATCAGGAATTCCTAGAGGGGACAATTTAAATGGACGCGTTTTAATATTTTCCCATCCAAATAGAAGCATTAATGCAGAATTTATTATAAAAAATACTTTAAATGGAGAACAACATGGGGAATATTTTGGTTACACTTTGGCTTCCTGTGACTTAAATAATGACGACAAAGATGATTTAGTTGTTGGTGCTCCATTATGGACAAATAATTTAGAAGAAGGTAGAGTCTATGTTTTTAGCAGCAAAGGCAACGATTATGTGAGTTAATTATTAATTTAAAAAAAATACAATTTACAAAAATTTTTTCTTTCTTAATAAAACAGTGTAATTAGTTTAGTTAAATTAATTTAATTGTCAAGGATTATCTGGAGGCTCAATATATTCACGGTGAAGTTGTAAAAGGAAGATTTGGCTCAACAATATCTTGCATCGGTGATATTAATTATGATAATTATGGTGATATCGCGATTGGAGCACCATATGAAAATAATTGCGGTGCCATTTACATTTATCGAGGAACAGACTATGGTTTACAATTGAGTCAAAAAATAGTTGCTTCCGATATTTCTCCACTCCTACGGGGATTTGGAATTTCTATTTCAGAATCTCGTGATATTGATGGAAATGGTTATCCTGATATTGCCGTTGGTGCATATTTATCTGATTCTGTGGTTCTTCTACGTTCGAGACCAATTGTTTCGTTAAAAATATCAAGAATGGAATCCCTCATGAGAACAAAATTACAAACAAGTACTTCATTTTTTGATATTGAAGTTTGTTTTTATTACAGTGGCAAACACGTTCCAAATAAATTAAGTAAGTTCACTTTCGTCTTTTTTTAAATAGAACTAATATTGAAAAAATAATAACAATAAATAAACATTTAATTAATTATAATTAATTAAATATTTATTTTAATATTAATAATTGATAATTATAATATAATTCATATTATTCTTTTTTAATTCAATTTTTTAGATGTAACGTTAAAGTGGAAAATCGATGAAATTTTCGGCAGAGCGAGACTTTCACCAGAAGCGAATAATGCAACGATTTATGAATTCGAGAGAATTTTAATCGAAGATACACAATTATGCGACAACTTTAAAATATACCTAAATGTAAAAATGCTTTCATTTCTTTTTTTTATAATTACTAAAATTTAGTATTTAAAAATTCAATTTAATTTTTCCATTTTTTAGAGTAAAATTCAAGAATTTATGAATCCACTTGAAATATGGTTATCATTGAATTTGAATAAAAAAAAAATTAATTCAATAACAAACACAAATAACGAGACAATTAATAAGGAGGAATTTTTAAAAATTTGCCCGGTGATAAATAAAGAAGATTCTATAATTGAAAAATCAATATTATTACCATTTGCCGTTGATTGTGGATATGATGATATTTGTACTTCAAATTTAACAATAACAATGTCCACGGATTTGACGATAAATCATTTTATTTTGGGATCACGAAAGACATTTTTATTATTTGTCAATATTATCAATTATGGTGAACCTGCATATAAAAGTGAAATACGAATAATTATTCCAAAACCATTGCAATTGGCAAATATTCCACCAGATTGTAATGAGAATGACAGCAATTTGACTTGTAATGTTGGAAATCCTTTGCGAAAAAACGTAAGCAAACTGATGAAAGATATTTTTAATTTATAAACTATTAATTAATTTTTTTAATTCGCTTTTTTGGAATATTTACACAGAAAACAATAGAATTACAATTGTCGACAATTGGAGTCACGTGCAATTCAACATCAAGTGAATTGGAAGTTGTGATTTTCACTCAAAGTGAAAATTCAAATGAAAATAATCGTTTTAATATTGCAATTCATTTCGCCATTGATCTTGATATGATTTTATTAGGGTAAGTTTGATAAAATGAAAAACACTAATAATTACTTTAAATAATTTTCAAAGTGACAATCATTTCGATTTGTTAAATAAAGAAGTAAATCTTTTTGTTTTTAAGGAAAGCTCAAGAAGATTCGTATTCTTACTCAGAGGAGGAAGATATTTTGAAGGAAACAAATTTTACACATATTTACGAAATTCAAAAATTCGGCTCATGTCCAATTGAAGAAATTGAAGCTCTCATTAAAATTCCCATATATTTGAAAGAAGAGGGAAATGAATTTCAAATAATTGAAATTCTACAAATTAAAGGATTAATAGACAATCGCGAAGTTTCGTGTTCGTCATTGAAGAAAGAAAATGATAAACATAATCCTACAATATCATTAACAACAAATGAAATTTTTGAAAATTTTCATCCTAGGGAGAATTCTTTCAAATACATACCACCAGAAAATAGAACATTATACATCAATTGTTCAAATTCATTCATTTCCTGTCAAAGTATAAAATGCAAATTAACAGGACTTTTAAATTCAACATCAATGAAAATTATTATAAATATGGAATTTCAGCCTAAAATTCTTCAATGTAAGTAATAATAATATAAAAATATAAATATAAAAAAATATTTTTCGTTTCTATCTCTGTAAATTAAAATAAATTCTCCTGATAATTATTTTCAGCAATTAAAATGCAAGAGAAGGATATTTTATTTTTCATAACAGAAGGCGGAGTAATTGTCACGAAATCAGAAGGATTTTCAAATGTCATTGAGACAAAAACTAATGTTGCATTAGTTGGAACGACATTTTTAGGATCGCCAATTAAGCAAAAAGTTGCTACTTGGGTTTTGATATTATCGACAATTTTTGGAATACTTCTTTTGACAGTTTTAATTTTCATATTAACAAAATTTGGTTTCTTCACACGTAAGCGAAGGCAACAACTTCATGCTTTAAAAGCCGATTCAAGAGTGAGTTTTTTTAAAAATATTTTATATATTACTAATTAATAATTATTAAAAATTTGTTATCTTGTTTCAGAGAAAACGGAAACAAAAATTACAATCAAGTTCCTCAAGTCAAATTGACTGATAAATTTAACATTCATTAATTTATTTATTCGTTTTTTTCAAAGCCATCGTGTTTTACATATAATAATCAACATTAGTATAGTGCATTGATTTCTTTTTTTTTTTAAATCGCAGCATTTTTTAAACGCGTGTAAAAAAATAATATTTTTTCACCCGTAAATCTTTCTATATATTTGCATTTATCTAAAATTGTATTTTCTATTTTTCGTATTTGTGTAAAAAGCATTTATATAACAAAGTAACACATATTTAAAGTAGCTTGTAAAATTTGTTGTCTATTACTACTTAATTTTCTTAAAAATTTTAATTTAATAAATATCAATTCTTTTTCAAGATCAATAAAATTCTTCCTACATACAAGGAATAAGATGAGATTCTCTTTTTTGCGTCAAAAATGCGTGTAAAAAATAAAAAAAAAACTGAATCTTTAGGTTCATTATATGCAATTCGTTTTTAATCTTCATCGTCCCCAAGACCAAGTCCTCGAGAAATTTCAGCGGCGGATAATTTACCACCACCGGGAGCTGGAGGACTTGGTGAACGTGGAGGTCCGGAATCATGATGTCTTCCAGAATTTTGGGATGATGGTGGAGCTGCTGGTGGAGCATACGAGGGATGATCATCTTGATGAGGTGAATGAGGATTCTATATAAAATTATAATTTATTTAATTATAATAATGATAGTTAATTATTATTTAAGTTACTTTTTCAAAAACCAATTAATAGCCAGTTTAATTTTATATTTAGAAGCAAAAGAAAAATAAAATCGCAAATGACATTGCCAAATACCTCCTCATCTAAAAGATATCGAACTTCTTTTATAAAAGCGTCGACCTACAAGAAAAATAGAGAATCGCATATTTTGGGTTAGTTAAGCGCATTATTTTTTTCCCCCAAAAGAAAAACCAAAGCAAAAAAACAATTTCACTCCTTTAATAAAATTCACAAAATTAAAATTTATTTACAAAATTACATATAGTTCAAACATGCAAAATACATTTTTTTAAAAAGTACATCAGAAAAGCATTTTAAAATTAATTATTATGATAAATTCAGTCTTGAGGTAATTATTTACATAAAAATATCACATGCAAAATAGAATCACAATAGAATTTACTCTAGTCTGAAAAAACAAAGTTTATTATTTGTTTAGAGGGTAAAAAAGCAATTGGAATATAATTATTTTTTGAGTTCAAGCATTCAAGATACGTTTTTTTAAGTTCGTTTACTCACGTCCTTGCGTTTGCTTAAACCATCAAAGGCTGAACTAAGTAGAGATGATCCCAAATTTGATAAAAGATCAGAACCCTGAGAGCCTTGTGATTGGGGATAATTTCCACCGTAGCCTCCAGATGGTTGATACGCAGGTTGTTGATGTCCACCACCTCCCATAAAATTGCCCAAAAGTGAGCCTAATCCCCCCATGGAATCAGAGCCAGAATGACCCGATTGATTACCACCTAAAAGTGAACCTAATCCACCCAGTGGATCAGAGGATGGTTGACGATTTCCACCGCTTAATAGTGAACCCAATCCACCTAGAGGATCAGACGATGGTTGCTGATGTCCTCCTCCACCTGAGGAACAAAGGCGTGAGAATTTAATCATTTAATATTAATAATAAAATTAAATAATAATTTAATTATTAATATTAATTAATCTATGTATTAGTACTAGTCTAAATTATTATTCCATGTACACTTTTAGTAAGTCTATTTATTTATATACGATTTTTTTAAATTTAATGATAAAAATAATTTTATTTTATTTTGTATACCAAAATTTGAAAATTATAACGAAATAAATTTGGAATTATCCGAATAAAAGAAAACGAACTGAAAAGATAAATTAACTAAACGAAAAAGTAATTTTAAAAAGAAAATTAATAATTTGATTAAAATCTGTTTTGAGACTATGACAATGTTTCAGTTCATGATCTACGATGACTTCTGATAGAACCTTGAATATAATAATAGATCTCATTAATGGGTCACGCAATTGCGTGACTCATTTCTAGTATATTTTTTTCCAGTTTCACAAATTCTTTTTTTAATTAAAAAAATTCTTGGAATACTTTATTATAATATTAATTATTAATTTTTATTATAATGATATTTACGAAAGTCAATCAGTTATTTGGATAATTAGCTAAAAGAAAATTTATACTTTATAGCTTAATTTATCCATTTTTGAATTTTAATTATATCGATAATAATTTACCTAGCGAACCAAGAAGAGAGCCTAATAAACCTCCTGATTCTTGAGGAGGATATCCAGCCGATTGTGGCCTAGTTCCTCCTCCTCCTTGAAGAGCATTTGCCGCTAAACTACTAGCTAAAGCTGCACCCAGTGAACCTAAATTTAATCCTCCTTCCGTTTGCGATTTGGAAGCATCCTCTTTCTCATGATCATCACCATCACCCTGCTCTCTTTCTCGTTGCTTCTTTTTCTATAAAGAAAAAAAAACTTTTATTAAATTAAAGCTTCACAAACATTGCATTAAATTATATAATAATCGGAATTTTGTTTTTACATTGTATGCATAAATGGCTGCTGCTGTACCACCAGCGGCGATCAAGCCTCCAAGAGCCAAACCCATTTTATCCAAGCCGGAATCCTCTTCTTCTTGTTCTTGCCGTTGATATCCAGGTTGATAATTATAATCATTACCACCTGGACCATATTGAGAAGGTTGATTATATCCACCTGGTGGAAATCCATGAGGTGGTCCATGTGGAGCTCCATTTGGCCCCTGAGGATCCAAACTAGGATACAAATTGCCAGGTTCTAAAAAAATAAATATTTTTTATATATAAAATTACTAGAAAAAAAATTTTTTACATAGATTTTCTTTCCAGATATCGAAACTTACTTGGTGGACCAAAATCAACAGGCGGAAGATCATGTGAAACGGGATGTGTCGGTCGTTGTGAACGTTGTGGATCAGGAAGTGTTTCATAAAATATCGAAGAAATTTCCACATCACCGTCAACAGTTAAATGTGTGATTTTATTAAATGGAATTCTATGTATGAAATCAGTAAAATGTCGTCCATTAACGGCAATTTTGAAACAATCATATTTACAAAGTAGAATAATTTCAAACTCCTGTCCAGGTTGAATCAATAGTGGACCATCATTCTCCTCTTGGCCCCAATTCATCGATTGGATATGATTTCTCGTCATGAAACCATCATTAAAACGTGGCGACACATGAATTGCAATATCATCACGTGGATTTAAATTTGGTCCTAATTGATAGTTGACGGCAAAACGAACAGCATCCGATGGTGCTTTACCTTGAATTTTCACCATTTTTCCCGGGAAAACACCATCCTCGACTTCTCCCACATATGGAATATCCTGATGAAAAAAGAAAGTAAATAATTATATTTTCTCGGTACGTAATTTTTATCATATTATTTAATTAATTATGTTAATTTAAATTTAATATAAATATTTATTATTTATTATTAATAAATCGTTGAAAAATTAGAATACCATGGAAAAATCATAGATCCCAATTTTCAGAAATGTAAATTTTAAAGATGATTTTAAAATTATTTAATTATCATAACGGGAAAAATGTTCCGAGTAAAAAAAAACTCATGATAGGAAAAACAAAGAAGGAAATAATATATTTTCAACCTCATTTTTAAATGAACTAACAATTGAATAAAAATTTTAAATATTTTATTTAAAATTCGATAAAAATAACAGCGATAAATTTTGAATCGACATTTCTTATTCCTGAATCATAAATAAACATTGTTTCCTTTTGCGCCACGGGCAATAAATTTTATTGGCACTTTAACATGTTTACGTTCTTCACTTCCAAATTAAAAGATTAGAAAAAATAATAATTCAAATAAATTTGATATGATTGACGCAGTAAACTAAAAATATTTAGTAATGTTATGTAAATCTCACTATAATTGTATATATCAAAATAATACATATTCATAAATTGCAGATGTTGATAATTTTTTCACATTACAGCACTGTAAATTTACGGTTAATTATTTTTTTCAAATTATAGAAAAATTAAAAGTCTGTCACAAATTAAAAATATGGAATTTATACTTACGGGATTATTAACGGCTTGGAAGGCCATTTTTTCCTTAAAGAAAATATACAATGCGCACTATTCAGTAAAAGATATAATTTGACTGACTCCAAAATATAGTAAAGATACACAAAAACACACGAAAATGTCAGAATTACTGCGCAAGCACTGAGACGACCAGCGCCTTTTGGATGTACAATTTATTACAGAGTGACAATTACATTCTTCTCTCCGGTAGATTTCTATTTACAGCACTGACGTTTTAGGTATAAAACACATAGAAATTGATCTTCAAGAATTTACTAAAAAAAAGAGAGAGGATATATAATATATTTATAAATATAAAAAAAAATTAATGAAAAATAGAACAAACATTAAATATCAATTTAAATTTGAAAAATTTGAAAAAATTGATAAGATAAAAAATATTTTCATTAAATTATTATTTTTTCTAACTATCAGTTGTTGATAGAATAGAATTTACTCGAATAGTTTTATCAACGGAGTCAAATTGATCAAGTTTGAAATAGTTTCAAAATTTCTGGGATAATATTCAAAATATAAATTATATATACAACTAATGATAATGTTTAATTAATGTAAATTGAGTTTATTGCTGTATTTTTAATTTGATTGATAAATCTTTCGGAGTAAAGTTTTCCGAGTTGCATAAGTTTAGGCTACAAGAAGTTTATACAGGGTGATCATTATATTCTGGACAATTGAAATATCTTTTTTTTTAAATTATTATTTTATTGTTAAGACAACAAAAAATAAATTTAATTAAATATATTTTTATGGGATCCGTTCAAATACCTCTTTATTATTTGCAGAGCAAATATTTCTGCTAAACTCGCGAGTTTCGTACAAATTCATCTATTTTTTGACGTTTATTTTAATTTTTTTTTAAATAATATTTATTTAGTTTTTATTACTATGTTTATTTATACTTTGATTAAAAATTAAAATAAATAAATAAATTAAAATAAACTTCAAAAAATAGATTAATATTATTTATTAACGAAAATTGGATAAATTTTCTTTATTCTCGCAAGTTTAGCAGAAATATTTGCTCTGCTTTCATTCATTTGGAATATATATTGGAAACGTGATCCTTATAAACTGTGAAGGCTACCAAGAAAATAAATATACTGCCATTCTTATCTCGTATACAAAACCGTGGGTGAATAATCTTCCAAAAGATATATATATAAAAAAAGAGAGAATTCGCGTAAAAAATGTAATTGTCATATTATGAAAACCAAAAAACCAGTTATTTAATGATTTACATAAATAGAAAAATGGTTAAAAATAAAACTGGTATTACTTTTGTATTGTGAAAAAATTATATATCCGTATATAAAATATTGTAATATTCTTGGAAAGTATAAAATTACAACGTCGATTATGTTCTATTAAGGTGAAGTGAAGAACGCTCAATTAATTTAGATTAAGTAAATCCGCCTACAGTAATAAGTCCTTAGCAACCAATTTGTATGTCATTTTTGTATATAGTATAACCAATACGCTTTTTTACGTTTTATATTATTTAAACAAAAAGATTTAATAATAATGATAATAATTTTAAAAAAAACCAGAAAGAGAATTATGTATTATCAATTTTGAAATAGATTATACTATATTACCACAATTTATGGAAACAAATATAGATGAAAAAAATTTTTAACGCCGGGGAGATTCGAACGCATAATCGATTCAGACTTTTAAACGCATTAACTACTACATCAGAAAAATTAGCAGAAAATATGAAAAAAGTAAATACATTAAAAGTAAACATTTAATGAATCTGTATGAGATAACATATGGTGTATGAAACAATAAAAAGTAACTGGAGCATGTAAAAACGTGGGCTAGGCTATATGTGATTTGATGGCACACCCAAGATTTGATAGACGATAGATAAATTAAATCACTTCCTATATTTAGACAATGCTTGGTGTTTTGCAATAACCCTATAAAATTATATTACATATAATATGAATTTAAATGCAAAGAAAAGAAAGTAATTGAAATTAACTTTTTTTAATAATCCAAATTATTATAAAAAGAGAAGAATAAAATTGTTAAAAAGATAAAAATTACATTTCCGACTTTACTGTATAGGAACCGTATTATGTTAATGAAACACATACATGCGGGTAAATGTTCCCGGGTCATTTGTTAACATTTCAAATATCATTGCCTTTTACAAATCTCTAAATATTTCAAAAAACTGTGAATATACTTTATAAGATAAAAAATTATTTTATTTATTTTTATTTTTAGATTCATGTTCCAAATAAATTTTATTTAAGCCAAATAAAATTTTATTTCTGTCAAGTAAAATTTTTATACGCAATTTATTTCTTATATGAAAAATTAAAAAAAAAAACGTTAATGGAAAATTTTTGTTTAAATGACTTTACTCACACAATACTTTTAAAAAATATCCCAAGGACTAGAATTGAAAAAAATAATAATAATACATTATATTCTCTTTGTTGAAAAATGTCTACTATTTTTCTTACGCGATCTATTAACGTTTAATAAATTCACTTCTTCAGGAAGCTATCTATACTCATCGTATATAGACGTAACAATAACGAATTTATTGCAAATAGATGATCACAAGACGGCATGCAACAATAAAATACCATAATACTGTAAATGCGACTATTTTTTTTTTTTTTTTTTTTTTGTTATTTAGATGAACAATGGCAGTAATTCAATCTACTCGTAAAAAAAATTCAATATTCAATTCGTTACTATAACTTCCTCTCTCTCGGGAAAAAATTACAATTTAAATTATTGCCTCATCTCTCTATTGCAAAAGGAAACACTTCTTTTTATATATCGGAAGTTTTCGTATCGCAATTTTCATACAAATTAAAATTCTCTTTTTTTATTTCCTCTATTTTTTGTTACATATTCCATGCAATTGTATTTTAATAATTTTTTTTTCTATTTTAGTATTTTTTATTTGTTTAAATTTTTCTGTATAAACAGTTTGCTTGGCATAAATAAAATTTTATTTGTTACAAATTAAATTTTAATTTTTGTTCTAAAAAATTCATTTAGATCTAATTTTGAATTTTTGATAAAGAAAAAAATGCGGAAAAATCGCGTTTATTGTTTCAAAAATTACCGAGAGGGTATTTTTTTCACTGCCCTGTGTATGTTTTATTTTTTTTTTAAACGCATAAAAGAATATGATGCACTGAAGAAGGTATTCGGTTTCTTCAATCAACGAATTCCAAAATATAATATGTGTCAATTTTTTTTTCTTTCTTTTGATATTGAATGTTTAGCGAGGAGACCCGATGCGGTCTTTATTCCCTACAAATATATATCGCTATGAAAAAAAGAAGGTCAGGTTTTAAGGTGGTTTTGGGAAATAGAAAAAGCAAAAGATTGAAAGAAGATCCTGCTAGAGGTTTTTTTCACATATATAAACCGTCGGTCACTGAGCACGAAACTATTCATCTTAGCATGCAGGCTTCTTTTATCATGTACATGGACCTATTCACCAGCAGCTGAAAATCCCTTTGCGAGTGAATCACACATGTATGTGTATATATATTATTATATTTTTTGAGCGTAGAAAATAAGTATGAAGCTGCGGGATTATCGAGGAAGCAGGAAGATTTTGTCAAAGAGGGGAAGGGACTGGTTGCTTTTCTGGTTGTTACCTATTGATCCTTGTGACAAGGGTTCTTGTTTTATACAGGGTGGGGCACTTTTTTTCTTTTTCTCTTTGTCAATCTCTATGTACGACGCACTTCTTAATAACAAAAATATAATCTTCAACCTTTAGTGCGCACTTGTAAAATATTATATAGTTTTGTTCCTTCAAATCAAAATTAAAATATAAAAAATCTTATTTTAAGGTAAGAAGTGAGGCTTTTTTTAAGCTTCAGTGATTTTTAAGTTGACTTTCTAGATTTTTTTTACTTATTCATTTCAAGTTTAAAAAAAACAGGTTCAAAATTAAGAAAATAATTTCCTAAATTAAGATTTAAAATTAAGAAACTAATTTCTTAAATTAAGACTTAAAATTAAGAAACTACTTTCTTGAATTAAAGCTTAAAATTAAGAAGTTATTTTCTTAAATTGTGTCTTAAAAAAGTCTAAGACTAATATTACGAAAATACTTTCTTAAATTAAGATTTCAAACATGAGAAATTAGTTTCTTAAATTGAGACTTCAAAAGTTTTAAATTTAAATTCAAGAAGATATATAAATAAAAGTGAATAAATTCGAAAAAAGAGAATGAAAATTTGTTTAAAAAGTTTTTAAACAATAAAATTTAATTTAAAAAAATATTTAAAAATTATAAAATTATGACGGTAGCCTAGAAAAATTTCTGTTATAAAATTTTTTGAAAATTGAAGTGTTTTGACGATCAGTCGTAAATATTCTTTTTTCCCGGGAAGATAAAACAAGATAAAACTTGTGCGAATAAGATAGTTGGTGGTGGTAAGCGTGCGTCGCTAGTGGTGGATATAGTCTTTTCAGCCCTCCAATTCCACCATTCAGTCGTATTGGCAGTTGAGCGCCTTCGTTGCTTCGATTGACAACGAATTGCCGCGGTAAACTTGTAATTTATATTATATAAAAATAGTAATGTGCTTTATTTTAATTTTTCGAAGTTAAGCAAACAAATACCTTCAAATAAAAAAAAAAAATTTCCTGTTATTCAATTATATATTCTAATTTTCATTACGCGACATATTTACTCAAATTCCAATAACGATATTAAATAAATAATAGTAACAATTTTTTATTTTTTTTTTTTAGAAATAATTCATTTTCTTCTTTTTTTTACGTAACTGAATGAAAACGAAAAATAAAATAATGCATATTAGTGAAGTGAAATTATAAATGATATAATGTGTCAGAAAAATAATATTAAGAAAGAAAAGTGCCATGATATGAGGATTTATGGGAAAAAGTGTTCGATTTATAAATGAGATGCCGGTGAGAAATTATTTTTACCGTGTTCAAATAATAATAATATTTTTTGTTCTGTTTAACTATTATTACTCATTATTATCAAAATGATATTAAAATAATGCAGACAATTATATTTCAGACATGATTTGTTTAATACTTTTTTTGTTTATACTGCAAATTATACATATATATATATATGAAAAATTTGCAGTATAAACAAAATTATACTATCCTTCTATTATGTTTAATGTTTAACAATAATTAAAAAGCAAAACTTGTTTAATTTTTATAACAAAACAAATGAAGTTATTAACAGAAGAAAAGTAGACTTTTGTTTTTTTATTTCATATTCAAATATCAATTTTTGTTTCTGAATTAATCAATTAATTATATTAATAAGTAGTTAAATAAATTAATTAAATTAATAAACAATTGAATAAATAATAAATAATAATTTTGTTTTATCAAAAAAGATTTTTTAAAATACATAATAAATTAAATGTATTATTTTTGCAAAAATTAAAATTTTTTTTATCTAAAATGACACTTGGAAAATAGAATGTTTTTTGTGTGAATAAGATGAATTACAAAATTAAATCTTTCGAATATCTGTAGTTTTGTGAGTAGGTCATGCCCTTATCGATAACTGAAAGATAACTCTTTTGCTTCATACAACGACAATAATACATTTTTGAGAATACGAAATTTGAAAACAGTGTCGTCAACCAAAGTGTTAAAGTAGTTCAAAGATCAAGAAAGATAAATAATGTTCATATAAGTCTAATCTTTACAAATTCTTATACAAAATACAAATAATGTTGTTTGCTTATTTGACATTATTAAATAATATTTAATTTGAAAGATAAACTAATAAGAAAAATATGTATATTAATTAATATCTTAATTAAATATATCTTCTACAATGAAAAAGGAATTATTATAGAGAACACATTTTTTTAATTCCATTTAATTCTCGAATAATCTTGTCTCCTCTAAAATATAATGTTAATATTTTTCAATTCTTTTTTTTTTAGACGAAAGCAAAGAGTTACGTCACATATAGTATAACAACTAAATTGGATAAAGTTCATCCGCTTTTAAATTTTTTACTCTAATTAAATAATAAATACCTAACATTCTTTCTTGTAATGCCAAAAGGTTTTGTAATTTTAATAATTGGTAATTATTTAATTATAATCAACCATTAATTATTTAATTTAATATATTTTTATTAAACAATACATTCTTAAAAGAATAACACTTTTTAATTTAAGAATTATTTTTTCTTATTTTGAGAATATTGTTTTTTATTTATCACGAATCTTAAATTTGAAATATCGGTCTTTTTAGATGTTTTTTTTTAAGAATAAACAATGAATTTGACTGAGAGAAAATAAGTCTATGCGGATCAAGTTTCAGTCTTTGGGTGATGTCTTTAATTGAACTTAATTACTGATCGCTTTTCTTGTTAAACCGAATATATGACTCACACACGTTCTTAGACACTTTTATGTGCCCAAATAATTCCCACGTGTTAATCTCTCACATATATAGGGGAAATAAACATTCATGACACTTTTATGGGATAATGTCCAATTATTTAATCATTCATAAATGTAAAATGTTATATATTATATACACCTCTTTCTGAGAATTTAAGTGCCCTAATAATAATAATACTAATAAATTTACAAATGAGAAATTTATTTTTAATTAAATTTTTTATTTAATTTTTTTAAATATTAGAAATTTTTTAAGTAAAAAATACTAAAAAAATATATTTTTTTAAATCAAATGTATGACCTACAAAGGAAAAACATTTTTATCTTTAAAAAAAAATAAAATGATTTTATATCTTTTTTTTAATAAAAAGAAAAAATGTTTCTCCTTTTGAGGTTCTAAAAATTAGGAAAAAAAATTGTTTATTATCATAGATACATTTTATTTATTACTTGTAAATGTATAAAGAAACAGATGTTTCAACGCATGCACTGATTATATACATATAGAGAAATTGCATTCTTTCGTGACTCCGCGTAGTAAAAAGGGAAATAAAATTAAGTATCAAGGGTGATATAGGGTCAAGGGGATGAATCACCCCTCAAAATGAAGAGAAATCTACTCCGATCGATATCTAACCCTGGCCCGAGAGTTGGAGGCAATTTTCTATACATATATATATATATAGAAAGAGGGAGAGAGAGTGTATCACATTTTGTTCTCTATCAAAATTACGACTGAAAATTTAATTTTGTATATTTGAAAAAAGATATCTTTTAAAAGAATTAAATTCATTTATAAATTAATATAATAATTTATTATTTAAAATAAATATATATAGTAATTTTATAATTGTAAAATGACTACATAGTTATTTTTTTTTGGCAGGTTCAAAATTTCGAGCCAGTAGCGAACTAAAAAATTCAAGAATGACGAAGAAGAGGCCTTAGCATGTTCCCCTCTGGCATTTGGATAATTTTTGCCTTAACAATAATTTTCGGTGGTTTGAATGCTGTTTCTGTGGTAAAACATCATCACGATGATGAGTACTTATTAGAACACAGAGTTATTTATCAAGATGCTATTAGCAAAGCCAAAAATCTCACCCTTTATCCGGGTAAGTTTGGTTGAAAGAAAAATATTTTATTTACGATAAATAAATTTTTTTTATATATGAATCAAAAAATTATTTAGCTTTGAATGAAAAATATTAGTTTTATTTATAATTTCAAATAAAATTATATTTTGGTTTAGAAATAAAATTCCTCTCTGGATATAAAAGTACCATTATATATTTGTTAGAATTTTAATTTTTTTTAATAAATTTTTTCATACCGTTCTTTTTGCCTTCCTGGACAGTTGGCAAGGACGGAAAAGGTACGATTTATATGTAAATTAGTAAACGCATATATAAGAACCAATATTTACTCGCGCAGATATCCACAAAAGTCAAGCCTAGAATTTGCAGCTCTTGAAAGAACACCTTGTTTCTTAAATAAACATTCCCTACTTTTACCTATACAGAGATTACAAGCGATATATATATATATGTTAGATATTTTCTATTTACAAAATTATAAGAAAAATCAATTTCACTCGCGTTTCATCACTTCATCTTATCTTATAAAGAATTTATTGAGACATTGTTAATAGTGTTAATTTCTAATTTTATACTTTTATTTAACAAACAATTATTTTTTGTTCACAAATCCCTTTTTTCAAATTTTAGGTATATTTTAGTGAAAAATTAAAAATATTCAAAAAAAAGTTTTTAAAAAATTAAATAAAAAATTTAATTTAAAATAAATCTATAAATTTATCATTTGTAAGTTCTTTTTACTCTGAGAAAGATAAGGAAAAAAAGTGTTTAAAAGGAAAATTATAAAACATTTATGTAGAAAAAAAATGAAAAAAATAACTTTGTTTATTCCGCAAATTAAAGGAAAGGCACTTGAAACTCGCATATAAAAAGAAAAAATAAGGTTTTGAAAAAAATAAAAAGTCTTTGACAATTAACACGCCTGTGTATCTCCCACAGTTGCGTAAAGTGCGATGAGAAACTAATAGAGATGTAAATGTTATGTATATAACCGTTTGATTTATGCAACTGTCCGTTTGGATTAATAAAAATGTTTCTTTCGATTGGAGAATATTATAAAATGAAAACGTAACATTCAATTAAAAAGTACACGTGCATAAATGTAGAACACAAAAAGTAACACTCTTGATTTTTTTGTTTTTATAAAATAAACGATTGTAAACTTTTCGCAAATTTTTTTGGTAAACGTTTTTTACAAGAAATTTTTTTAAAAAATGCTTTTAAAGAAATTTTTAAGAACAATTTTTTAAAATAAATTCTTTTAAAGAAATTTGTCAATAATATAAATATTTTAAAGAGCAACATTTTCTAAATAAAATATTTTTTACAGGAACCATTCCTGGGTGTAAGGCTTGTACTTCTCAGGAGATGATGTACTGTAAGGATGGAAGTGTAATTGCCGATCATTGTTGCTGTGACTTTAGTTACAACGGTGAGAAAAATATTTTTTAAAAAAAACTTAATAAAATACAATACTCAATTCAGATATTTAAAAAAAAACATAAGGACACATTTAACTTTTTCTAAATATTTACCAAAAAAGACTAATAGGAGAAAAAAAAATTATATTATTGACATAAATTTCTTCTGTAAAATAAATTTGACCCTAAAATGCATGAATAATCATTGCTTATAGTTAAAAAAAAAAACAGAAAATTGGAGGTGACAATTCATGCGTAAAGTGTCAAAAGAAAAAAAAATTAAAGAATGATTGCGCATACATTTACAACAATCAATGTCGTTTCAAATTACCGTAAAATACAATATAACACGTCTCATTGCTGCGGAGGGAAAGCTAGAAACAAAGGTTATATTCTATACGTTTGCACTGTTTTTTTTTTTTTTTTGAAACATCGATTTATACAAAAAAATTATTGAATCACAATATTTATACAAATATTATTCCATTTATACTGATTTCTTGTTTTTTAAAGATATCATATAAAATTGATAAAAAAAAAAGAAAAAAAAGTGATAAAATTTTATATAAAAAGAAAATATCACAATTTTGTTTTGTCATGAACTCCAGTTTCTTTCTTTGTATTTTACACAACAGAAAAAAATATATATAGGTAAATACCATGAACGTTATAGGCTTCTCTTCTTTGGATATAGGGGACGAGAGAATAATGTATAATTCGGTTAAGACCAGTAGTGGCGTAACGACTTCTACCCCCTCTTTTTTCAATACACAACAATATATTATATAAAGATCAACGATACAGAATTAAACAATGGACCAAAACTATAGGCAATGATAACTATTTTTATAATTAATTTTTAATAAATTAATCTTAAAAATAATAAATATTTGTCTTAAATTAAATTGAAAAAATGTACCTGCATTGGTCGCAGTGGTTAAGGCGCTTATTAAATTAAAAGTTGGTTTACGCGCGCGAAGTGCGTTCGAATCCTCTCAACATTAAAAAAAATTATGGAATCCAGAAAATTACGTTGACATCATTGATTAATGAATATGATTTTAAGGGTGGAAAAAAAAATGATTCAAAGAAAATTATTTTTAGTGGATATTTCTATACAAATTTTCCTGTAATATTATTTTTTTCTGTTAATCATTTTTGTTCACCAAAGTTGCGGTTTTCATTTAATTGTTATTCTAAAACCGAATGATTGTTGAGAACGGAAGGGCAATCACCTGTTCAGGAAACTAATCGTTCGTATCGCAAATTGCAAGCTGCCTCTTTTTTTTAACTCACGTATGTACGATGCGTATATATGCACGTGCACTTCTTGCATTTTCTTAAAGGGAGAGTGATACAGTGTGTGATTCACTAATATATATTGACGTGGATGATTCACAATATACGCGGGTTTAGATAGCATTTTCGCGAATTCAACACGCGTATATATTTTTGCCAATTATTTATTTTTAATTATAACATTAAAAAAAATTTCGTTTTTTGTTAAAAATATTTTTTTAGTTTTCATTATATTTTTTTCTAAAAACTAAAAAATTTATTTGATTCTAATAATCGGTATCTGATAATAGTCAAGTAATCAATTATTTGAATCAAATAAATTTTTTATGTATATTTTTTCAATATTTATTATTTGATAAAGAAAATTATAAAAAAAATTAACATTAAATTAAATATATGAAAGTAAAATTTGTGAATTATTTTTCCGATATTCTTTTGTTATGAAAATTTCTGAACCTAGGCAACTCACGTATAGAGCAATAGTTAAAATTGCATTGCAACACGCATACTACGCGTTTGGTGCAGAATAATGCAAACTAATTCTCAAGATCGACTATATGTATATACCTATCTTGTTCTATGAATTGTAAATGTGCCTTCTTCTTGTCAATTTCAGGTCTTTGAAATATCATTTTTCCCAACAAAATAAATATATATACACAGAGAAATTTTTTATTCTAATCAAATATTTAAATTAAATAAAAATATAAAATAAAAATAAATAATAAATAAATTTTGTTTCAAATAAAATTTTGCTTTAAAAATTTTTTTAAATATTTTTTTATTAGTTACGCGTATGTTATAACAATTGATTAGTAAAAAATTTAAAAAAATTCATTATTATCTTGATATATATATAGAATCGGTATTGTCTGTGAAATTGATATCCGAACGGAAACTTCGATATCTTTGTACGTACAGTAAAACGTACAAATGCCTTCCACTTGAAGTTGCTGCTAAGAGATGAATGTTTGCGGTGAGTCTTAAAATTTCAGATTCTGTGCTAAATCAGCTGTCAAAATAGAAGGTGTCATCATCGGTCATCATTTGAAAAAGTTTGTTTTGGTGAGTGAAAATTGTTGGTTAGCAGTTTTTGTGCGTAATTTGATTTTAAAGAAATCATTCCGAGTGTTAAACTAATAAAATATGTTTGGCAATTGAATATTTGTGATTTAAAAAAGGATTATACAATCAATTGCAGGGGTTGCAGGTAAACAACATTTAGGTTAAAATATAAAAACAATAACAAATAATTATATTTTATATTTGGAAAATAAAATAAATAGTCCTCTTATTATTTTAATATTTCTAAATTTTGTAAAAATTAAATACTTTTTTGAAAATCAAAACATCATGCTTGTTTAACGTCGAAAATCCGTGACAAAAAATTTAATTTGAAAAAATAATTATTATTTCAGATTTGCGATAAAAAGTTTAAAGAATGAATTTCTTAAGAGATTTAAATATCATTTAATATTTAATACAAAAACAAAATTCAATTTAAAAAAAACTTAAATATCGGTAATTTTTTTCTCATTTTAAATTGAGAATGAAAATTAAAACCCCATTTTTCAAAGAATTAATCTTTCTTCAATCACGCAGATATTATTATGAAATTTTAACGTTGGCCAAGTTGACTCGGTAAATGTGGAATCAGTCTGAGGAGTGAAACTCGCCAAATTCGTGGGATCAGAAAGATCGCGGTTTTCAATTGCAAAGTTATTTCTGTAAACAATTTTGAATAATTATAAAAAGTTCAACGTAATTTTAATTTGTTTTTTTATTATTCAGTAGTAAAAAAATTGATAATTTTATTGAAAAATATATTTATTTATTTAGGAATTTTATTATTGTGATAAATTGTTTAAACTCTTATTTTGAGTCTCAAATTAAACAAATCCTGATAAGAAAATTCATTGTAGAAAGAATGGAAAATCATTGTAATAAATAAAAGTTTTATGTTTAGCATACAGTTGATTGTTTTATTAGACAAATTGTTTTAAAAATTGAGATAAAAAAAAGGTTGATAATAAGGTATAAAATATTCAACAGTGATTATTGCCTTAAAAAGTCTTTTTTCTTCCATAAAAAAATTAAATTAGAATGAAACACATATTCAAAAGTGTATAACGGTGGCAAAGTTTGATTCCATTTCGTCTCCATCATCATTTATCTTGAAGGCATTAAATCTGAGTTGCGTGGCTCTGTTGCTCTTCTTCTAATAGCCGTTTTAAAGAGTCGACTTTTTGGAGTACCGTTATCAACCATCCTTTAAGATCGTTACCTATTTCTGCCATAAGAAGTGCTGATTGGAGGGCAAGGATTTTTCGCTTTTTCTGAAGCTGGGGAAAATATTTTTTTAAATTATTAACTTTCAATTTAAATGTAATATTCGTTTATTTATAAAAATAAATAATAAAAGAAGAATATTTTTTTTCAAATACAAAAACTCACCTTTTTGTCGGGTGGCCTCTGTGAATTCTTGACAGACAGACAGACACTTAATATTTTGTCCATCCTCCATCGTTGTCAAGGACTGCCTGTAGTCGTCTCGGCATAGAAAGAATTGCGTTTGAAACGACTTCTGGCGTATCTCCTATTTCTTGCCAACTTCTCCAGGCGTGGTTCATCAGGTCTTCCAAATTTCGGTCAGCTCCTGATTCCCATTTCCTGACCACCATTGCCCATAAATTTTCGATGGGGTTGAGATCTGGCGAACGCGGAGGATGAGGAAGCAAGGTGATTCTCGGGTGTCGCTCAAACCAATTCATCGTCCGATTGGCCGTGTGGATCCTGCTATTGTCTTGTAACAGCTTCACTTCCTCATACTCGTCTTCGGGGAACAACCGGTTTACGTACGGCAGAAAGTCTTGTTCTAGTAATTCAACGTATGCCTGCGAATTGAATCTAGGGCCTACGTCCCTTAATACGCCAACTCCGTAGACAGAGGAGCTGCCCCAAAAATTGCAAGAAATGCGCCCGCTTCTGTTCTTCCTCACAACGCAGTTCTCTCGTAACCGGCTTTCATTGCTTCTCCAAACCAGAGTTCGACCATCTTCGGACGATTGAAAGGACTTCTCATCCACACAGATGGTATTTATCCAAAATTCCTCTGGTTCGTTAAGATATCGTTCAGCGTACTCACGACGTTGGGTTCGATGGTCCTCAGTAAGCTCCCATTTCATCGCTGGGCGACGGCTCCGAATCCCCATTTCATTCAACTTTCTACGGATGGTATCATTGCAGACTTCTGGTTGAACAACGTTTACAAAACGTCTCGTAGAAGAAAATGGATCATGAGCAGTGAAGAATTCGTTTATCACTTCATCCTGAATTAGTGTCGTTTTCCTCGGAGGATGGTTGTATTTTCGGTGATCGGCCAATGCTAGGGGTCCGCCCTGTGCATATCTTTTTATCCAAAGCCTTACAGTTTTCATGGAGCAGCCGACTTGCTGGGAAATTTCATCAGTCCTACTCCCTGCTTGATGCATTCCAATTATCAAACCTCGCTTTACTTCTGAAAATTTTAATAAACATTATTATTAATTATTATTATTAATTATTATTATTAATATTGATTATTATTAATTATTAAAAATTATTATCATTTTATTTTTATTATTATTAATTATTATTATTAATATTGATTATTATTAATTATTAAAAATTATTATCATTTTATTTTTATTATTATTAAGGGGAAAGACCAATGAAATTTTAGTCGATTGAAATAATTGTTCTTAAGAATTGTCTTTTCTTGTCATTTTTTAAGATCTAAAATTATTATATTACTATTAAAATTTTGAAAATATTAATTTTGGGCATTTCAGAAAATTTATGACTTTGAAAAAATTGAAATTTTACAAATTCCAGGCAATTGATTGATTGGATTAATGAAAAAAGCATATAAGAAATTCGTCGATGAAAAATGAGGAAAATTGTGAAAGCATTTAAATTTTGAAAAAAATTACAGTAAATTTTAAATCGATCAAATTGACCTCGTTGAGGAGTAACAATTTTTTTGACATTTTTTTCAAAACCTGAAATTACATTCCACTATAAAAAAAATATTATTTTTAACTATTTCACAAATTTTTTTAATTTTTCAAAATTTTCATTTTTGGAAAAAATCAAAATGTTTTCAAAATCCATACATTTCATTACTTAGAACCATGAAAAAGGTGTATGAAACATTCGACAATGACAAATAATGAAAATTGTGAGAATAGTTCTAATTTTGATTTTTGGAAAATTTTGAGTTTTATTTAAAAAATTGTAAGCAAATTATTTTTAAACTTTTCACAATATATTCTATTTTTAAATACTCAATATTGGCAGAAAAAAAT